TTTGAACACTTCTTAAGATAGCGTAACCACTTTTTGCATTGTGGTTCCTCAGATCAAGGAGGTTTCATCTGTGTTCAGATATAATTGGACACCATTCTGAACCTTTCAAAACTGCACTGATTTTTTTGGTTTCTTAGAATCCCCAAGCAATGTTGGATAGCAGCCTGCTAGTAAGTAACTAAAAATACTATGTCCATTATATCCATCTTATGTTGATAGTCATTTTGCTGCAAAACTAGCATCTCCATGATGTGGCTGCCTAAGCATAGTGTACTGAGGATACAACAGAGAGGTGTTGGTGCTGATATAAGTGGGCATTGAATGCCTATCATGGGACTTTGAACTCATTTCCAAGTTCCTCATGCCTCTGTAACCACTGGAGGAAGCAATGGGTTAGAATAGGCTATAGTTATTTGATGATGAGAGTAAGAAATGTTTCAAAGAACATTATAGGTGTTGCCCTTGGGTATCTGTTGGATAAGGTACCTGGCCATTTGCCCCATTTGACACCTCAAAGCTATGCAGTTCCATTTCTTAAAATGTTAGATGAATTCCATCTATTTCCATTTGGCTTCTCTTTTATACAGCAAAAGTTTTCTTTGTGCTGTTTGCTTTATGTTTCCCAGTGAAGTATTAGATTCCCTTGCCTGCAATCAGGTTCTGTAAAAGTCAATAGTTTGCTGTTCATTCTGCTGACACTTTTCAGCGCTGATATAATGAAGCTTAAAGTTTTTTAAAACATCAGCAGTACACTTTTCTGAATTCTCAGGATGGGCATCACAAATGCAAACTGTCACGAGGCCCTCCTCCATGCTTCCTCCCAGACCCAATAGATTGTGGTCATAAACTGGTAAAGGCTGAAACAGTCCATGGAAGAACATAGGTAAAGGTAAAGGGACCCCTGACCATTAGGTCCAGTCGTGGACGACTCTGGGGTTGCAGCACTCATCTTGCTTTACTGTCTGAGGGAGCCGGCGTACAGCTTCTGGGTCATGTGGCCAGCAGTACAAAGCTGCTTCTGGCAAACCAGAGCAGCGCACGGAAACGCCGTTTACCTTTCTGCTGGAGCAATACCTATTTATCCACTTGCACTTGACGTGCTTTCGAACTGCTAGGTTGGCAGGAGCTGGGACTGAGCAATGGGAGCTCACCCCGTCGCGGGGATTCGAACCGCTTACCTTCTGATCGGCAAGCCCTAGGCTCTGTGGTTTAGACCACAGCGCCACCCGCGTCCCATAAACTAGTAAAGGCTTAAACAGTCCATGGAAGAACATAGTGGTAACTTAACAACTTCCTCTCTACTCCAATGCCAACATTGATAAACAACAACAGCCCTGTGGTCAACAACATCTGCACCTCATTTTCAAAGGTCTGTCCGTCTCCCTCCCAGCAGAAAGATAACAAGGAGAGAGCCAATCTAACCTCTCTGGGAGAGATTTCCACAATATGGAAGCAGCCAAGGACAAGTATCTCTCTTATGTCAGTACCAACCATACCTGTGATGTTGAGGGGACTGAGAGAAGGTGCTCACCTGAAGATCTTAGCACCCAAGCAGGTTCATAACAGGAGATACGATCTTTCAGGTAACCTTTGAATTGTGCCTGGAAATGGACCAGTAGCTAGTGAAGTTGTTTTAACAGGGCAGCAACATGCTTCCTGTAAGCAGTATGGCCACAACATTCTGGACCATCTGAAGCTTCTGAACATTTTTTTAAAGGCAACCCCACACAGAGCATGCTACAGTAATACAATAGCACACATGCCCCACTTAGTGCTATGTTGGGATTCCACAGGATTGTATTCATCTAAGTCTTACTCAGAGTAGACCCCACTGAAATTAATGCGCCTAAGTTAGTTGTGCTGATTAACTTCAATGGGTCTACTCCAAGTAGGACTAGCACTACCCATTGTTATCACTGACACAACATAACTTGCTCCACTTACATTGTAAAGGATGCATTTATAGGTAATAGAGGCAGGTGCCAATTTTACCAGTGGCACTGATATTAATATCTTGAGGATCAGATAGCCAGACTTCACTAAATCCATAATGGCATGAATATGTGGTAGTTAAAGGTACATAAAGTAAAATTGTTTCTTTTCAATTACCACTTCATCATTTCAACAACTGATTTTCTGTCCATAAAAATTGTATGACTTCACCATCAGAATCTGGCTGCTGAACAGCCTCTATGTACATTATCTTAAGTTAACACATATTTCTCTGACGAACGAAGAGACTGATGGGAGCAATAAAACCAATACCTCCCCACTCTCTCTGAATCTGCCTTCCTCTTCTAATATTTTCTACGTATTTTAATATTAGTGATAGAGTAGAATCCGAGTTTAAAGCAGTAATCTTCAAGCCACTGAGGAGTTTGGCGCAGACCCACTCAAGAGTAAACAGAAAAGGAAAGGAAGAATAATGAAGTTTCTCATCAGTACAGTTTTCTTATTAAATTCTTTTAAATGTAAGAGTAAATATTACTATTTTCCAACAGGTATATAATACTAATACTAGTAGTTACTTGTACAGTGTGGCCAAATAGCCAGAGAAATTTACATAAGTACTTGTCCTTCAGTATGACATGTTTGGGTGTACCCTTATCCAGATTAGGGTCCATTCTTACCTTATTTGTGTGTGTGTTTTAGGGTCCATTCTTTCCTTGTGTTTTTAAAGATGTTATCAGTATACTGGTTTCACTGGATTTTGAAGGGTCTTATAAGGAATGTAAACCACTAGCTTTAAAAAACCCAAAGGATTTGACATGTTTACAAAAAAGAGTTGTTCTGTTCTGCAGTGTCTGGATGAAAGTACAGCTCCTGCCGACATTAATGTCCTGTTCCAATATTATCTTTTGCACTTCTATCCCTGGGCAAAGTGGTGTCACAACTGGAATGATAACTTCAATACCCAGTGAAATTTTTGTTTTCCATTTTACCCTGTCCACCCAGAGGCATTCTGAGGCTGATAAAGATAGTGACAGCTGCTTCACACAACACTAGTCAGGGCACTGGGTAAAATGTAAAATAAATATATAAAGATATGATGTCATGATGTCCACATAGACATTTTCTACTGATTTCATACACTGTTGCAGAACTTCCATAGAATGTGGTGGAAAGGAGACAGAACTGGGCATCATCTGCATACTGGGGGTACCAAACTCTGAAACTGCTATGATTTCTTTCAGCTGTTGCATACAGATAACAGCAGAACCTTGGGACACATTATGGGCCAGTGGCCAGGAGGATGAGCAGGAGTCCTGCACTGCTACCTTCTCGAGTTGTTCCTCCAGAAACATAACAGATGGTGCCTCTAAGCTCCAAGGCAGACAAGCAATCCAGGAGGATACTATGATACTGGATGAGTTGCAGGAAAGAGAAACAATATTAATAATAATAATTTTATTATTTATACCCCACCCACTCTGGGGAAGCATAATGATCCAGACATTCCCATGTGGCATTCATTATTTGCAGTAGACCCAGCCAAAAGGTTCTCTCTTGTGGGTTGGCTTTCTGTATACAGTGGTACCTCTGGTTACATACTTAATTCGTTCCAGAGGTCCGTTCTTAAGCTTAAACTGTTCTTAACCTGAATCACCACTTTAGCTCATGGGGCCTCCCGCTGCTGCCACACCACAGCCGCACGATTTCTGTTCTCATCCTGAAGCAAAGTTCTTAACCCGAGGTAATATTTCTGGGTTAGCAGAGTCTGTAAACTGAAGCGTATGTAACCTGAAGCGTATGTAACCTGAGGTACCACTGTACAATGGTGCATAGCTATAGCATTAGCAACAAAGTATTCTGAGATCAAGGGACATGGGTGGCGCTGTGGTCTAAACCACTGATCCTCTTGGGCTTGCAGTTCAGAAGGTCAGCGGTTCGAATCCTCGTGACAGGGTGAGCTCTTGTTGCTCTGTCTCAGCTCCTGCCAACCTAGCAGTCTGAAAGCATACTGGCACAAGCAGATAAATAGGAACTGCTGTGGCGGGAAGGTAAACAGCGTTCCCGTGCGCTCTGGTTTCCGTCACAGTGTTCAGTTGCGCCAGAAACAGTTTAGTCATGCTGGCCACATGACCCGAAAAGCTGTCTGTGGCCAAACACCGTTTCTCTTGGCCTGAAAGCGAGATGAGCGCTACAACCCCATAGTTTCCTTTGACTGGACTTAACCGTCCAGGGGTCGCTTTACCTTTTACCTATTCTTAGATCTAAATGAGATGAACTAAAAGAGACAGTGGTGCATTTTTTTAATTAGACCAATGCATGAAAAAGTGTCATGAGTTTTGACTAAGCCTATTAGTGACATCGATTGCAAGACCTGAAAGGCTCCGAAGCTGCCCTGTTAATTATAGTATGATAGCGGCTCCAAACTCCTCCTTGTTAATTCGTGGTAGTGCCTTGGCATCAATATTACCACCAAAACATCTGGCTAGGAGAAAGAGGCACGTGGAAGGAGGGCGGGAAAAGAGGGGCAGTATCTCCTTCCTCCGGTTTCCTTACTTCTACTTCCCTCGGGGATCAGGCCCCTACGGAAGCGCCCTCGGCGGCGAGCCGCGCTGGAAACAAACAAACACCCAAGCTGCCTCCCCAGCGGGTCAGGAAGCAGCAGCTTGCAGTGTCCCCAGCGGCCAGCAGGTGAGAGCAGCCTGGCGGCACCTGCTGCCGCTTCTCTCTCCGCTGACGGCTCCAGGCCTTCCTTCCCCGCCTCCGGCGCCTGGCCCTCAGCGCGGGGTCTCTGCCTCGGCTTGGCCCGCTGCGCCGTGACGTCCCTCGAATAGCAGCTCGAGGCGGGCGATTCCTGTGAGGAGGTTGGTTCGAGACAGTGCTGCCGCCACCGGCGCAGAAGCAGCCGCTTCCCTTTCCCTTCGGCTCAGGAAGGGCTTCGAGCGGGTCAGCGGCAGGGCGCGCGCTCCCCCGAAGGAGAGCTTGCGGAGAGCGGCGGCGGCGGCGGCACCCATTTCGCTTGGCGGGGGGCGGCCACGAGTCCAGGCGCGATGGCACCCGCAACACCCCCTGCGCCGCTCGGGCTCCTTCCCCTCCTCCTCCTCCTCCTCCCCGTCGCCGTGGTGCCTTCCAAGCTGAACATTCCCAAAGTGCTGCTGCCCTTCAGCCGAAGCACCAGGATCAACTTCACTCTGGAGGCAAGCGAGGGCTGCTACCGCTGGTGAGTGAGCGCGCGCGCGAGAGAGAGAGGCGCAGGACGGGGTCGAGCGCGCGGGGCCCCGCCGAGTTGAGGCACATGGCGCACGTGTGGCGCTCAACTTCGCTGCTGAAACGGCAACACGTGAGGGTTGGGGCGCGAGAGAAGAGAGAACTGAGGCTGCAGCTCCCAGCAAAGAAGCCTTTGCCTGCGGCAGGCAGTTTGAGTTAGCGAGGTATTGGGGCGGGGAGCGTCTTAGCCGGTACCGTTTTACTCAACTCATAAAACCGCGCAGCTGTTGAGTGTCCAGGACGCTTGCGCCGCGCTTCAGGCGCGAGGGGACTGCTTTTTAAAAAAAAGTTTACAAGAAACATGAGTGTTGTGGAGAGTTTGGCGCAGTTTCATTGCAAAAGATCGGATCAGGCGGTTTGATGCACCTTCTCACCCGCCTTGGTTCTGAGCCAGGGGGAAACTACACATAAAAAAAACCACTGAAAATGTGTGTGTTTTTAAAAAAAGGTTTTGAAAAATGCCTTGAATTTTGCCGAGCTCCCTGTCCCCATCTAGTGTCACATTTGTAGATTGCACTTTACAACACATTTAAAACGTTTTTATAGCTGACTCCCCAGTGTGCTTTCCAAGTGTCGCCGGGTGTGTGAGAAAGAGTCAGAAGTTTATCCATGCTGTCTGGGCTGACTTTGTCACTGTGAGGCATAGGCGACAGTGTGCCAAACCTAAGAAGCTTGAAGTGGTACAGTGGTCGTGGCAGAAATCCAACCACTACCAGAACGACAATACTGTGGATGCGTAAAAGCCCTGAAGTTTGGAATACAGTGGCAACATGAAGTTACAAATTGTGTTTCTCAAAATGAGAGCAGACATTTTAATGTGCTTTGTTAAGACAGGGCAGGGGCATGTTATTGCCAAGGTTCAAGGACTGGCAGCTGACCTCCCCTTCCATGTATAACAGGTGGATGCTCAACAAGTTTTTAAGCATTTTAAAAGTGAACCTTTATCTAACAGAGATACAGTGTAACAAAGAAAGCTTCTCTCAGAGACACATCATTTATTCAATGGTTGCCTGCCTCAATGGTGGTAAAAGTACAAGTGAACAGTACTGTACTGTGTTTTTCATATGGTAGAAATTCTTTTAAAAAGTTAGCTGTGTCTCACAACCTGTTTCCTGTACTATCTTAACAGATTTCAGTATAGATGAAAAGGGGAAATGGTTTTTTTTAAAGTCTGCAAGTAAAGCGTGCATTATGCACGTGGCGACAATCTACTATATTAAACAAGTATAAAGAAAAACATCTTTCAGTATTCTTGTAGCCCAAAACTACTTGCTCATGAAAATGAAGGAGTGTTTGATTTGCAAAAACTATGCTGTCCTATTCTAACCAAATAAACTATTAGGCTTGCTAATTATTGAGCTTTCCACAAAGCCATACCAAAGAGAACATCTCTAGAGTGGCACTCCAAATGTCCTCACCCAGCAGCTTCATACTGATGTTAAACAGATGGGACATCAACAACTGGGTTGCACAGAAATTCCCCAGTAGCATATTCTGAACCTGGCTTTGTAGATAGGAGTGGACCCTGCATAACATCATGTCTCCAACCTTCAGTGCACATAGCTGGTCAAGTAAATACCATATCTGATAGCATCAAAAGCCACTGATGGAGATCGAAGAGCAGCAACAAGGTCACACTCCCCCAGTTCCTCTCTTGATATAGGTCTTGCAGGGCAACCAAGTTTGGTTCAATTCCAAAGCCAGCCATGAATCCAGGCTGAAATGGCTCAAGATAATCTGCTTCCTGCAAGATTATCTGCAGCTGCATGTCCACCAGCTTCTCAGTACTTTTCAATGCCTGTGTGGCCACCACACAATACCTTTATGAAGGGGTATTTGCAATTGAACAGCAGCTGTCATGAACCTCCTAGTACTTGGGTGGACTTTTTCCAGAAGTAGCCTCACCACTTCCTGTATGAGGGTGACAGGCACCACTCACTCTCACAGAGACCTACGCAGTCAGCCCATGTGTAGCTACAAAAAGCTAAAGAAAACAGGTAGTAGTCCAGGCAAATCTAATCATCTAGTGCACATCCTCAGGTTGTAAAAGAAAGTTGTAATTGAACCTCTAACACGTGGTAAGATATAGTTCTGGACACTCCCTCAATAATGGAGGTCAATGATGTGTTTTGACCTTACTTATATTAAGACCATAGCAAAGTGTGTAAAAAATAGATAATTTCCCTCCAAAAGAGTCATCAACTGATCATGTTAAAAATGTACAGGAAACTGATGTTAAACTGGCCTAGCATGTGTATTTAACTGGGATCTCAGTTTTGATTACTGAGGGAAAGTTGTCATTCTAAAGTTTTCCCTTTGGACATTATTTTGATTTCTACATATATTTATTTTTTACATTTTATATCCCATCAACATAGTTCAGCAGAGCCTTCAGGATGCATTGCTCTAAGACATGGGAATAAATGGGGAAAATATCCAAATAACTACATTGACCTTGGTCCAACACCTGTTCAGACAATCTAATACCACTAATAGGTTTAAACATTTAACTACCCATGACTGACTGATGTAATTAGGTTTGCTCAGCACAGCAATACTCACGAGATATTAACAATTATCTTTGTGTTAGAGCTTCCCTCTTTTAAACCTGCTGTACAGACAGCTTGTGACATGTGTTTGGGAGCAACTGTATGTAGCCCTGTCACCGATTTCTGGCATCAGTCAGCCAAGAAGCACAAGTGACCACAGGCTTCTTTGCCATTCATTCTGAGTGTGTAGCTGGGCCTCACGCAATGAACATGCTTATATGACTTGACCAATTCCTTCTGAAAGACAACACAGTAGAATTTCTTATGAATTGTCCTTAACAGAACCATATACACATAGATCAAGGTATTTCTGTTCATAAGTCTATAACAGATAGACTTGACCAATAAGGAGGAATGAATATTAAATCTCATATATTAAGAGCAATTGTGATTTCTCATGACTCTTGATCCAGCCAGTGTTAAGTAGCCCGTTGATTCAACTGGCATGTACTTAACTCTCGCGGCATTCACCACATGATAACATTTAGTGAATGCAATAAGTATAATTAGTCCCAGCAAATCTAACAAACTCCTAAAATGTGGACAGATGTTAGTATTAATTCTGTCTGCCAGAATCTTCATAGCAGACAAATATTCCCTGTGTGTTTGTGAGGGGGGAGGTTAAATTTCTAATTTGTATAGCCATGAACAGACAATTTAAATATGTATGCAAATTCTACCCAGAAAGTCCTGAACTGAAAAGATTGTAATAAATTATGCAAATCATGTATGTTTATATGTATCTACTTCATTTGCTTGCCTTTCATCTGTCTCAGAATTTGGAGTTTTCTACATTTTTTATAGATCCAGGGAGAAGGGCATGGGGTTTAAGGAGTACAAACAGGGTAAGGCATGTGGGAAGCAGAGAGATGGATGAAACTGGAGCTAATAAGTTTTATAGTCCATATATATATATATGGACTATACAGTTAAAGATATTGTTGAGTATGTGTTTCTGGAACTGAGTACAGTGGTACCTCGGGTTAAGTACTTAATTCGTTCCGGAGGTCCGTACTTAACCTGAAACTGTTCTTAACCTGAAGCACCACTTTAGCTAATGGGGCCTCCTGCTGCTGCCTCACCGCCAGAGCCCGATTTCTGTTCTTAACCTGAAGCACTATTTCTGGGTTAGCGGAGTCTTTAACCTGAAGCGTATGTAACCTGAAGCGTATGTAACCTGAGGTACCACTGTATATAAAGCACATTCCTACCTATGTGCATTAGACCTGTTGATTTTTGACTGTCTTTATAGCAGTTCCTCAGTATTCCAAACTGTCTGTGAAAATAGGTTGGCTGGATCAAGAATTGTCATCCCATGAATGGAAAAGCTTCTTCCATTTGCAGTAAGGACTCAATCCCAGCAGAGGCTTCGACAAAAGAAAGCAGGAGGGCAGGGAGAGAGAATTTGCATGGATTCCTCCTTCCCTCCGTAGTCTCCAGCAGCAGTAGTCTGGAGGGTCACTCAACTATCCAGACCAGATTTGGGGGGCGGGGGCGGGTTGTTATAGGGGCAACGAGGGAAAAGGTGGCAGTGTCTTGTGAGCAGAGCTGTGCTGATCCAACCAACTGTTGATATTTATGGCCGTTTCTGATTTGTCGTTTGAGTTATTAATGTTCTTTGGAAATGAAGGAAATAACCCAGAGGGATTTCATTTCCGCCTTGATATTTCTCTCTCTCTCCTTCATTTGGTATTTTGCTTATAACAGTAGGCCCGTGTTAAATGACTTTCCCCTTTTTGCTGCACTTAAAAAAACCAGGAAGTACAGTTTCATCTAAAGTATGCTTATATTCTCTGTGTGGGAAACAAAACGGAAGTAAAATTTTATATGTGGTTTTAAAAGTAAATAAATAAATAAATTGTTGATAGATGATATTTTACATTTTTACCTGGAGCTGTTAACTAGGAATTATTCATGGAGTATTTTTTAAAAATCATTAATGTTTTCTAGAATCTCACAACAATCTGTTTTGCTAATTGCTTGTGGGAGGATTTGCAGATGCATGATGGATATCATTGCACACACTATTCTTTTCCTCCTTATGCTGGTCCTGCAAAGGGGTATATGATCTTGAGGAGTAATGATTGCACAGACTAGGCTTAGGTTGAACTCCAGTCACATAAATCTTAGTTAATGTATTTTCAGTGTTGCGTGGACAAATACAAGGTGAACCTTAGGCTGAAGTAACTGTGGGGCAAGAATGCAGAGGGACTGCGTGTGATTCTGCTTTCTCCCTGCATACACAATCTCTACATGTTAAAGGTTGGAAGGTGTGCTCAATATCAGCCACTGAATAAAAATATTCACAATTATGCTGGGTATTCACTAGAAAAGGGAAACTGACTGAATCAGGCACTACAGTTAGAGACCCTAACTCTAACTGTAGAGACATTAACCTGTAATGCTAGTAAGTGTTACAGTTTATCACCAAAATTTAGCAGTTACCGTATTTTTTGTCCCATAGGACGCACTGGCCCATAGGACGCACCTAGTTTTTTGGGGGGGAAATAAAGGAAAAAATTTTTTCCTTTATTTTCCCCCCAAAACCAGGTCGGGGAATCCAAACCAGGTCGGGGAACAGCGGGATGGCGGCGCTCCGCCTCCCCGCTGTCCCCCAAGCTTGTGGGGCTGGCGCTGGGGAGAAGCGCGTTACTTCCCAGCGCCAGCCTCCAAACCAGGTCGAGGAACAGCGGGATGGCGGCGCTGCGCCTCCCCGCTGTCCCCCGAGCTTGTGGGGCTGCCCGATGTCTGCCCGAAGCGCGGGGTGCTCTGCTTCAGAGCTCCCCGCACTCCATGCAGCAGGCTGTGGATGTCTTCCCAAAGCGCCGGGCGCTCTGCTTTCAGCGTGCCCCGCGCCCCGGGAAGCAGGCTGCTATCCGCAGCCTAGGGAGCCCTGCGGGAACTCCCGCGGGCTTCCCTGGCGTGCTGATAGCTTCCTGAAGCCTGGAGAGCGAGAGGGGTTGGTGCGCACCGACCCCTCTCACTCTTCAAGCTTCAGCGAAAGCCTGTATTCGCCCCATAGGACGCACACAGATTTCCCCTTCATTTTTGGAGGGGGAAAAGTGCGTCCTATAGGGCGAAAAATACGGTAGGTTATGGAGATAGCTAGATTAGACAACAGCTGTTTAATACTTTTGCTTGCTTGTGCACGGCAATGGACCATATAACGTACTTTAGCAGTCTAGAGATGTCTGTTGACCGCAAGAATAATATAGAGGCAGCCTGAGGTGTGTTTGTGGTCAGAAGAGTCTAGATGGCATCACTGTCCACTAAAACCAGTACAGTGGTACCTCAGGTTAAGTACTTAATTTGTTCCGGAGGTCCGTACTTAACCTGAAACTGTTCTTAACCTGAAGCACCACTTTAGCTAATGGGGCCTCCTGCTGCTGCCACGCCGCCGGAGCACGATTTCTGTTCTCATCCTGAAGCAAAGTTCTTAACCTGAAGCACTATTTCTGGGTTAGCGGAGTCTGTAACCTGAAGCGTATGTAACCTGAAGCGTATGTAACCAAAGGTACCACTGTAAATGCAACCAAGAGTGAGAAAAAGACACATTTTCCCAAACGTTAAATTGTGGTTGGCTCTTTATAATTTGTTTTGGCAAGCTGTTTATCCCACAATGTTTAAGAAAGTTGTAGTTATTAGTGGCACCACCATCAGCAGTGAGCCTATTTGCTTTATCTTTGTTTATTTAGCTCTTCAAATCAAGCTCATTTTAGCACTTTGAAGTTAAGTCTTTAGATGATTCTTTCAAACACAATATATGTATTCTTTTTCTGCTTTAGGGTTGCTCTCTACAGCACAGCAGACAGGATGTGTGGGTGATATGCTATATTTGAAAGAATACGTGGAGGAAGTTGCAACACTAATAGTGAAATCCTTACTCAGAAGCGCAGTATGTGCATACAGCGTTGTTGCCCAAGTCGATTTGCAAGACTACATTTTTTTAGTCCTACTTTTGACTAAAATATAAGATAAAATCAAGTTAATTTGGCAGTTTTGCAAATTAAGCTAGGGCATGAGTGAATCCTTCAGAGGATATCCTTCAAAGGATATAGATCATGGGTAGGCAACCTAAGGCCCAGGGGCCAGATGCTGCCCAATCGCATTCTCAATCCGGACCACGGATTGTCCTGGAATCAGCTTGTTTTTACATGAGTAGAATGTGTCCTTTCATTTAAAATGCATCTCTGGGTTATTTTTGGGGCATAGGAATTCGTTCATATATTTTTTTCAAAATATAGTCCAGCCCACCACATGGTCTGAGGGACGGTGGACCTGCCCACGGCTGAAAAAGGTTGCTGACCCCTGATATAGATGGTTAATGAATGAGTTCACATAAATACACAACAAACTTAAGCCTGTGCTGCTGCTGTTGGTGGTGCTACTGCTGCTGTTAGATTTATCTACCACCCTTCATCTGAAGATCTCATGGCAATATGAAGCATTAAAATACAAGGTAAAAACACAAAATGCATAATAAGAACAAGAACAAAACAACCCAATAACCCCACCCTACCCTTCCCATGAAGTTTAACTCCCAGGGGGCCAGACAGATGGATGCGGCAGACTAGGGATTCCCTATTCCTGTATTAAAGTGCAGTGAAAGCAATTTCAGCACACACTGTTGTATCAGAAGATCTTTTGTACCTGGGACAAAGACAGTGGATCTGTGTTCGCCTTATCTCCACACTTAGCTTTTTCTTTTTCTTTTTTAAAGACACAGTAGTATTCTCTGTAAATTCCCAAATATAAAAGTGTTTCATATAGGATAGCAACCTCATTTTTCTCCAGTTTTGTCAGAAAGTAGAAAGCTGCAGCCTGCAAGGCAGTGAGCTCTTCAGGAATCCTGAATCTCTGGTTGTTGTCAGGCCCACCGATTAACTGGACAAAAATATTATTCTCTGATTAAAGGAGTAGCTGAACATTCTTCTACCAATTAGATAGAGCAGAGCTTGAAATCCAAACTTCTACATGCCGCCTTGGAGGTGGACAATAAGATTTCTGCTCTGTCTTGAATCCTCAGGGTTGCCATTCTTAGCCACCTTGAAAGAATTAGTACTAAGTCTGATTTTTGTTCAGTGGACTGCTTCAGTGAGTCGTAGAATTATTTGCTGTAATAGGAGCCCCCCACCCACCCAGCATAGGCTTATTTTCTACTTGGCAGGGTAGCTAATCAAAAGAAACTAAAAGTGCTGCAAGATTCAACATAGAACCAATGTGTTTGTAATAAGTAATAAGTGAAGCCGTAATTTAAAAAATGATTGGCTTGAAGATGTATTAGTAGGTTTTTCATTTGAAACTGACATTGCTGAAAAGGCAAGAACTATTTATATATTATATATAACATGAATGAGAAAGTGAGAACAAAAGGTTTTCAATGGGATTTTACATCTTCCAGACCTGCGGCAGAATTCAGCTGAGAATGTGAACAATAAATAATTTCAAACTAGTAAGTAAATGACAGTGGGTTGTCCTCCCCTCCCACCCCCGGCCAAGCCATTAGGGGAAAGCTTTTCAGAACTTTATCTCCATAGAAAGAGGTAGAATGAGCTGACCGTGATGCCATTGCTTTCTCTGAACACCTAGATGTATATTCAAATATACCTATACCGATTTTGCAGCCAGTTATACAGTACTTAAAACTTATAGTAACTGCTGGTAATACAAAGTTAAATAAAGCATGACTTTACTTAAATGTTAAAGGAAACTTTAATGGGCATCAACATTTATCAGTAAGTCTCACTCCAGTAATTTTTGTTTGTTTGTTTTAAGGTCTTCTACCAGACCAGAAGTTGCTAGCATAGAAGCTATAGAGCAAGACAACCAACAGTGTTCACAGAAGGCTATTGTGCAGGCCCGTTCATCGCAGGTGACACGCCTTACAAGTATTATTTTGGCTGAAGATATTTGTAAGTAGAGCAATATTCTTCCCATCTTATTTTGAGATGTGTATGTTTTAGATGACTTTGTTGTAAGTTAATTCTACACTATTCTTTGGTTGGAATGTGGTGTGGTGGTTTTTGAGGTTGAACCTATCTTGTAACTAGATATTTTCCTGTATCTCATCAAGTAACTGGCCAAGTCCTTCGCTGCGATGCCATAGTTGACCTTATTCATGATGTTCACATTGTGTCCACCACAAAAGAACTGTATCTAGAGGATTCACCATTGCAACTGAAAATTCAAGCTTTAGATTCTGAAGGTAAGACTATATCTCTTTTAACATAAAATATTCATCCAGACAAAGAGCTCTTCTTGATGTTATGTTGGCCATGGCCATACATTTTCCTTCCTAAATCTACCGCTGTGTATCAGTAGTCTCAGCTTGAAATTCCTATCTGCATAAATGGGCTTCTAAATTTGCATTTTAATCATATTGGTATTTTTCTTTAAATTCAAAAACCTCCATCAACAGGGGGGGAAATCACTGTCTCAGTCTAGTTTTGCGGTCAAGTGTCTCCTAAGAAAGCCATACAGATCACGTGCCTCCTGCTCCCTTCATAGGCTGGTGTGGTGTGATGTGAAGGTAGAGCCATCCTGTTTAGTGCACCAAAGAGCTGTCTCCAGGATACCCAATAAAACAGCTCTGTAGCTCACCTGGACCAAGTGAGGTTATTCTCTCTTTGCATCAGCCTATGGTGGGTGGTGATCCTGCTTAGCCCTAGGCTTGGGTTCTCTGAAGGGAGCTGTCTTGTGCACCCAAACTCAGCACTAAGCAGCCTTGCTTCTCCCATCCCTGTAAAGTAGTGAGGAAGAGGGAAGCAAAGCTAACTTTTGCAAGTAGAAGCAGCAAACTGGAGATGTTTCGCTTGTTACTGTTGCTTGCAAACTCCAGCCTTGTTTCTCCCATCCCATCAGGTGTCAGGAAAGGGATAAGCAAATTGATGTTTTGCAAGCAAAAGCAGCCTGTCAATCATGTGGCATTATGAACATATCATGTTTGGGCAGCCCTGTGTCTTTGGCCCGTGGGCCTGATCCTGCTAAGGATGTGGCTCATGGAACCAAAAGGGTTCCCCAGCCCTGCAGTCAAGCAGTATACTTGCAGAGATGTCATTGGGATCAACAATACCCAACAATATTGGGATAAATAATATAAAGTACATAAAACTGCAAGACCTATGTGTGGGGCCTAAACATAAAACAAAATACTGTGACAGTAACAGAACATATGAAATAACTATTACAGTTGTATTAGGACTGCGAAGGTCACGACTTGTGAATTACCTATAAAAACAAATCATACAGGCCTTGCAATCATAGCTGACAGTATTTGAGTAGCCTTAGAACTGCAGCTGACATGCAGGTAAAATGTGGTGGGAGGCATTCCTTTCTGTATTCAGAAGCTCTAAAGATGAGAGTAAAAAAGAAATGAAGGAATTATAGCATTTCCATGGCTAGTCAATAATATCAATATTTGCACTGGATAGCAGAGATTCTGTTTCATGAATTGGACTAATAGACATATGCTGGTATCAGTTCAAGTAAACCTAAATTTTGAGGGGAGTTGAACTGTCTCCCGGGCCTATTGTGCTTGCAATACATGTACTGTAGGGGTGCTGTGGCCAATGTCACAGCAAGCATTTCTCATCTCTTAGTGTCTGCTGCAGATTTGCAGCTTCAGCACTGTTCCGTTTCTCCCTGCTAAAGAAAAAAGCACACTATTTGATTTATTTTTACTTTACATTTCAGCAATATTGAGGGAAGATTTACCTTAGCTCCGCAAAGTTCAACCAAGTGTTATGAAAACAACCAATTATGATTGTACATCTTGTATAAAATACCCTTGGGCACTTAGAATTCTATTTTCTGTGGTAGATTGCCTTTTTAAATAGAAATTTTAGGATGGAATGCCAACCCACAGCACTCTACTCTGTACTAGGAACCCATGATTGAAAGGTATTTGTAGTCTTTGATACACTTAGATGCACTTTGAGGTGGAGAATGGTCATAGAGTGCATGTGTGACTGCAACAACATTTTCTACTGATTTTGCAGTAAAATCACGCTATTGATTATGCGCCAACAGTGAACACAACTGCAAATTCATTTTTAATTAATCAAAATAATTTGAAAATAGAGAGAAGTGAAGGATCAAGTCCCAGATTTGTCAGATTAACCTCTTAGGTTTCTGAATTTGTGTTATCCCTTAATTGTAAAAACAACCTTATTTAAGGCTTAGTTTTTGGTAAGGAAGGAAGGGTTGGTTATGTATTTATTTATTTATTTATTAGAATTGATATGTCACTTGATTGCAAAAGAAAACTCAAACTGGTTTGCAGAAAGATGCAGGAATCGTTAAAATAGAAAAATAGAGAGAAATTAACAGAAATTCACTTCAGCTGCATCGTCCATAAAGTTTTTATTGTAGGACATTTCCATTCTTTTTAATTGCTTTAATTCTGGTCACATTGTTAGATAGACAACATTTGAGACATAGAATCTTTATTTACTTCCATTTCCAAATGATAGTTTGATAAGCTAAAAAAAATGGCGCTTTTTTTCTTTTTAAAAAAGAAAGTTAATTGCAGGTAAGCAAACAATAGTTTTTATTAAAGTGATGTCTTTGAATTGATGCTATTGGGAGATGAAGACTGATATCGTGACTGAGGAGTTAGCCTTGAATAATGATTTTAATTCCATTTCTTCATTAATGTAATAGCTTTTAATGAATGTGTATTCAATAGTAACAATATACCTGAAGCAGCGTCTCCTCCCCATTGTTCAGCCCGGACACTGAGGTCCAGCTCCGAGGGCCTTGCTTTTTTGTATACACAACTATGCAAATGTTCTGCTTGCTTGAGCAGTATGAAATTGAGCATGCATGTTTTTATTGTATGATATCTTATTTGTTTTAGATATCACATAAGTAGCTAGGAAAATGGGGCCATCTTGAAATATTTATAGCCTTATCTACCCACTTACCTATAGCAGGAATAATGCAAATTTTAAAATTTCAGACTGCATTTGCACATTATGCTTCTGTGGATTGTGGAACGCTTTGCACTGTTTAAGTAGCATTAAATTAAAAACAAACCGCTATTTGTGAAATAGTAAAGCTGCAATTCTGTGTCTGTGTTGTCAGAAGTAGAGACCCATTAAATTCAATGGGACTTGCTCTCACGTAAGCATGTATAGGATTGCAGCCTGATTGGAATTTCATATCCTATAGGGTCAGTTATGAACTGATGACATTAACGAAGGCAGCCTTAATTTAGGCAGTTTCCACATTACTTCTAGTTTTCAGTAGTTGCCATTTGTATTAAACTTGCGTCCAACATGTATGTAATCTCGGCTTCACTGATCATAGAATGTTTTATACAAATTCCTTGTTTCTGTTTGATAAATGAATGGTGACTCAATCGCTTTCCCCCCAGTACAAGAAACTTAATAATAAGAATAAAATTCTAAGCTTCTGAAATAGGCCTAATTCATGCCATATTGTTTTGTAATATTTGATTCTGGTTCCTTTTCATTTTCTTTTGCTGCTGCTTATTGTAATTTCCAAACATTTGGATTTCCGGGCAGAAAAGTTATTGATTGAGCTTTTTTTATTTTTACTAAAGTTGTTGAGCTTAAAAAATTGACATATTTGAGCTATTTTTAAGGAAAATCGGTGAAAATGACACTGCCATGCATCTGGGTTTTCCCAGACATATAGCCAATTGCCATCCAGACACTGCTACCAACTGCAGTATTCTAGACATACGGCAATCCTAGATGTAGTTTTATGGCTGATTACCAAAATGTGGAAAGATTCTATAGCTGTTCTCACATTTGATACTTATTTTCTTGAATTATTTTAAGGAAACACCTTTAGCACTTTGGCGGGACTTGCTTTCGAGTGGACAATTATGAAAGACCCAGAAACTAATGGATTCTCAGATTCCCACAATGCACTGCGGTAAGCATCATTAAAATTGTTTCATTTGTTACTTTATGCATAAAGGACAATGGGCAGGGAAATAGCAAGCACCAGCTTTGATCTCCTGTTCCTGTTGGCATTGCCCCCCCCCCCTTGGGTCTTTATTTCTTGTGTTATGAAGACTTTCTTTGGGGGGGGGGGGAGTCAAGGCAACTCGTGATATAACATTTAAAGCAATAAACTAACAAAAAACATACAGTGGTAACTCGGCTTAGTACTTAATTCGCTCCGAGGTCCGTTCTTAACCTGAAGCACCACTTTAGCTAATGGGGCCTCCTGCTGCTGCGCGCTGCGGAGCACGATTTATGTTCTCATCCTGAAGCAAAGTTCTTAACCTGAAGCACTATTTCTGGATTAGCGGAGTCTGTAACCTGAAGCGTATGTAACCTAAAGCGTATGTAACATGAGGTACCACTGTACTGAAAACGAAACATTTCTCAAAGAGTTAGGGATAGCAGATAAAGTTTCATAGAAAACATCATTGATAGGCCAGCTGGCAGCAAAAGAGCATCAAAGGTGGCTCAGTTCAGGCTTCTTTAGGCAGTGGGGTCCACAACCAAGAATTCATAGAATTGTAGAGTTGGAAGGGACCATGTGGTCCAACCTCCTGAAAAGGACATTTCATCCATGTTTTCAATAGAACAGTAAAAAGAACTGCAGGAGTCTTTGCCCAGCATGTGGCTTGAACCCATGACCCTGAGATTAAGAGTCTGAGCTATCCCAAAATCCCAACTCTCAAGGTCCATGGGATGGAGGCAGTACTCCCTCGGGTGAAAAATTGCTCTCTCACAGTATCCCTGCTCAACTCCCCCAGCAAAGTAATCCAGAGGGGAGAGATAGAATTGCATACAGAAATTATAGATAGATAGCCCAGGCCTAGTGCACCCGACCCACTGTGTTTTTCAGTCCTTGGCATGACACAAAATACAGGAAATTCATTGCATCTCTGGTTGCTGACGGGCTGTCTTCAACTTACTGTATCACAAGTTGTGCAGGCTTGAATGCTCATGTTCTTATAAGTAATCTTTTATCTTGCTGATTTGCAGTTAAAAACTGAACTGAACTAAAGTACTGAACGTGAGTTAATTAACTTAGATTTATAACAGTTGCATGTTCCAGTTGGTACTCTCAGCACACTCGTATGCCATTAAAAATTACTCATAATTAAAACAGAATCGGCTCAATAATACATGCTCCATGGATTTAATCCACAGAGTAGCAATAAACTAAGGATAATGGTTTGCCTCAAATTGTGCCCCCCTTCCTCTGACAGAAGCCTCTTCAATCCAGCAGAGGATTCTGTCTGCTGAAAGGGGGACAGGTGGGATCTTCACAAATTCCGTTGTTCTTCTGCAGCCCCCTTCTGCCCCCACCTGTTTCTAAGGACTCAGTGATACAGATGCAAATAAAACGATTAAAGTGTGTTTTAAGTGCAATATACACACTAGATGACAATGGTGAGCCTTAATAAAAATTCAATGTATTTTTAAAAACGCTTTTTTTTTTAAAAAAGCATTTTCATAACATTTTTTATATAGAGTCCATCAAAGGGTCCCTTATTCCTCTGGAAAATGTCTGGGGCATGAAGGGGGCTGCAGGGAGAAGAGGGGCAGTTGCTTTCAAAAATTCTTAACTTCCCGTAGCATAGAAAAAGACTACATGTTTGGTAAGTTAAAAATGGTTTCCTCTTCAAAGGCTAGTTTCATGTGCTTTTCCATACAGCAGCAAGAAAATATAGGCAGTATAACTTAGGTTCCAAAATGGTAAGTGTTTTTAAATTATTTGTAAAGAAACACAAAGATGGCTTGCTTAGGCCATGCAGCTTGGAGCATCCATCTTAGACATCCTTACTGGTCGTGTTCACGTGGTAGAAAGAGAGAATTTAGTAACTCTTCCTCCCAAGTTGAGTTGGAGTGACCTATCTAAGCCTTGCAGCACAACTTACTCTGTGGTCTTAACCCTTTCATGCATTAGATTTAAACATGTTGGCTATATGATCCTACATACGCTGTGCAAAATTGTGGAAAGCAGTCCACATATGTTGCATTTTTGCTTTCCCTAGTGTTTACAACACTTCATTGCTTTCAGACAGATCTTTTGAGTTTGAGTTTCCATTTTGGTTAAAATGCCTCAGTTTTAAATCCTATCCAAGAGCAGTGTCTCTTTGGATATTTTTCATTTCATTCAATGTTGCAGCTCCACTATTGATACTGACTCTTTGAAAATGGGTCTTCAATGAAGCTGAATCACTTTGTATATCCCAATTTGGTTACAATCCATCATAATAAATGAAACAACAGGCATTCCATTTGTTTAATTTTCTTGGAGCCTCCAAAGTACTTTTCTGTTATTTTGGAGTTTCTGACCATATTCAAGAAGTACACAGAACACTAAATCAATTTTTCCTCATATAATTTTGCATATTAGAGCCAAGTAGAACATTAAACTGATATTCAGCAGCAAAAGGAGCTGTAAATTTAAACTGCACTTCAAGGCCCTAATTTTAAGGAGTGAGGCGCAACCACAATTAAATACCAAGGGTTGAATTCAGCATAGTGCTAAGGAGATCGTTCCATTTTTTTCTTGTCTAACAGAGCAATCTTCCTTTTCCTTCCCCCTGTGTGCTGTTCTAGGGTTTCTCCTGGCCCTCCAGAGTGGATCTGGAGGAGTCACAGGAGAAGCAGGGGAAGCCCCATTGCACTAATGGGATTCAGCTAATGGAACTGTGTAGTTGAATCCAACCCTAAGGTTAAATATGTGCTGAACTCTCTTGCATTGAAATCATGACGACGACAACAACAACAACAACAAACTACAACAACAATTAATAATAATAGTTTTATTCTGCACTTCTACCAAAGTTCAGTTTTCAGGATAGTTCATTAACAAGTATAGTATTTAAAACAATAAAATAATATATGATTAATTACTAAAATAAATATGCAAATTTAAACAGCAGTAGCTCTATTAAACTTCAGGGGGGAATGAAACACATAGGCATTCACATCATATGCTACCAAAGCCTTGGGAGCATAAAAATGTTATCAGCTGGCGACGAAAGAATAGTAAATAAGGGACCTGGAAAATATACACAGAATGGATTACTCTGTGGCTGGGTGCCATAAGAGAAAAGGCTGTGTCTCTGGTAGCCAACCTGTAAGGAGCTAAAAGTGGTTGCCATTCTGTATGTTAGCTCCTTTACGGGCCACTTGAGAACAAGATTAAGAAAGCATCGTTCAAATATATGTCACAGCAACTTCATTGGAGCAAAAGAAATTATCATCCTTTGCCAGCATGCAATACAGGAATTTATGGGGGATTAGCAATAAATGCAATGACTCCTTGGGCTAGCTTGTGCTCTTAAAAGAGGGGAAGGAAAGCTACCAGTCAGTATTCCATTATGAAATAAACAAATTAGAATAGGACTGATAGCATCTAATCAGCTGACTTGAAAAGAGAGAGTTAATATTATTTCTGTTCATCCAGATTGCTTCTTTGCTGTGTACAGAAGTGCCCCTTTTAGCAGGCAAGCATCAGTGCCTTGTGCTATCTTTCAATATAAAAATGTTCTATGGTCAGCACAGTGGTTTCCATTTGTTAACTTGGCCACCATATTCTGAAAGAGTTAGGAAATTTTCAGATATGCATAATAAATAGGCAGTTCCATGAATAACACATGACAGAAGTTTAACCTGGACATTATCAAGGCATTTATGCCCCGGCAAGATCACGCAGCTGCTAAGTAATGGAAGATGGAACAACAGTTGTCACTTGAGCATTCATGGGTCAGACTGGATCTGTAGACTTTATAACTAAGGAGGACCTGCAATCCCATCTAAAGTAAACCTAATACACTGCCAGTCCTTTGCATTTTTTAGGTGACATTCCCCCTTCTTCATAAAAAATACAGGTATATGAATATCTAAAGTTATTAACTCTTTTACAGCATCCTGAAGTTCTCAGAATCAACCTATACACCACCTTCCTATATATTAGAGATGGAAAAAGTTGCCAGACAAGGGGACATTGTTTTAGTATCGGGCATGAAAACAGGGAGTTCGAAATTAAAAGCAAGGATACAAGAAAGTGTTTATCAGGTAAGGTCCTTTTCTGCAGTACATTTATTATAGCAGTCTTCCAACAGGATGCTTTTTCTCCTTTTACAGCTATTGCCCAGTGATGGAAATAAGGTGATACTGATAAGCGAAACATATATATTGATCACAAAGCACAATTCAAAAAATGTTCTGCAGAACTAACAAATGTTACTGTGGCATAAGCTGCTGTAGGCAAGATGCATGAAGCAGACAGATGCATGTATAATGTGGATGAAGGAATCTTTTACTGCTTTGTGTAGTGAGACTGAAAGGTGACATACCATTGAATGTTGACAGTCACCAAAATGGGTTTCTGCATTCATTTCATTTCGCATGTCCCAAAACTGCAAAAAAATATACAACCTGTTTTCTGGTACTTGCAAAATTTACCTGGGATTGTTGTCAACATACACATATGAATGCCAACATTCACAAGATAATTGCTAGAGATTAGAACAGACACCTCATTATTCCTCTGCCCCTTCCCCCCTTTTTATTGTCATTGTTTGTATGCTTGTGAACAGTCCAGGTTTCTTTTCACTACATCAGAAATGTCTGTACATAAACATTCGGGAGCTGCTGCTGATATATAATTTTATTAATTTTTCAAGATAGCCTACAAAAGAGAACCATAAAACAATTATAAAACATCAGAAACAAAAGCAATTATCGTCGCAACAGTAAAAATACAAAAAACAACAACACAGTATATATAAAAACAGTTAAAATCCTGGGCAATTATTATTTTTTAATGTCTAAAATGTGTTTCTCTGGTTAACCCAGTCACGTGGCACCTTATAAATAATAGTAATTTTTATTAAGAAAGCCTACAGATGGCTTCTGAATGGTAAGAGCATGTTCAACAATGCAGCCAATTACATTTAGAAGGAGCTATCCTTTGCTATAGGTCTTCAAGAAGAGGCTGCTGGAGAGGTTAGATTTCTGAAATCCCAGTATCAAGCAGGGACATAGCATTTGATGGCTTGTAAGGACTCTGCTGATTCTACTTGCCACTTATCATTGCTATAGGCTGCGAGAACTTTGGAGTAGGGACTGACACACACCAGTACTGTTGAACCTGTTGTTCTCCAGTGTTCTTTGGGGGCTATTGCTATGTTATTTTGCTAGTTTTGCTCAGTAAATGATGTTGTAAGTGGAACATTGAAGAAGCAGTTAGCAAGACTCCTAGGCCTCTGGGGTTTTTTTCTCAGGGATTAAAAACTGCAAAATGATGCATTGTTTTTTGCATATTACAGTTCTTCAGGGTATTCAGATGCTTGACAGATAAAAATAGGTATCCATTACAAGTATGGATTTTGCAGCACCAACACCACTGTGGCGAAGTCAGCAAGATGCTACTCAGCAATATTCTTTTCATATCAGCAGAAATGTATGTGTTTAGGGTATATGCCATTTTAAAAATAAAGAAAATTAACTAGGACTCAAGTGGAAAAAATGTGAAACACTTGGGTATTTGTATCCCAATCTGAAAAGACCCTTTTCTTTTCTTTTTTATTACTATTACTTTCTGATTGGAAATAGATTTAAAGGAAAAAAGCATAGACTCTGAAGCCCCCCTCTTTTAGACCCTCACAGTGCTGTCTGGGATTATCTAGACCAGTTTTTTTGCAAAATCAGCCACTTGATATTCATAGGTTACAGTCTAAACCAAGTGGCTTACTGTGTTGCTTAATAATGTTCCACCATAGCCATATATATATATATATATATATATATATATATATATATATATTTAAGAAGGTAAAGACCTCTCTGCATCTCTTTCAAGGTGCCCACCCTTTATAAAAAAAGTTTATGTATATGCATACAGTTGTACAAAGAATATTCATTAAGTGGGTGGGAAAACTAAAGTAATGGTTGTGTACAGGAAATACAGGACAAGTGAAATACCATGTACTGGCAGTGTGGCCTGGGTGTCCCATTGAAGATTCCAGATAGCTGTAGGCTAACCTAGCCTGCCACGCATCAGCCTGGGCTAGTGTCAAGATTTAGTCTGAAAGTTATTCACCTGTATTGCATCATTTTATGAGCATAAGCCAACAGGTGTTTAAAAAAATCTCATGAAAATGAATATATTCACTCATACTTCCATGTGTTACAGCCTCTACAATCCACATTTACTGTGCATTTTGTTGCAATTGCAAAGCAAAGCAGTTTTGGAGTTGTTCTGTAATAAAATAGATTAAAGAGGAACTAGATATGACCTTTTATGAGACATTTAAAGTGTTGAGGTTTTCAACCATGAGGGTGGAAAAATTGGTGTGAGATCTGTACACAAGATGATATGGGAGTCCAGTGCTGTCTTCTCAATATTTTAAAGTTATTTTAGTCTAAGACCAGTGAAATCTTCCAAGAGAAGAAAGTGGTGGAATGAAAATCCCTTTCTGTTCACATTTTCCAGTTTGTTTAATGGCCTATTTTAGCAGTTTTTCTTCAGAATGGCTAGTTCAGCGGGACAGTGCTGCAGAAATGCCCTCCTGACACACCAGTGTTGCTCCTGCTTACCTGGGGGTGGGATAGGGCAGAAATAAGATTGTGGCCGTACAGGCCCACCAGTGGCAGTGCCCGATTGACCTGACCTCGCTCTCATTCTGTTTTGCACACTGGTGTCGAGAGAATAACTCTACAGCAGGCATAGGCAAACTCGGCCCTCCAGATGTTTGGGGACTACAACTCCCATCATCCCTAGCTAACAGGACCAGTGGTCAGGGATGGTGGGAGTTGTAGTCCCAAAACATCTGGAGGGCCGAGTTTGCCTGTGCCTGCTCTATAGTATCATCCAGGCGTGGCGCACCCATAAGGCAAGGTGAGCCAACCGCCTCAGGCAGCAGGTTTCTCCTGATATAGTCTTGTCCCCTTGTTCCTGATGTAGAACTTCCCTGACCCCTTCTTTACTGGCGGGGAAGAGGGTGCCATTTTGGAGTCTTGGGCCAGCCCTGATCTCAACAGATTCCATCATTTGCAGTTCCTTTTTCTTAGCTGTCCATAAGACCTCCGGTTAGGCTTGGCTTTTAAGTTTGCATTCCAGAATGAGAATTCTAGCTGAAAGAATGCGTCATATTAATTGCTTGCTTGTTAACACTGGATTTACCTCATTCACTGATTGCTTGAGTGCACATACATTTTCAGTGCTTGTAAAATTTAAAAGGCAATCATGCAGATTTGTGTATGGCAATATAACTAACCGTAGTATAACAGAATAAACAAACAGAATGTGATCTGATAAGGGCTTGACTGCTCTGTCAATACGTATTGATAGATGCTTACTACCATGCTAAGGTCCTTGTCTTAACTTTGTGCATAAGTTAGCACAAAGAATATGTTCATTGCATGACGTTCCTATTTTCCAGTAATCCAGAGTATGGCCTTAGAAGAAGTTAACACAACAAAGTCCTATTCATGTGAGAGTAGGCTGCCCTTTAGGTACCCACAACCCCAGCTGCTTAAGTCTTTAAAAATAAAACTCATTACTTTTGACATGTACCTTGAAAGAAACTAGAAGCCCCTGAAAATCTTTAAATGCTGGCAAGGTTAAACCTGCTCCATAGGTCTCAGTTAATTACCTGGCCATCATTGAACTAGTCAGCGTTTCTGAATATTCCATGTTAGTTACCTCTGCAGTAGCACTGCCCCAACGAAGATAAATGTAAAAAAATCAGGTTCTCTCAAGAACACCTTCACTGGGGACATCAACCAAAAATATGCTATTCCCTTCTGTGACCTCGCAAGGAAAGGACTGAAAGACACACACACATAAAGGCTGTGTACACATTCTGCCTTTAAAACTCATTCTTTCCCTCAAAAAATTCTGGGTAATGTTGTTTTTTAAGGGTCCTGGAAATCGTAACTCTGTGAGGAATAAGCTACAACTGCCAGAATTCTTTGAGGGAAAGAATGTGCTTAAAAGGTAGGATGTGTACACAGTCATTATGTGTGTGTCTTCTCAACCTTTTTTTTTTAAAAATGGAAAATTAACTTTTGAAATTACATAAAATGTAATTTATCTTTTATTGCAAATCAACTGTTTGTTGTCATTTAATGTTGGCATGTATCTTTCTCTTTTCAAATAATTCTCCAGCATTTTTCTCCACACTTCTTCCTCTGTTTTCCTGACTGAGCTGACTTGAGCGAGTAGAACATTTGCACTAGAGATGTTAAGGAATCCCTTCTCACTGTGTTCTTTATAACCCACATGTGAGCTCAGAGAAAATTGAAAACCATACTTCATTCATCCACATGGCACTGCGGAATACCCACATGGCAGTACAAAATACAGTTGCTTAAGTTAACTTGCTGCATTCAGTTTTCTCTGACAAGTTGACATTCATTTCTTCCCCCAAAAGCACCAAGAAAATACTTTCAAGAAAAAGTAATTATAACCGCAGAATTGAATAATGTACATCTATTCTCAAAGGCAAAAACTAGACTTGCTACAACTGTTCCAACTGTTCAGGTAGATAACTTTTTCTATTTTAAAAAAAACTAATGTTTTAAAAGACAGACCACTGTACTGGGAAAAACACCACAACATGTGGCGTCTCTGTTCCTCAGGCAGCGAGAAGTTCCTGGGGCAATGCTTACCCTGACTTGCCTTCCTTTGAAAGGGAGATCAATGGAGACATTATGTGAGAATATACTGTAAGCTTTAAAAAAAAGTTTGGGAGTAAGTTATTCTTACAAACAGGTCACATTCTGTATTTTACACAGTAGTGTATCGTACGGTCTTCTGTTTCCTGGTATGCAATAAAAGGACTTGTGGAAATTGGATTTTCTCAATTCTTACCAAGAAGTTGGAACTTTGTGCTTGCTCCAAGGTGTGGGAGATGATATAGATAGATGATAGATGATAGATATCCTCTGCTCACCAAGAAGGTGGTGTCCACACAGTGGAAGCAGCTTGGTTATTTATTATTGCTTAATTCCACAACAAGCAAGGTAACATGTACATTTTGCAAGGCCAACTGGACTCAGTTGTAGCCAGCTCCTAGGACCCCTGAAATCTTGCACCTTACAAGCATTGGCAGAGCTATTAATTTGGGGATCTTTACTGGAGACAGTTGCGTGCTTGATCACAACGGGTTGTACCTAAGTCCTACTCAAGCAGGCCCAATAAAACTCCTGAACCTGAATTGGCCTAGGGCTTGCCGATCAGAAGGTCAGCGGTTCGAATCCCCGCGACGGGGTGAGCTTCCGTTGCTCAGTCCCTGCTCCTGCCAATCTAGCAATTCGAAAGCATGTCAAAGTGCAAGTAGATAAATAGGCAGGAAGGTAAACGGTGTTTCCGTGTCCTGCTCTGGTTCGCCAGAAGCGGCTTAGTCATGCTGGCCACATGACCCGGAAGCTGTATACCAGCTCCCTTGGCCAGTAAAGCGAGATGAGCGCTGCAACCCCAGAGTCATCCGCGACTGGACCTAACGGTCAGTGGTCCCTTTTCCTTTACCTTTATTAACTTCATAGGTCTACTCTAAGTAGCATTAGAAGGGTCTCTGCATACAGCCCACAAGCTCATAACACTACTTTAATTTGCTCATATCCCTTCTGAAAGGGCAATGCAACCAGCTGTTATTTCAAAACAAAATTAGTGCTTTTCTTGCTTTACATTTTCCAAGTTTGTTTTTCAGTGAATGAAATTAAAACTTTACCATGAACCTAACTGTTTCTTTGGAAATCCCATTTGTGTGAGAGTTTTTAAACCTATATTCCCCCCCCCCCCGCCTTTTCTTTTTTAACCTACAGAATGTACCTGCTGCTGAAGTCAGGTTGTTTATTTTGGAAAACATAATTCTGAATCCAGCGTATGATATCTACCTACTTGTAGGAATGTCAGTGCAGTATAAAGTTCAGAAAATAAGACAGGGGAAGATTACAGGTTTGTCTTTTTGTTTTTTCAAATGTTGATATTTTGTATTCAGCCATTCTCTGAGAAAGACTGGAATGCAGATCTACCTGACAGAAATGATTACCACCTTTTATGTGTATCTATAGACCTGTACATATCCTCATTTAAGTCAAGAAGGTGAAACAGAGACTGTGAGTTGCAGTTCACTGAGCCAAATTTTGACGTGTCATTTTAATATGCCATCTGGCAGACATTTCCTCCAAACTCTTGTGACAGGAAGGAAGGTTTCAGTTAGACTACATCATATCAACCTGAGTGTATTCCTACAAATACTATCCTCTGTGTGTGTCTATACAAAAGAACTCTCAGTAGTAGTATATGGATTTATACTTTTATCTGTTGCGTAAACCAGTTTTGTGAGTATAAGGTATTTCCTTCACTCGATTTGAGTTGCTGCGTCAATCCATTTTTCTTTTTATTTATCATAACAAATTTATTGATGACTCGATATTTTACACTGACAGGACTCCAAGGGTGACACCTTTATGCTCTCATTATTTTTTGTGTCTTCTTCCTATATGTACAGAATTAATAATGCCTTCCGATCAGTATGAACTGCAGCTTCAGAACAAAACACTCAGCCCTGGGGGAGATCCAGCCTGGGCTGTTGCCAAGTTGGATCAGGCAACATCCAGAGTTACTGCATTGCAGCGGGGACAGACGAACGTTGTACTTTGCCACAAAAATATCCTTTTGAATAGCGTCCTACTTGTTAGCTTTGAAGCTTGATGAAATTATCGATTTTGGCTCATGCAGCAGTTGGAGAACTAGCCACTATGACCTAGTTCGCATGACGCGCTGGGTCAAACCTTGGATTAGCACGAATGCTGGAACATACAGGCTCCCAGATAGAAGCTCGTAGCTGTGTCGTGATGAACTAATTTAGGTTTTGGCTTAGCATGTGGTCTGAACCAAGGTTTGTGGCTAAGCAGTTTCCAGACTAACCACTAACTATAACCCAGGTTAGTTCAATGTGGTGCCTTCCATAGTTCCAGTTACAGGTATCTGTAGAAGAAGAAGTATCTGAAGAAGTGTGCATGCACACAAAAGCTCATACCAATAACAAACTTAGTTGGTCTCTAAGGTGCTACTGGAAGGATTTTTTTTATTTTGTTTCGTCAAGGTTAGTTCAAACATTGGCTTAGCTCAGTAGTTACAGCAGCATAGGGGGGTATCTTGTGCTTCTGTACAGTTGTGGCAACTGCAGCTGCAATGGCCTAGAACCCTTTAAAAACATGGTAACTGAAACGGAAGCTGTGTGAGCTAGACTTGGGGGGGGGGTTCATGCATTGGTTGCTTCAAGACTGGATTACTGCAATGCATTCTGTGTGGGACGTTCCTTGCACTTGATTTGGGTGCTGCAGTTGCAGAATTCTGTAGCACCATTGCTGTCAGAAGACCCTGATTTGTTACTGGGCCAAGTTCAAGATGTTACTGTTATTATATAAAGCCTTTAACAGCTTGGGGCCAGTTTACTTGTGAGATTTCCTTTCTCTGTATATGCCTTCCTGACTGCTTCAATCTGCAAAACTGGCACTGTTACAGGTGGCGTGTAATACTCATTCTGCACTTGTAAGAAATTGATATTTTAATATGGCAGCATTTCACTTTGGAATTTCTTGCCTGTTGACATCAGGCAGGTGCCTTCACTATACTCTTTTCGGCACCTGCTAAATCCAGTTTTGTTTAGGCAAGCCTATCCAGAAATGCAGAACGTTGACATATGCTTATCATTGATTATTATTTTTGAAGGTTTTAAAAAGTAGCATTTTTAGTGATGATTGTATTTGTTTTATTACAATCAAGTGATATATAAACTTTGCAAAATAAATAAATCTTTTTTTACAGTGGTTAGGCAAAATGCAACATAGTGTATGGAGCCATACAATCTTAAGTTGTTGCAAGTTGAGTATCACAATTCCCTCTCTGTTTGGTGTTTGTCTGCCTTAATTGCCATACAATGAAATGTAGTTCTACCTCCAGGAAATGCAGTTCATCTTGTGCCAAACATAAATATAATTATAAAAGGTATTAGTTTGATTCAGGTGGAACAGGAAACCATGATTCTCAGTACAAGAGGAAGGCATGTAAAATGTCAGGCTCTTGCACTCACCCCTCCCACTACGGCAGCTGTGAGAAGCATCTACTTACACTTTTGTCCATACTAGTCTGCTGCATCCAGACTCCAGGAACTGTTTATTAAAACTCTTGTTAGGAAGATTATATGAGTCTCAAGTCACCGGCTGTATTAACATATAATGCTAAACCATAGTTTAGTTTACAGGCATCCCCAACCTTTGGCCCTCCAGATGTTTTGGCCTACAACTCCCATCATGCCTAGCTAACAGGACCAGGGGTCAGGGATGATGGGAATTGTAGTCCAAAACATCTGGAGGGCTGAAGGTTGGGGATGCCTGGTTTAATACTATGTGCATGTGCTATAGTGAGCTCATTTAAAGCACACAGAATGATTGAATTGCAGAGTTGGAAGCAACCCCAAGGGTCATCTAGTCCAACCCCCTGCAATGCAAGAATCTTTTTGCCCAACATGGGGCTCGAACCCATGACCATGACATTAAGAGTTTCATGTTCTACCAACTGAGCTATCCCATGAACTCCCTCTTCCTTCTCCTTGTCCTGTGCAGCCAGGAGGATTTCATTGAAGATTAGTTTCATTTTTATGAAGGGCAGCATATCATGTTCTATGCAGTGCTTTTTTCCTAAAAAAAAAATGTTTAGGGGTACTCTCATTTTGACTCAAGAAAATCGCTATTTTATAGTATAAATCAGGGGAAATAAATACAGTAAATGGACAAAAGGCCACCATTGTGGGTAGCAATGGAACTGACGATTCACTGTGCTAGAGAACAAACTAAAAAAAAATACATTTCTTCTCCTGTTAGATTCACAAAATGTTTAGGGGTATGCGAACCCATGCGTCCCCCCAGAAAAAAGCACTGGTTCTATGAACTAGGAAACTGGTAAATTGCAAAGCAAACTAACTTCAGACTATGGGTTATGAAGCTGACTTGTTTCTCTAATAAGAGTTTGACCCAGGAATCTGAGTTTACAACAAGGCATGGGTAGGCAGACTAAAGCCCGGGGGCCGGATCCGGCCTGATTGCCTTCTAGATCTGGCCCATGGACAGTCCGGGAATTGCTGCGTGGATCTGATTCTGATCGTTCAGGCTGCACCATTCTCCCCCCCCACACACACATATACCACAGCAGCAGCACCTCCTCCCTCCCTCCTTCTGGCTTCTCCCCGCCCTGCCTAGAGGAGGAAGGGGGCTGGGCTTTGTTGGTGCCAGCCGCTCTCGAGAGCCCTTTCGCACACCGCTCATCATTCCTCCGCCACCGCCACCAGCCCCTTCAACTCACAAGACACAGGAGCCACAGTTGGCTGAGCACCCCTCTCAAATGGCCGCCATTTAAAGCAGCCCCACTCCAGAGCCCTTTTGCATGCCACTCATCATCCCTCGTTCATTCCCCCCCCCAATATAGTCTGGCCCCCCACAAGGTCTGAGGGACAGTGGACCGGCCCCCTGCTAAAAAGAATTGCCAACCCCTGCCACAAGGCAACAAAGTGAAACTAAACTTCAACTAAGTATTTTGCATGGCTTCCTGGGAGGAAGAGGGATTCCTGAGCCCGATGCTTTGTTTAGGCTCACTGCAGCTCATGCATGCAGCATTAGATCACAGTGTAGTGTCATATGCAAACATAGCCCACTGTGTGTTCTTTATGATGCGTTATTCTCCTCTTTAGTTTCAGTTAAAGAAGAAATTGCTTGTAACTTACTGTATCTCTTGACCTTGACCAGTTTCCAAGCATTTCTATGAAAGGTGCTTCCAAATTGCCAAATGGCACCATTTATGTTGTAGACCCTGGATACTTAGGTGAGTACTAGATGTTCAGTCAAATGAATCTGTCAGTTTTGTCTTGTTAACTTTGGGGGAAAATAAATAACTTCTTTCTTCCAGCTATAATAACTTAATGTGTCCATTTATATTACAGTATGTTGATGTGTTTTTAATATAATTCATATCTGTGGGTGACTGGTGGGTGGCCTTTAAATTTGCATGGCCATAATTACAGCCTACTAGTTCAAATTTTCAAATATCTCATTTTCATTAGATTTGCAAATGTGTAGAATGGTTAAACATTGTGCTTATCATATGCAAAGCCATGAGCTTACGTGCCTCTTATTAATCTGTGGTTCCAAGCCCTTTCTCAAATGTCCTTTCCCTGTTTCCAAGCATTTTCTCTGGGCCACGGAAAGTACTCTTGCCTATTATCGTTGCTTGAAGCTCTTATGTTTCTAGCTATAATACACACACACACACACACACACGATAGAGAGATAGAGAGATAGATAGATTACAGTTACAGGGAACCAGGCAGAGGGCCTTCTCAGTAGTGGCACCCACCCTGTGGAACGCTCTCCCACCAGATGTCAAAGAGAACAACAATTACCAGACTTTTAGACGACATCTGAAGGCAGCCCTGTTTAGGGAAGCTTTTAAAGTTTAATAAGTTATTGTATTTTAGTGTTCTGTTGGAAGCCGCCCACAGTGGCTGGGGAAACCTAGCCAGATGGGCGGGGTATAAATAAATACATTATTATTATTATTATTATTGATAGATAGTTGCAGATCAGGGAACCCTTTGGGACTGACAAGTAAAGTAATAAATATTTACTTAATTATTTTTCTACAGTCACAGAATGTGATTGTTGCTTAATTTTTATTGCGTCAAACTCTAATGCCCTGGCTAAATATTAGAAGCCTCTTATCAACAAAATAAGAGTATTTGATTGAAAATATGATTCTGATAACCCTTTATCAAATATGTATTTCTGTACAGTATGATTTTCATTGCTTTTCTACTTTATAGGATTTTCTATTCATCCTGCTGATAGGTGGGTCTTGGAAACAGAGAGGATCTATGAAATCACTGTTGATGTGTATGATAAATCAAGTAATAAGGTGCACTTATCGGATGTAAGTGAAATATGGGCATACATTTTCTCTTAAATGTGTTTGTGTGTGTGTATTCTTATTCAGGTGTTTAATATTTATGGGAAATGAGCTCACTTCAGCCCAGTATGTGATGAGTGAGCAGCTTCAGCTTGAAGGAGGTCATTTCTGTATACATAGGGTTTTCTCTACGGCAACTCAAGAATAGTCCTTTTCTGTGATGGCTCCCTATTTATGGAATGCTGTCCCCAGGGAGGCTCACCTGGTGCCTTCATTACATATCTTTAGGCATCAGGCAAAAAGGTTTCTCTTCAGCCAGCTGTTTGGCTGATTAACATTCCCAAAGTGTTGGGATGTTTTTGGTTTGTTTTTGTTTTGTATTGTATTTTCTATTCTCAGTTTGTATTTTTATGTTATTAACCACCCGGGATCTTTGGATGGAGGGCTGTATACAAATTATTATTATTATTATTATATATTATTATTATTATTATTTACCTTCAAGCTGATAGTGATCATGTATCACCTAAGGCGAGCATGAGTGGCTGGCATGCACATAGGCCTTGAGGGATAGGGCTAGCCCCATGCATTCCCATTGACTCCTTCACATATTTGGTGCCCTCAATACCCATGGGTACAGAATTATGGAATCTGGCTATTGTCTAATGATATTTTAAGAAATTGCGGGGTTTTGCTACCAGTTTAAATTAGGATGGAGGGAATGGGCTTCACTCTGGTGACTGAAAGCAGCAAAAAATGTTTTGAGCCGGCTGCCTCTTTTTTATCAAGTCAGGCTGCCATATTATTTTACTTAGCCCTATTTGCGTGTCGAGGTCCCCAAGCCACCCCTAAATAATTCACAATTCACACCTAATTTTTGTTTAAGGTTTTTGGCATAATTTTGGCCACAACTTTATTAAAATACATAAATGTGAGTGGTTGCTTAGGCATTGGTTCCGACTATCTGTCCCCCACCCCGGGAGAGAACTGACTTCTGGATTCCAGCGAAAGCCAGTAAGGGAAAACAATATTGGGGCGAGCATGGGGCCGGGCACCAGACCCTCACTCCTCCCCGCATGCTTCCAGGGGCTTGCGCGGCCCACGCCCCATTCAGGGGTATGGACGAAAGAATGGCAAGCCCCTGGATTCCTTTAACAGAATTCCCTTGCAGCAGCAGCATTGGAGGGGCAGGCACCGCCAATTCATACCCCTCCACCAACCAGTTTTTTAAACCAATGCCTAACCGCAACCTTACAAGTTTTGACGATTTGCTACGTAGTGGGCAAAAACCAAATGGCACCAGCCAATCAGCCAAATGGACAAAATTCCTAACTGGCCCCTGCCCCAAAAGCAGACGACCCCATGACAGGCATAGCAAAGTCAACGCAAATACCCTTAAGTTAGGGAGGGTGGGCGGGGGATCCGATGCACGCAGCAAAAGTGCCCAGTCAGTGCTGCGTGCCTTGCTTTATAACCTTTGCTCCAGCCCCCTAAATGGCAACACCAAAATTTGCCCAGTAACCCAACCACCCAATCACTACGGATGGTCATCCATACTGACCCACCCAGCAACAGAGGGGTGGCTTGTCAGCCCCCACCGCAAGACGTGCTCTCTATGAAGGAGAACACGCTTTCTGTATCTCTGACAGCAGGCTGGCATGCTTAGATTAAGTCAGTCAGCTTTACCTGTGTATGCCTGCCTACTATTAAAACACTAGAGCAGGGCAAGTAAAGCACCAAATATGAGTAGTAACATATGAAAACATTGGGTGGTTGGAACCATAACCAACATTAGACAAACAACTCAGAGCAGATTCATAGAGGTTAATGGCAAGGGCTAACTTAGGTCTCTTAATTTCATTGAGTCTACTCGTGAGTAGAATTTAGCTGAGTAGAACAAAATTGGAAATACAGTGGTACCTCAGGTTACATATGCTTCAGCTTACAGACTCTGCTAACCCAGAAATAGTGCTTCAGGTTAAGAACTTTGCTTCAGGATGAGAATAGTAATCGTGCTTTGGCGGCGCGGCGGCAGCAGGAGGTGCTTCAGGTTAAGAACAGTTTCAGGTTAAGAATGGACCTCTGGAACGAATTAAGTACTTAACCCGAGGTACCACTGTACCATATATTGGTTTGGATGTGGAAATTTCTTGCATAAGCAGAAAAACTATTCAACTTTCACAAGATAACCCTGCTAAATTGCTCTGATTTCCCTGTCCTGCAGCTGCTGCTGCCGCCACTTCCCATGCCCCAGCCCACAGCATTGTCAGAGATCCTCAGGATTGTGCAGAGAGGCCACAGTGAACTATAGTCAGCCGAAGGTGTTAGGAAAGCCTTGCTTTGTGAATGAAGTTCAGCTCAATCTTTCCTAGATCTATTATAGTACTTCTATGTCATATATTCATTTTTATTTTATTCAGAGTACATCCTCTTATGTCCAAGTAATTACACTCATCCTTTTTAAATTTCAGAATCTCAGAATAGATATTTCCTGGCCAAAAGCGTACTTCAAGGTTCTTCAGTCCTCTCCAAATGGTTCATATCATCATGTGAAAGCGATAAAGGAGGGACACACCATTATAAGTGCTTCTTTAACATCTGTTGTAGATCAGGTATGTCTGTTGAAAGAGGAACATTTTGTCTTGCATTTGTTTAAAGCTGAAGCCTTGAATCTGAATGGTATCTTAAGAGCAAATATGATACATTGAAGTTCAACAAAGTCAAGGGGGAGTGGGAATTAACTTGTCTTAATAGAAATGGAGGACTCCTTACAACTATAAGCACATCTGTTTGAAAATAAATTCCATTGATTCCAATAGAATTTCATTTCAAGTAATTGTCTTCACAATCGCAAACTAACTACATATCCCTAAATACATTAATTTGAAGCAACCCAGTTGGACATTTTCGATCACTGGGGCTTTTTTCTAAGTAGTGTATTCAAGTAGTAAAGCTTTTTCTGAACTGTTTCATGCTATAGATATGAGTTGCTCAGCCATGATGAAAAAGCCCACTATATACAAAGGAAAATAATGTGTTTGGGAGCAGACTAGGTTGCCTCTATTTGTTAACCTGACTCTTTTGTATATGCTTGAAGTTAGGGGTTTTCCCTCTCCTACATGCAGCATTCAAACATCCTAGGCAGGACAGTCCGGTAAAACCTTTACGAAACAATTAAGTGGAATGTTTCAATTGGGCTTCAATAATTTCCAAAACATGAGGATAAGCTGGAAAGCTAACTTCCTATAGACTTGCCCCAATTTGCAAGTTTTGTAGCCCTTCCTGGTGTCTTTTTGATTACTGAAGACAAATGGGGTAGGAAGGAACAGTCCTATGTTGAGAGACACACACACACACACACACACACACATATATATATATATATATATAAATATATAAATATATATATATAAAACAATTTAAAATAATAATTTTACATCCTTACTATATCAATGATTTCGCTACTTCTCTTTCCATGGTTCATTTTACATATCATAAATCCCTGCATATTTTACAAAAACTGTACCATTCAGTACTCCATTATTGCATTCATCAAAACTTGTTTACACTGTTGAATTTATCTTAATGCTGCCAGTGTTTTCAGCTGTATACAATTATTTCCCATATATTCAATAAACATTTCCCAGTCTTTTTAAACGTATGTTCTTCTTGTTCTCTTATTCTATATGTTAAGTCTGCAGGTTGTGCATATTCTGTCAATTTAAGTTGCCATTCTTCTTTAGTTGGGACATCGCTCATTTTCCATTTTGGGGCTAACAAAACACGGGCTGCAGTGGTAGCATACATAGATAAGCTTTTCTGACACCTGGGAATATCAGTTTGAATTATCCCCAACAGAAAGGACTCTGGGGTGTGTTTGGGGGGAGGGAGTACTTTTAATCATTTTTTTTCAATAGTGTTGACAATTATTTCTTAACAATCTGGCACCTGTTGGTCCTGAAGCTGCTGTAGAGGCAAGAGGCTTTTGCAGTTACTCATGGAATGAGGGAGGCCTGGCAAGTTTCTTCAGTGTTCAGTTATATGCTTTGCTGGCACCAAGGAGAGGGCAGGGCTGTGAGGTTTTCTTCATACCTAGCCAACATGGGTATCAAAAGGAAATGTTATAATAATATACGGTAATTAAATCTGCAACATTCCTATAGACCACTGGTGACTGAGTCCCTGCTATCAGTCTGGATGTGCAAAGTATCCCAAGGATATAACACCATGCCAAAGTTTTGAGTGCCCCCATAACCAACACCATTGATTCCAGAATATCTTGTTAGCAACCTCCCACAGGAAATAAAGCAATGCTTCTGTGACTAATGAGAAGTTGCTGCTCAAGGCTGCAGATCTTGGCAGCCCTGGATAGTTGCAAGCTGATTTACTTGGGATAATTGTCTAGGGAATTGTTTCTTGACTTAGAATGTAATTGCCGGTATGGAGTTCAGAAAAACCCATTAATGGGAACAGATAAACAGCTTCTATTTTGAAATATACTTCTTTCTGGTTTAAAGTTTAGTGGATGTGGTCTTATCCAAGCTTGGAAAGTGATGCATAGTTTAATAAGGAGACTGACTTACTTTATAATGCTGTTGTAAGGATTACAACTAGGTCACATATGTGAATTTAAAAGTGCTATTGAAGTGTTTATACTAATGTAGTAGTAGTAGTAGTAGTAGTAGTAAGAAGTAGTAGTAGTAGAAGAAGAAAATACTGAGTGGGTTTTTTCAGAGTTAACTTTATTGTGAGCAATGCGTCTTTGGTTAACAATAGTAATTGTTATATACTGTAGATTAGCCATTGCTTTTTGGGATAGCTATAGAGCATATCCAACTGAGTTACTTAGAGTAGACCCAATGAAATCAATGGATTCAAGATTCATTAATTTCACTGAATCCACTCTGAATATAACTAATGTTTTGATATTGGAAACAACCTTATGATCCTAACATTACTTGCTTGGAGTTGAAAGGAAACCCCCAGAATGTAGTAAGGCCTTTGGACCAGAACCCATATCTTCAGGTTATCAATATCATACATTTCTAATACATATATGTTGACACAAATGTGCTCTGCAACACAAATTAGAAGGCCACTCTCTGTATCAGCTTCTTAGCCCATGTATGTATTTTTATTACTACTATTAAAAGACACTACAGTACACCTTTCAGTAATATTCTCGGGGCAGCTATAGATTAAAACAGTAAAACAGCTTAGCAAAATAGTAATCAGCACACAGCCTTTAAAAGGGGAAAATAAAGAGGTCTTTGCCTGGTGCTGAAAGTACATTAAATTGAGTGCCAGCTGAGATGGCCACCTATGTAACTTCAGAGACAGGGAGACATGGAGAAGTGTCTCCACTGTATGTGATGATGCAGAAGTTCATGAACATGTCAGAGATGAAATAAGCATCCCTAAGTTCCCACCGGCATTTCATCTTTTTAAGATTCAGACAGACTTTGTCAAATAAACAAAGTTTAATTAGTGCATAATTTATTTTAATAGGATGGAGGTGTTCACACACTACCTGTTCCTGTACAGAATCAGCAAGAAGTAGACATTTATGTTCCCATTGCTCTTTCACCAAGCATTTTGACGTTTCCATGGCAGCCGAAAGCTGGAGCCTATCAGTACACAATAAAGGTAAGTGCTGAAAGCCATCTAAATGCAGAAAACAGTCCGCCTCGCTATTGGGTACTTGATGACTCTATTGTACGTTATTAACTTTTGAGGCTGCAACCCTCTTTCTATTAGAAAATGGAATTTCGTTACTCTTCTGCTGCAATTTGACACCTGCTGCTTCCAGAACTGCATTTTGTTTTATGGCACACTCTTATGATTAAGGAGCCTTCCTTTTAAAGTAGGTATGATTGCAGAACATAACCTGTGGTGGTAGAAAATAACAAATGGAAAACAAATAAAAATTCTTATGGTTTATGGCAGGTAGGTTCCATAAGTTAGGGGCTTTGTTGACTGCTGAGAAGATAGCCAGAGCACCGACATACTTCACTTCCTCTGTTTCATCCACCATTGCAATAACATTGCTGTTGGGAGGCAAAGGCCACGGCTTTATTCACAGTAGATCTTCCAACCATGACTCTTCTTCTGCACTTTTCATGCTTTCTCAGTTTCCAGCGAATAAGGTTAACCAGAAGCATCTTTTCTTTGAACTTTCCTGGGAAAAACAAATTCTGTTACGCAAGCTTTTTTTTTTTTTTTTTGGTTTTGTTTTTGTTTACAGGTAACTCAGTTAAGGGTGTCAGAGCTCTTCAGATCTCTTACAAAGATTTTCGTCCTCTTTGTATGAGAAATGGTTTAACTTGAAAAGAGGCATCTATGTGAATAAATGCCAAGCTGTGTGAGTTTCTGACATGTAAAAATACAGAAGTCTTAGTTAAGCAATCTGATTTGAGAGAATGAAATTTAAGTTATGGGGCTGAATCTAGATTTTTGCTTCCGTGGGTAGGAGCATCTGTTGAGCAGAACGCTACTCAATGGATGCTGCTGCTGGTGTGCGTGTGTGGCTTGTGCTTCTGTTAATTCAACCCCCCTCCCCTCCGAATGTGAGAGGTGGTGCAGTGGGGACAGAATGTATTAGAACTCAATACAACTCCAGAAGGGTATGGGAGATGTGTGGTGGTGATCATCCCCTATTTAGAAATGTTTGATTATTTGGGCAGTTTGGCCTGTGAAAGTGAAACTGTTTCCTGGGATTTTTAAATTTGTGTTTCTGCTTAGAATAATTCTAAACAAATTATTTATGATAATTTGAGAAACTCTCCTGCATGTGCAACCTCTCTGCATGTGGAGAGTAATCTGACCAGTGGAGAAGATGAGTGGGAAGGAATTCTGCATGTGGAAGAGTGTGGGTAATTTACAGTGCCCTTATTGGGTTTTCTTTCCTCGTTGCCAGAATTTATAACACATATCAGACTGCTATTGACGATATTCTACTTATGGCAGTGGGTTTTTTTATAGAGCTGAAACAGATGGTATACATCTGATATGCATAGCATACAGAGCTATCCCGTTGCTTGATCTGTGAGGTCATACATCTCTCCATAGTTTACACGCTATAAAAACAGAGTACTTGTAAATGCATCTTCTTGTTCAAGCCACAAACACATAATGAAGATAAATGTGTGAAGATTTACCTAGCAGTTTTGATTTTAGGAAAGGACTTAGGACTGATGACATGCATTTTACAGCTACTGAGTCCTTTGAAAGACTAAGGGTGTTGCAGGCCAAAGTATTCAGACCTTTGTAAGAAGCATAGTGAAAACTGGCGCTCTTCATTGTTGTCAGCGGCTGACTTCTGATGAATTTCAGAAGCAATGTCTATACACAGCTAACCTCCCCTTAAGACTAAAAATAAAGACATGATGACAGCAAGAAATCAATTTTCTGTGCCCCCTTTTGCCATTAATACTTTTCAGAAATTCCCATTGGTAGAAAAACACTTTCAGCAGTACACAGGTTAGCTGCACTGAGACTTGAAATCATTCAGTTGGCTGTCTCCGGCTTTCAGTAAAACGGAATTAATCGGAGTTCTTAAGAACGCAACAATTCTATATGCTGGGCCTCTTGTGTGCTGACTTGTGAAATGATATGCTGACTACTGGCACTATTAATCACTGAGGTATCTCTTGGTATCAAAAATTTTGCCGGCAATAGAGAACCAGAGGGAGAGGTGTCTGTGGCCATTATAACTATGAATGAAACATCTTTGTGTAAGGAAATAAGAGATTAAAATGCAGCAGAGTGTGGATCCCTGATGTTTCTAGTTTAGTGGAAGAGTGTTTCTCTCCATGAATGTCTGGCTAGCAGTTCAAGGCTAGGCTATTCTAATCTATTTGAGTAATTTGCAGAATGGGTAACTTAGAGGTATATATGAGAACAAGTAATAAAATGAATATATTTATTTTTTATGTTTTTCATTTACCGTCTAGGCTCATGGTGGAAGTGGTAATTTTTCTTGGTCCTCATCTAACCAAAACGTTGCTACAGTAACAGTCAAGGGAGTAATGACCACTGGGAATGAAATTGGTGTCAGTATTATACGTGCCAGTGACGTTCAGAATTCATTGCATTACGGGGAAATGAAGGCAAGTAATACTTATTTTGCTTTTCCTTCCAAGAAGGGTCTTATCAGAATCTGCGGAGAAGGCACACTGTGCTTATCAGTCATGAAGCAGAAGAGTTCATGTCTCTTTCTGTGCCTAGGAATTCTACTTGTGGGGCTTCAGAGCAGACAGGAAATGTTGAACATCCTTTCGCTTCTCTCACAAGAGGGTTTCTCTAGATGAATTATTTAGGTTTGTTAAATACTGCAGAAGCAGCTTTTCATACATATGGAGTACGAGACAAGTGGGGAAAACAGAATAAAATGCACAGGATGGCTGAGGCATGTCCCCTCTTACTACTGGCTAATTTTCTTATTTTTAAAGAAAACTCTAGCACTTGGAGATTTAGGGAAGTTAAACAGGAAAAAAGGTTTCATTTTACAACAAAATTGGTAAAAGAAAAGATGTGCCAGGAGGTAGAATCATTTCAAGAAATTGTTAACTAATATTTATATAACAATTGAGTGGATGCTACAGGTTTCCAAACAAGATGGTAAATACATACCATATTTTAATTCCTTAAACTACTTGCAGAAGTTTTGCAGCTGAGGTCTTAATCCTTGAGTCCTGAGACAAGGTGGTACTTTGTCAATTTCCCAGTCTTCTATAAATCTCATTCCTGAGCCTCTTCTACTAGTATAGCAGACCAGGGGATCACCACACCCCTCCTAATGGGTTTGGAATTATTCCTCTCTCGATCCAGAAGATCTGTTTCCTTCTTCCTGAAATGAGACCAAAGGAGAGTGTTTCCTCACAACTCCACTTCTCCTTTTTCAAATTCAGCTTCCCAGTTCTCACTTCTCTGTATACTCTTAAAAGACAATAGTCACTATCTTTTAAGTTCAGAGACTTCTTTTGCTGGCTATAGATACTTTCCTCAGGGTGCATTTTACACAAAGCTCAGAGGCTATTCTCCTATCCAGCTGAACACTAACTCCCAGCTGCTTTTCTTTTTCTCTCACAAAGTGCTGTCTCCACTCCCCTCTGGATAGCTGTACCTGCTGCCAACTCTGCAAGCTACACCACTCTGGGGAAATTTCACAGCACTGCACCACCAAATTCTGGTCTATCTGAGCTTTCCGTCACAATGACCAACATTTTAATTTGGGTTCCTTTTTAAATTGCTAAAGGTGAATAATCCTGTGCTTTATCCATTGTCATCTGGCTAAATGCTTACACCATACAGATGTAGAGAACCACAGAAAGATTTGAAGACACGTGTTAAAACCTCCATTTCCTACAAACCTTGTAGAAAGGTTGCATTGGTGAAATTCAGGTTCCAAGACACAAAATTGACTTACCTGAAATAGTCTTTAGCCAGATAAGGAAGAAGGAGGCTTCTAAATAAGTTTTCCAAATTATCTGTTCTCCTCCCAAAGTGAAATTGCAAACATTTAAAACTCCTGAAGAGCCAATTTTCAGCTACAATTATATATAATGACTGATCCATAGTTCATGCAGATTTCCTCACACTCACCTGTCAAACAGATGGCTAACCACACTTCTCACCTGTTGTGATTCCAGATTCAATTTCCCCTCTTTCTCCTAGTTTTTCAAATAGATGATTGGCACCATCAGAGCTTACCATATTTAACAACTGTAAAGAGGTGCACTTGCAAACCTAATCTAGTATGAATAGGAATACATGCAGAGGCAGGTGCTGAATGTGTTGCATGTTTGGGAGGGGTAAATCTGGGTGATTGTGGACCTAGGCTAGTAAGCAGACAGGAACTAATTAGCAGGTACCAGGCTAATTGTTTCAGTCAAACTGTATAGCTGTAAACCAGAGAAAAAAATAACTTTATACAGTACAAAGTTCCTAAAATGCTCATTCAAAAATACAGTAAGAAATGCCTGCCCCACCCTACTAAAATCGGAGCACCACAGTAGAGGCTAACTTAACCACCAGTAGCCTGGGTAAATCATGTCTTGGTCTGGTGCTCCCAAACTGACAGTGATGGTGCCAGACACATATCCCCCCGGAGAGCATTCCACAGATGGAGAGCCCCTCTGAAAAAGCCTGTTGTTTTGTAGCCACCTTCCAGACCTCCCTAGGAAGAGACACATGGAGAAGGTCCTCTGATGAAGATCTCTGAGTCTGAGCTGGTTCATGTGGAGAGAGGTGTTCCTTGAGGCATCTTTAGCCACGTAAGATTTCATAGGTGAAACCAGCACTTTGAATTGAGCTCAGAAACTAAACAGTAGCCAGTGCGATTGGGCCAGAATTGGTGTAATATGTTCAGACCTTCTGGTCCCAGTCCGTAATCTCACAGCTGAATTCTGTACTAGCTGTAGTTTCTGAACTGGCTTCAAAGACATCCCCACATACACAATTGCACTGTCTCTAATAGCACAAGCAAAGCCTGGCTTCTAGAGCCTGTGTACTTAAGAATATAGAGATACGTTTTCATTTGGACTACTGTGCTTATGTCAGATAGATGGTACCACCTGGACCAGTTATAATGCAACAACTAATGGAGAGGAATCTGGTTAAACAGCCACTGCCTGCTATTTTAGTCAAGAGCTATTGGAATCCTGCCAAGTTCACATTGCATGTTTGTTTTCTAAAAGCCCTTTTGCTAGGGTGCATTTTCCAGGAACATAGTGACTGTTCCAGAGCGAAAAGCCATTTACTAGACAGTCACTCTTGGTATGAAAGTAATATGTGTTGCAGGAAATATATTTCTAAGCAAGTTTTGTTCAATAGAACTGTTCTAGAAGTTGCATCTGCAGTGCCTATGGTATATGTAACTGCTTGTTTTCAATCTGTTTTAAGCAGTCTGTCTGCCCTTTCAAAAATAATTTAAATGGACATTAAACACAGCAGTTTAAATATTAAGTTGCAGTGTTATCCTACTTGCTAACCTACTACTAAAGTTAGATGAAGGTTTGTTATGCAGTCTTACACTGTGTGTATGTACCACACAATATCTCTGTCCCCAAAATGTCATTTTCCAGGAAATGATAGCTGCCTACATGAGGCTCAGAAATGAGATGTTTAGTTAAACCGTTTCTTTGAGATTCATGATTCAAAGCGCAGAGCAATATGAGTGCACTTCATCTCATTTGAACTTGCAAGAACGAGCATTAAATGAAACAAGTGCCTTCAGTTTAACATTTTAACTGTCTCTGCTCAAGCTTTGCATCTTGTGTTTGAAGCAAACATCTGCCTGCTGACCTTGATTATCAGGTTAGGCAAGTAGTCTATACCTTTCATGAGGATTACATTTTTAACACCATGCCATATGGTCCACAATTTAACCTGAAGCATTAGACAGGTGGCTTAAAAAGTTAGACACACTGAATAAAAGCTTTGATCAAGCAGTTGTTATGAAATGTTGCTATCCATCTGTGATGATTTCTTGATGATAGCAAGGAATAAAATATAAACTTGGAATTTAAGCATCTGCTTCTCCCCACATTTGAGATAGCATTTCCATGTGTATATTATAGAAAATATGTGACAGAAGTGAGCTGTCAATAAACACAACAGTCACATGCGTACTAAGCACGCTCCAAACCTGCTGTGCATTCACTCTGACTCAGTGTGATTTACCACAGTCCTGTTTATATTTACATGTCTGTAAGCTCTGTTTATTGAAATGGACAGAGCCTGCTGTAATAACAGGTGGACTGTTAATGCAACACAGGCATACAAAGGAGAATAGAAGAGGTTCTCTGACCACCTCCTAAGTCTGTGCACAGATAAAATATAAGAAGTAGCATCTCTTTCCGAGTTCCCTTCTTTCCAAGTCATATTGAAGAAGGAGTGATGTCACACACACACCCAATCCAATCCCTAAAGGTCCACTCCCAGGGGACATTCAATTTAGCCAACCTATTTTGGCTTGGAGAGAAAAGCTTCACCTGCCACAAGGTCCTATGCTTCCCTGGGATTCCCTAGGCTTCTGATACACATTTTGAGAGCCATGGTATTGGATGCTCTTTCAGAAGAGAGAGGACTCCTTAAGAAGTGAGGGGGATCAGAGTAATACACTTACAGTGACTGCAATGTTTATAGGTGCTAAATTCCTATTCTACTATTATGCAGTGACATCTGCACATTCACGTTTGGACAAGATAATGTTAAAATTAGATGTTCAAATGCATTTCAGTTTATCATTTCTATCTCCACAAAAGGATCTCAGCTTATCTGTTACCAGTAGCGTTGTCACTATTTCTTGCCCAATTCCTGAGCATTGAGCCAGAGATGAAATGAAGAAATTTAAATGAGTGGGAATTTCCCTTTTGGACGACAGGAATTCAGCTTGGTCACTTTCATTGTCAGCATGTTATAAAGAATAAGCCCCAAAGATTTAAATCTCCTTAGGAACAATAGGCATTCAACAAAGGTTATATTAGCAAAGGCATTGTGGTGTTTGGCCATATGGTCAATACACAGATTTTAAATTTTGAGAAAATATCAAACCTAGAGGTTCTTAAAGCTCATTGTGGTGAAACTCCCACAATTGCAGAAATCTAGAGCACGACAACTCTAACAAAAACGAATCTAGTCCTTAACTCAGATATAGCACCAAGTGCATTAGGGGAGAAAGGAAAAGTGCAATCAAGATCCTAAGGAGCTCTTTGCTTGCATTTAGATTTTCTAAGAAGGAACTACTGCCTCTGTTATTCTTGAATGAGGAATTAGATAAGTGTAAGTCCATTAGACATATATTATTGAACCTTAAAGGATTAAAGTGTAATTTATGGGAAGTTAACAAAGAATGTCATGTCTTCCCTAGCAATTCCATTGCCTTCTAAAGTCAGTTGCCACCATGCCTCCTTAATACATAAACAAAACCATATTGATGGCCACTGTGGTGTAGAGTTAAGAGCGATAGACTCGTAATCTGGGGAACCGGGTTCGCTTCCCCGCTCCTCCACATGCAGCTGCTGGGTGACCTTGGGCCAGTCACACTTCTTTGAAGTCTCTCAGCCCCACTCACCTCACAGAGTGTTTGTTGTGGGGGAGGAAGGGAAAGGAGAATGTTAGCCGCTTTGAGACTCCTTCAGGTAGTGATAAAGCGGGATATCAAATCCAAACACTACTTCTTCTTCTTTGCCCATGTCTGCCTTTGGACCTCTCCCTAGGTCTCACTTTTTTGACGGTGTGTGGGCATAAAGGATGTAAGCTGTGTAATCGGGGGGGGGGGTGAGAAAGAGAGAGAGAGAGAGAGAGAGAGAGATCTCTAAGAGTCTCAGGAGCTCTGCAAGGTATTTGTGTCATGCTTTGTTCTGATTATAACAAAGTTATTTGTCTGCAAGTCACGCATTTCAAATTAGAAGTTGGAAATTTTTGAGGTTAAAAGTGAAACTTTCAGATAGTTAAAAGTGGCTAAAAATAAGCAACTTCCTCTTGGCATTTCAAAGTTTCCAGTTCAGGTTTTGTTCATTATCTCCATTCTGGCTGCTGTGTCTTACCTCATTATTGTTTCCTAGGTGTACGTGACAGAACCTAGTGGCATGGAGTTCACGCCATGTCGAGTTGAAGCACGTGTGGGTGAAATCCTGGAGCTGTCTCTGAAGATTAATGGCCTAATGAATGAAGAAGCCAGTCAGATGGTCACCCTGAGTGACTGTTCACATTTTGATTTAGTTGTCGAGGTTGAGAACCATGGTGTATTCATTCCACTTCAAGGTGGCTTAAAACGAATTACTTCATTTCAGTTTTTAAGATAAATAGAGGAACAAATATGTAATCCACTTACTGGCATGCTAGGATTCCTTTATCAATAGCAAATGCTTATGAATAACTAAGAGGTGTTATATAGATCAGGGGTTGAGAGCTTATTGCTTTCCCAGTTGTTACAAATCCCATCATTCCTCACCATTGGCTATGCTGGATGGGGCTGATGGGAGTTGGAAGTCAGCAACCTCTGGAAGGATACAGGTTCCCGGTCCACTTTTGTTTTGTTTCATCCATTTGTAATAATAATAAAAGTTTGTAAAAACAACAACACCACAACTGGTTACGTAATAGGGATTGATTGTACAGGTGGCGCCCATTTTAGGCTTGTCCAACTGATGTGATCACCAACGCATGGGTCCTTTTAGACCCAGAAGAAGGCAGAAGAGGGGTGGGGGTGGGTCATGCTTACACGTTCTCTGTCGATGCGCACTGGGGCAGAAATTGGAACTCCTGCGCAAAATGGTTACCGACCTTTCCTTCCCCCACCCTCCACCCCAAGACTTCCGCAGTGCTAGCAATACTGTTTTGATCTGCTGACTTTTCACTTTGCTATTTGTATTACTTTGTATGTGTTCTTGTTCTTGTAATATTTAGATTTTTCAGGGTGGTTTACTTATAAAAACAACATGAATAAATTTGATTTTAAATGTACTCAAGTAATATACACATTGCACATTTTCACTCTCCTTTGATTTCCTTAACAGGAAAACTAAAGCCAACATCTGACTACTGCAGTGGGGTCAGGGTAAAAGCTGAAGCCCAAGGATATACAGCACTTGTTGTCAGTTACACCCATGAACATATCCACCTCAGTGCCAGTATTACAATAGCTGCCCATCTGCCACTAAAAGTAAGCCTTTAGTTCTCCCTTTTTCCTAGTCTTCGTAGCTCTTGATTCTTCAGTAAATACTTACTTGCAATACTGAGTGATTTGAGGTGAAGTCTTATAGGATACAAAGGATTTCTATCAAAATAAAATAGCTTCATTCCCGTATGCTTGGATCTCTGATGCTTTCTACCTTGAATAATCCTTATAAACTGTTTACGGGTTTCAGGAACTACAAAATGTCCAACCACTTGTGGACATGTACCCTTGAGATGATAAGCCTGTTTCATTAATGATGCAGTAATAGCTAGATTGAATTAATCTAGAACTTTTTAGTATGTCTCAGTGGTCCAGAGCGCTAGCTGTCGCTTGCTTAAAGCAGATTTTTTGGGGGGAGAGGGGTGGAGACAAAGTGGGGAAAAGAAGATTCAGAAAAGTCACTCGCATGGAGAAATTCCATGTTTGTAATGAGCTACAACTTTAGGGGGATGGGATTAAACCAGCACTATGCTCTGAAATATTATGCTTGTAAGCAAAGATAGTGAGGCAATACAGGTTTTGTTCCAATATTCCATTGGTTTCTAATGTCACTTCATATTCAGACAGCACCCCAAAACAACTTTAAGCTATGCTTAAATCATATGATAAAAAATTCCTAAACTTGCTAGAAAGTCGTTCAACATGAGAGATTATTTGATTTTTCACGGCTAAGTGTGCATTTAGTTAGGTTAGGTTTATTTATACTTAGAGTTGCTGTTTTAATTTTTATAGTAATTTTGGATACAGTTTTGAGGCTTCAATATTTCAGGAATTCCAAGCAGAGTATATAAATCTCATAGGTTAAACATGAAGATCAATGTGAGACAACAGTATGATGTGCTATTATTATATTATTTTCAGTATTTTGTGGTTTTGTACCAAATTCTAATCAGGGCTATTTTTTTTCTTCTAGACTGTTGATCCCATTTCTGCTGCCCTAGTAACTTTGGGCTCCTCCAGAGATATAATAATTGAAGGGGGACCCAGACCATGGATTCTAGAACCATCAAAGTTCTACAGGAACATCAGCGCTGAAGATTCAGACAGTGTCGGTTTATCATTACTAGGGCCACCTACAACTAGGAATCCTTTCCAACATTGGGTTAGAGCATCTTGCAGAGCCCTGGGGGACAAGTGAGTAAGACAGATGGAGATGATAAATTTTGTTGGACTTTGAGACCACAAAAATATATATTGACTGGCTATACTTGTTCACTTGATGTGTTGTGAGACACTTTGGGCACAGTTTTGTGGGAAAGTGGCATACAAATAAATTGAAGGGGGGGAACCTGAGAGAAACAATTTTAGCTGACAGCTAAGATAATAAGGCTTCATAGAGTTGCATTCCATAAAGCAGGCATGTCCAACTTCCAAGAGACTGTGATCTACTCCCACTATAAATAAAAAAAAACTGGCCGTGAGCTACCCATTGGATTGACCAAAGCTGTTGAGCTTTTTTTTTGGGGGGGGGGGTGCCAAAGTTAATACAGTATAATACAAAACTTGAATGCATAAATTAGTTGCTGCTCTTTATATAGATTCTGATAAATCTAATATCACTCTTGAGAACTAAGCATTTTAAAATTAGGTTAACATCACAAGTGCTTTTTCACAGAACCCTTTTATGTCACAGAATGTGTTAAAAGCTTCAACAGCTAAGTTCAGTTGCTGAGTACAAGACCACTGCTTTTTTTTTCTGAGGGCATTGAACAGTCATTGGTGTTTTTTCCTCCTTAAACTATTTTCGGAGGTTCTGCAGATATAAATGGAGAACTGTAAGAATAGATAAGTGGCAAACTGTCTTGGGGTTATTGGACATCTGAACAATTTTCAAATATGTCATAAGTACAAATAGGGGGGGAAAGAGCAAAACAAACTCACCTAAGTCTCTCAGCAGTTCAATTTGCACTATTTGACTCTACAGTGGTACCTCGGGTTACATACACTTCAGGTTACATACGCTTCAGTTTACAGACTCCGCTAACCCAGAAATATTGCTTCAGGTTAATAACTTTGCTTCAGGATGAGAACAGAAATCGTGTGGCGGCAGTGGGAGGCCCCATTAGCTAAAGTGGTGCTTCAGGTTAAGAACAGTTTCAGGTTAAGTACGGACCTCCGGAACGAATTAAGTACTTAACACAAGGTACCACTGTATTAACTTTCTTTGAGTGTGCTCAATTTCACAAGTGTCTTAAGACTTTGATGCACCCCATAAAAGGATCTGCATTTGCATATTCATTTTGATGAAAGTCACCTACTGTCTATTATCAGGTACAGCCAGGTATGTTCATTAAAAATATTCATGTTCAGGTCATGACAAAGAGAGGAAAAAATATAGAACCAGCAACACTTAGAAAGTTGTTCTCATAGTGTTCATATAATCTACAATGACTTGAAATGTGCTGTCAGTTGATATTCTTATAGGGTAAGAATATTGCTTTTGTCAGGAAAGAAAATGAAAAAGCCTTGAGCATTAAGAAATAAACTAACAACTCTTAAACTAGCCTTTGGTATATGTACGTACCAGTTACTTTGTACTTTCCTTTTCCTTGAAGAAAGAAAGCTCTGCCATCTGTTTCAAAATCTTAAAAGCTTGATTTTTGTTTTGCAGTGTTAAACTTGGTATGATAGCAATAATCAGTGAGAAGTTGTGCTTTGATAATGGGCTGGAACTGTGTATGAAAATAAATGTCAAAATGATACATCTTTATCTGTCAGGAGTGCAGGTTATTACTGGAACATAAACTCATGTTGGCTTAATATTTCTTGCAAGAGAGAGAGAGCGCGAGAGAGAGAAGTGAGTTTGCTTTAGATTGTGTGACAACAAAATGCCTTCCTAACACAGCATTCATATTTTCTTTTCATTCATTTTCTCATTTTTGTGCAGGTAATTTCCTTAGTAATTGGAAACAAGCCCACGGTTACTAACCCCTTTCCAGCTGCTGAACCTGCTGTTCTGACGCTGATCTGTGCCAGCCCCTCCCGATTCACTTTGGCACCTTTATATGCAGAACCTGAGATTGGTCTCTCCTGTCCTTTTCTTCATCAGAACAAGCAAGGGGTAAGAATGATAGTAAAATACCTATCTTTAACTAGTATTTAAGTACCCTTTAGACATTTAAGAAAGGACATAGGAGCTGTTTTTCTATGGCCTCATCCCAACATGCTGCTTAAATGTTTAAATTCCTGCTAGCACACAGCTGGGGCTAATCATGTAGGCAACCTTTCAACACGCTTGAGAGACGACAGTTTCCCCTGTTTTTTCATAGAAATCTTCAAACATGTATTCAGCTGAAAAATATGATCGTTGCATTACAATACACCATGGCTTGTCTTTCAATTCTACACAATTCCAAGGATAATTTTTCCTGTTTATAAACAAAATGATTTCTCTTCCAGGTCCCTGTCTCGAAATATCGCAATCCAGTATTGGAGATGGAGGTTTATGATCAACAGGGACGTAAATTTGACAATTTTAGTTCCCTTAATATTATCTGGGAATCAACAAAATATTCACTGGCCAGCATAGAAGCCGATATGCCAATGGAGCTGTTTTCGAAAAATCATGGAAATGGTCAGAACAAAATGCATGGTACGACTCCAGGACATTATGTATCATTTGTTTGTGTAAACTGGTTGAACTTGGTGGCATTAGTGCTAGATCAAAACACTTTGCTTTCTGTAGGGTGTTTTTTTCCTTCTTGGAATGGGTCTGATTCTTTCTTTTTGTTCACACTTTGATGAGAAAAATGCTATTTTAAAAAGTCCTGTTTTAAAGATACAATGAAATGAGGGAAAGAAGGTCAGTTACCTCCATGCTTCTGTATACTGATGCTTAACCAGGTAGTAAATGCTCCTTTTCCACTTTTGTCTTTCTTTTTTCCTTAGGATTGCAAACTGTTTTAGTTCACAATAAACCTGGAGCAGTGACTATATCTGCCACTGCGGCTGGATATCAACATCTTCATCTTGCTGCTGCAGAAGTGAATAAACCGGTAATGCAGTTTTATTCCAGCTTTTCCTACTCTGCCCTAATGAGGTATATTTGCTATAGCCAGGTTTTTTTTTAGTGCATTTATATAGCATTTTAGTAGTTTTAAAATATATTCATCATAATGCAGACAGTTATGGGCCTGACAGAGCCACTTAAATACATTTTCCCAGCACCAGAAGTGCCATTGCTCCCCTTTTTCTTTTAGTACTATAATCAAATACTATGGAGTTCTGCATTTGTAGACCTGATTTGATAACTGATTCTGCCTTGATGCAGAGCATCGAAGTCACTTATTACAGCTGCAGCTCTAAATGCCTCATCATATGTCCCACATGCTTTACTAATGCCTGGCTTGCACCCTAATCATCCTCTTCTAGATTAAGGGAGCATCCATTGTCAGCATCACTACATAGTACCAAGTAATCTCTAAGATCATACGGTATTAAGTTCCATCTCACAAAGAGTGGGAGTTAGGAGATTTGATTGAGAATGTAGAGCTAATGTGAGGAATTAATGAAGTCTAATTTTACTTCAGATCTCAAGTGGAAAACACAATTAGATGCCATTTCAAGGTATACCACTGAACCATGAGCTGAAGAATAGACTTATTTTGCCGAGGCTCACCAAAATACATTGGCATGTTATGCCAAGATAGAGAAATACAGGAATGATGAACTGGTTACTAGGCAGTAGTGACAGACAGGGTGGCATTTCTTACGGGGCATCCCATCTTGGAGGTGAATGCCAGTAACCAAGAGGGTGAGGTGATAGGACGTTGGCACTGGGCAGGTGCAGCAGCAGAGCCAATGAGATGCTCCTGCAGCTGTGCCTGTACTGTGCTGACTTAAAGCCAAGTAAGCAATGCTGTCAGGTCCAGACACTACCTGCTTCTGGGAAGCAGTCTTTCACAATCTATTTAACTATAATAAAACTCTGCATATTCATTTATTAATTAAATATTGTGTATGCCACCATTTCTATACTGCAATATCAGTACAGTCATACCGCGGGTTGAAGTAGCTTCGGGATAAGTATTTTTGGGTTGCGTGCTGCAGTGACCCAGAAGTAACGGGTTTCGCCACTTGCGCATGTGCAGTCAAAATGACGTCACGCGCATGCGCAGAAGCGCAAACGCGGGTTGCATTCGCTTCTGGATGCGAACAGGGCTCCGGAACGGATCCCGTTCGCATCCAGAGGTACCACTGTATATGGTGTGCAGTGATAAAGCATAATTACAAACAGTACAAAACAAAGTGTTTTTTGAAATGACATCAGATCAGAAGTTTCATGTGGCACTTTTGGGTTGCCTTCTTTATCCCTTACAGTATGAACCTCTTACACCTGTGTCCTCCAGCGTTGAGCTAATACTTGTGGACGATGTAAAAGTGAGTCCTAAAGAAGTGACTATCTATAATCACCAGGCTGTCAAAGTAAGGCATTCCGTTTACACATTATTAAGCGAACTGTGCAAAAATATAAGCTATGTAAATTATATAATATGTACTTTTCTTGGCAGGCTGAACTGCTCGTAAAAGAGGGCTCTGGATATTTTCTTGTTAATACCAGTGCTCTCAACATTGCAAAAGTGACTTATGAAGAAGCTCAAGGTGTTGCAGTGGTAAGTAGCATAATGCACTGTTTTTACTTTAGAGGGGAAACTCTTTAGTACACAATGATTTTTCTAAAGTAGAGTGGCGGGAGCCTGAAGTCATGCTCATTAGTTTCAATAAAGCAGCCTTAGAATTTCCAATGAGAACTCCTCTACGTTAGGGAAATTATGGGAACAGCCTCCCAGGAACATATCCCAAACAAATCTATTTGGAATGAATAGGAGTTAAACAAGGCCCAGTATTTAATCTTAGTGGGCTTCTGCGAGATATATTCCTGGTGTCCAGGACTGCATACTGTAAACCATTTTGAGGTTTTTTTCTTACAATCAAGTGGACTAGAGCCCAGGAACAGGTAAATCAAAACCTTGGATCTTAGTGTATTGTATGCTTCATACTGCCTTGATATATACTTTTATGAAAGTGCAGGTTGTAAATACTTCAATAAATAATAAAGCTGGCTGACCACTATGAAGTTCTGGGAAATCAGAGAACTTTTCCATTTTACCCTGTAGTGACTAGGGCCTACCAAGACTCTTGACTGACTCTCCTCTGAGTCCTGGATAAATTATTCCCTGGCTAATTTAGACTGTGTCATTAAATTCAGCAAAACAAAAAACCCTTCTGTGTATGACTTATTTTGTCATTTGCTGGGCAAATGTGTAGATAAAACATCTCTTTCCAAATGTAGAAATACAAGCATCAAAAAGCATTCTGTAGCCATAATAGTATAAAGAATTACTTTAACAAAACATCTTAAAACTTGGATTAATACAATAATTTCTAATTCAGAGATTAGTTGGATCAGTTACTATACCAGCTAGATTAGCCTAGCCCCAACTGACTGTAAATGCCTGTCTACAAGTCGCCCCTTCATGTTGGCCTTTTCAAACTGATTTCCTTCCTCTGCCATTTTCCTCCACTCCCCTTTCCTTGTATGTCTTGTCCTTTTACTTACCAAGTTGAGGGCGGGACCTTCCTCTCATTTCTGTGTTGATATGAGCCACTTGGGGAGGCAATAAAAAAACATTGGTTGTAATTAGTGCTATCTCAGACTCGTTGATTTCAGTGGGTCTACTCTTGAGTAGGACTTGCTTGGCTACAACCTGTCAATTACATAAATAAATGCATCAGCAAATCAGATTTATGCATATTTCATCTGATGCCTTTTGTAGTAGTGAAATTAGGCTCAGCCATTCCAGAAAGTGTCGCACTTTAGCATGATATATCTTGCTTTTCTCAAATTTTGTCTGTATTTTCTTTTTTAAGGTCCTTAAAAAAAGACCTCTTCCTTTCTCTTCATGATTTGTGTTTTGTTTTTGTGTTACTGGTGCCAGTGGGGAGAATACAGGTCTAGAGGTTACTCTCTGCATTAGGGTCTGTTAATGCAATTGCTACCTACAGGCCCTTTGCACTAACTCAGTGACAGCAGAAAGCTTAACTATATTTTACAGCTTTACTTGAAAGGGGTAGATTCTCCTTTAGAGGAAAAATGCCTTTTAAAATATTGGTGCATTTCTCTTTTATCCAGGATAGCAGTGTTCCATTTGTTGATTGCTGTAAAGAAATTCAGAACCATTAAGAATTGCATTTTGTATGTTCTCCCATCCCACCCTTTCTGGTATTTTAGGTATATCCTTTACATCCAGGGTCACTGTCTATAATGATTCATGATTTGTGCCTTACTTCTACTACTCTTGCCAAAGTGGAGGTGCATGTTTCTGATATACAAGTACTATCTGTTGGAGTTGTTGACAAGGTTAGTATTCATTTCTATGTGATCACTCACGTACAGGGGAATAGCATGTTGGTTGCACTTTTAGCTCTGCCCCCAACTTTATGTTGGCTTCCTTTGAAGAACCACTTGCAGTGGTTTAAAAAAAGAAAGTAGGTGCTCTGGGTGATCATACACCTGCACACCTAGGTATCTTGATCCCACAGCACCCTTACCTGCAAGCAGAAGCTTGTGCATCAAGGTTTCCTTAGAGACAACCACAACAGTATGGGAACCAAATCTGCCAGCCCACTCAGCAGGAGCAGCAGGAGACAAAATGGGAAGTGCTGTCTTGCCTTGCCTGACTGCCGTTGCCACCTACAACAACCTTCTCTTGCTGCCTGCTCTGCCACCACCATGCATGCTGCCACATCTGCTGGTGGCAAAGCAGCAGTGCCATCAGCACTGATTTCAGGCAAAATTGTGCCAATTTGGGGTGTGATTTGGGGCAAGATATTGCCCAAAATGGATGCAATCATGTCCAAAATTGGCACCAGTGGCAGTGGCGCTTCACCACTGAACAAAGGTGGCAAGACATTGGCAGGTGTGTTGTCTGGGGGCTTTGCCACCTGGGCAGCAGCCTCACCCTGCCTAATGAATGGGCCAGCTCTACCACTCAGAAGTCAACACAGTATTTCCCTTTACATGCATCTAACATGTTAACAGAACTTACACTGTTGGCTATAAGACATTCTACTCAAGTGGGCTTTTGGGGGCTCATTCATTCATTACAAGTGGTGACTTGTGGGCTTAATTAGGATATTGTATCTAAGCTGTCCACAGACCCTAAGGAGTCCTGAAACAGAGTAATAGAGAGCTAGTAAAACATACTGCCAAAGATACTGAAGTGAGAACTCACTAGGTGGCCTTTGACAAGTCACTATTTCTCAGCCTGCCCTGCAATATGAGGATAATAATACTGACCTACCTAAAGTTACTGAGATAAAGGTCTCATTTAAATGTGATGCAATAACTTAGCATTACCTCTGAATGAGACCATTGTGGGCCAAGGGTTTTAACACTCTAATGTGCTATGTTCCCTGCCCCCAGCCACCACCCAAAAGTCATCTCTAGCCCCATACAAATATCACAATAATAATAGTAGGCAAGGGTGGCTATTCCACGTCTGAAGAGACTATCACTTCTGAAGAGTAAAGAGAATGACTTCCCTTCTTTTGCTACCTTGCAGTAGTCTGATCCAGCACTGGTAGCTTAGCAACTTATCAGTATTAATCATAAAGGTGTTGACAATCTGGGAGAATTGCTTCAGAGAAAATGTGAACATCTGTAAACAAATGCATTGCAGGTAGAGATTGGCAAAAAAGTTACCGCTTACGTCAGAGTGCTGGATGCTTCCAAGAAATACTTTCCAGCTAAATACTTCGCCTTCATGGACTTAAATCTAAAGGCAGCATCTCCAATTATCTCATTAAAGTAAGTGCTATTTTAATTTGTGTTCACTTATAGGCAAAAGGAACAAAAGTAATACTGCAAGGTATTTGCAGAGAGGCTGTACTGAGAGTATGCATTCACAGAAGGGACAAATAGAAATATATTATGATGGATGTGAAAGATTATGTTAAACATCACTGCATGGTTTAAAGTTATTATTTATATGTTTATAATCTTGCTTTTCTGTTACAAAATGTTCAAGATGCTCATTTTAGCAGTTTGCAAGTCAACTCACAAAATGGAAGAACACTCTGTGGACAAAGCCTATCTGTGCCCATGTTAAGGAGCACTATAAAAAGTATCAGCATCTTTATTTACCAGCAGAAACTATTCAGAGTGGGAGCAAGATGGGCCATGTTTGGAAGGGAGCTCCAAAACTGAAGTGCCACTGCTGAGGAAGCCCTGTCTTGCACTTCCACAGACCGGACTTACTTGGTTCTTCTGAAAAGTCTCATTTTGGCAGTTGGGGAAATGGCAAGGAGAACACAGTGTATTCTCTCTAGCCCTAGTGTTCTGTAGCTGGGCTGCCAAGCTCACACATGTGTCTCTCTGACTGTGTTCTCCTCATGGCAGCAGCTGTATTGCTGTGGTGAAGTGAAGGAGGTTGTGGCAGATGGGAGGATTGCACAGCTGCCAAAGAAGGTGGCAGAGCTGAGGAGAGGGACAGAGCAGATGGAGTAGAGGCCACAAGCCAGATTGAAAGACTCTCGGGACTGGGACCAACCCGGAGGCCTTCAGTTTCTCATTCCCTTCCACTCAAGGGGCTTTACATATTGATGCTGTTCCAAATAGATATTTTCCGTGCCTGTTGAGCACATTGGTATTGGCAGTGCTACTTACTAGGATGTCAGCGCCTCATCCTTGACAAAAGCTACTTAAGATTCAGTCAGCATCTGTGCCATTTTGTTTTTAACTTGCTGCTGTTGTATATTGTTCTACTTAGGATTTCATCATTAGCAACATAGAGAGATGCAATTCTAGACCTCGGTGCTGAATATTGTCTTCATTGCTTTGTACGTGGTTTGTCCAATTAATGTATTTTCTTACATTTCAGGCCTCTCAGTGAAGCTTCTGATGAATACACTGCTGCTTTTCTAGTTCATGGACTGGCCATAGGTCAAACCAGTCTTACAGCTTTTGCCACTGACAGATATGGACAGAGGATCAATTCAGTTCCACAGCAGATTGAAGTAAACCTTTTAACTCTTAACAGATAATGCTTTCTGGTTTCCTTAATATGAGGCTGCTTGGTTTCTCAAAGAACTACTTTGATATGAATAAGATGACTGAAATTAATAATAATAATAATAATAATAATAATAATAATAATAATAAAGTATTGTTATCATTAAGCAAGAATATAAGCATGGTGATTCCTTCCATGTATTTAGCTTTCCAAAGCCAATAAATGCATTATAGTTCCCTGGGCAGTGGTAGTGGCTAACCAGTGGTGCTCCAGATGTTGCTGAACCATGACTCCCATTAGCACCAACCAGCATGGCTGATAACAAGGGACAATTGGAATTGTGGTTCAGGAACATCTGAAGGGCTACTGGTTAGCCATCTCTGCTATCTGTATCTGTGTGTAGATACAGAAAGGCCCAAAAATGAAGGCTAGATGGGGCTTGATTGGGGGAGGGGATGAATAGTAATAATAGAGAAGGATAGCATAAATCACAGGAATATGTGATGAAGGTAAAAGCTCATGAAACAAGCACAGAATTTTATGGGACCTTCAATGAAAATACTGACTCATGAAAATTATAACAAAATGTAATTTGAAGGTAAGGTCAGCCAAATAATTAAAAAGAAGAAGAAGAGGGGAAGCCGGGCTGTAGATCTCATGGGCCAGAGCCACAATAAGTGACTAAAAACTACTAAATGGCATTTCAGAGATGGAAAATGTAAGGTAAGGGTGAAGGAAGGAGGTTTAAAATGACTTGTATCGGAGAAGAGGAGGCCCTCAGCACCATCTCATTCCTCACCACAGGGAAGAGTAAAAGAGGCATAATTAGGAGAATAAACCAAATGTCCACATAGATGGTAAGGCATAGAGGGAGGTGTTGCTTGTATAGTCATTACTGTTTTTTCCAGACATAGTAGCTGTTATTGATATAGAAGGAGGAGAGAACACATGAAAGAAAAGGAGGACAAGAGGAGGATTTGGATAAGCAGAAGAACTGCAAACACTGAGATTTAAATGGATATGTAACCCTTGAAAAGTGGGCCTTTATTAATGCTTGCCCTTTCACTTCTAGGTCTTTCCTCCTTTTAGACTGATGCCAAGAAAAGTCACATTGCTCATAGGTGCAGTGATTCAGGTGAGTTATTTTTAAGATTATTGCACTGAATGATGAACAATTGTTTCTTAGTAAGCCATCTATAGGTCTCATCATCCCAGACCATTGGCCATACTGGTGGGGCTGCTGAGAGTGATCATAGAAAGAATCTGGAGGTCACCAGATTGGGCAAGACTGCTCTATCCTGCCATGAACTGTACAGTCAATGGAGATCAACCTCTTGAAGAGACCTCTGCAGTAAATTAGAACTAAAATGAGGTCCTCCTAATAATCTCTTCACAAGTCGCAGGCTGCATTATTTTCAGATGAAACAAATTCTGATCTTAAGATACAATCCAGTACTTTTTTCCCCTTTCACCTGGCAAGCATTTAGTGACTTTTGAATCATCCTTGTAAGGGATTTTTAAAAAACAAAACAAAAACATGTTTTGGTTATGACTTAAGTTTTTGTTCCACTTTTGCAAGGTTCCTTGAATCTTCACAAGGATATAAGCCCTGCTGTATGTAATTACTGTTAGTAATTAATTTTGTTTTTTCAACAAACACAGATTACCTCTGAGGGAGGACCACAGCCGCAGTCCAACATAATATTATCCACCAGCAATGCCAATATTGCCTCCGTCAACAGCAGTGGCCTTGTAACAGGAGTGTCATTGGGCAACAGTACTATAACAGGGATGGTTCAAGCTGTTAATGCAGACACTGGTAAAGTTGTGGTTGTATCCCAGGTAACGTTTAGATATATGCATATACTGTAACCTTGAGCTAGATTTTTTAGCTTATTTATTCTGCATTTTATTCTATAACCCAGGCTTATACTTCCACGTTGAGTACATTTACACATATAATAGACTGTGGTCTAGACATATTTTTTACATTGTGAATATGTCAAGTGAGCTCAGAATCATTGTAGTTCACCAAAAGGTCCTACTTGACATAGCTGTTTGGAACAATTATCTGTTCCTTTTTTTTTTCTTTTATACAAAGGCAGAGGCTGATAAACAGTTCCATTAAAAGCTATAAATGGATTCTCAAATGAAACCAGTGAAGGAAAAGTGCCCAAGATGCAAATAAGAAACATGTTATTCTTGGCAAAGCAGAGGAGACTTCCTGTCAGGAAGCAGACTGTCTTGGCTTGTACATAGTGATGGTTACTGAACTTTGAATCAAGACAGCTGCAGTTCAAATTCGTTGAAGCAAGCCCAATTCAATATGGCCGTCGTTCTGCACTACCAGCTTTCCAGTTCAAAAACCTTAGAACATAACCCCCATTTTGAAGGAAAGTTCCCTAAGTGCAGATGCTGGCAAAGTTAATCTTTCCCTCAAAAATTATTACATGACAGACAACAGTGGAGGAGCACTTCCAACAATGTAGGCTTCAGACCTAAAGCTTGTTCCAAGTATATGCTGCAGCAGCCAGCTGGCAAATGAAGATAAGATCCTGGCCAGCTCAGTGGCAGCATCAAAATCAAAAAGCACCCTCTTCAGGGAAGATAGCTCAAAAACAAGCAGGGGAAAGTCCAGACCTCTATACCCACACCGCATTCCTTGGGACAGGTATCTTCAACCTTTTCAAATCCAGAACCCATTTTTAACCCTAACAGGCATTTAGGGACCCATTTCTTAATCTTTAACTACATATTTGTATGATGGGACTAGCGGGTCCCAACTCACCAACTGAAGACCAGTAGCCTAGAGCAAATGGAACTGATGGCTGAGACATATTGAAGTAAAATATCACACAGAGCATAAAGAAGGGGGGGCAGCAAAAGAAATATAATAATGCATACCTCAGTGAGAGTTCTTGTGATTAAATATCACTTACATAAAGTGCTAATTTTTGTCTTGTATTTATTTTTTGAAAATTATTTACTGCTTTCTGCCATCTAGGTCTAGAAGCTGCTTGCAGTGATAAAATATACAATATACAAAATTTAAAAGAGAAATTAATCCTCAAAAATTTAAAACATCAGTTTTAACTCATTTACTCCTTTCTTTTCTGAAGGGGTGTACTTTTGTTCATGTCCGTTTTCATCTGTACCATTCACTACTTCTTGGCCTAGATACATTAATGGAGATTTTTAAAGTCTGTGAGTAAGGACTGTAAATGATATGCATATGGTTTTACAGGCCTTATTTCATTCATCTCAAGAATAACCCTGTATTCTGATATGTATTCTGATATGCAAGATATATATTCCCATCAGCTGGATGAAGGAAAGAGATTGAATGAGGGGAATTTTAACAAGGTCATCCAGTGAATCTGTGGCTGTTCTAGGATTTTATCCAAGTCCAAAACTTGACATAAATGTTATGTTACTTCCAATTACTGAATCCCTCTTCAATCTCTTTGCCTGCCCATCTTTTTGTCTCATAAATGTTGCTTGGTTTTACTTTATGGTGAGCAATAATTAAATTATTGTATAAGCCTGTGGACCTGAACCTGATATCCAGCCTTAAAATGTCCTTTTATAACAAAGAACCTGAATCCTGTTCTGTTGATGTATTACTTTCCTTTCCTGGATTCTGATGTGTCATTTATGGACAAGCACTTCATAATAAGCTGACTTTGATCTGTCATTGAGTTTTTATGGTGTCCTGATTTATATATCACATCTGTAGTTTCATCTCTTCTGTCAGCATAGGCATACCTCAGTTAAACTTAAGTTTTTCCGAGACTTTGTTTACTGTTTTTTTAACTCGGTGGGGAAGAAAAGCTTTTAAAAATAATGATACAATTCACAGCAAGATTATCTGATATTCTATTTAATCATAATTATATGAAAGTAGATGTTTATTAAAAACTTAGACCTCCTTCCTTTCTTCCAGTGGCCAGTTCAGGATCTGGCAGGTTTTATTTTTAAATTGAGACATCACATTTCCAAACAAAATAGAAGTGTGGATTATATACTTCAAGCCTCTGCCTGCCTAAACCTGTTAGTGGATATAGGGATTTTGTCAGGCTTTTGGTCAGTTGAATGTTTTGTCTGTTGATGTTTTCCGGATTCCTTGCTTTTATTTGATGTTAATATCTACTTACTGTTTCCCACATATACTAATTCTATGTATTTTTGTATTCTCTTTTTGTTTTATTGATCATGCTGTGGGTTGCCTTGAGTGCCTTATTTATTGCATTCCTACATCACAATAAACCATGATTTATTTTCATGGCAATGAGTCTGTGGAAGCTTTTGGGTTATATATCCCTCCTCTCTCTTCGCCTGGCACAACTGCAAGGAGGGGTTTGGAAGATTCCCCTTCTATTTTTTATTAACTGCCGCTTTTTGTCATCTGAACATGACAAACTGTAGTTAACATAAAATATGCTTTGTTTGAAACAAACCAGCTTCAACCATCGGATTATGAAAGTAGCTAGTTTCAACAAAGCATAGTTAAGATTAACTACAATTTAGGCTTTGGGCAGAACACTATACTATGCTTAATTGAATGCTTCCAATATTTTATTTATTTATTTATTGGGGGGGAAATATCCCCTCCTTCATCACAAATGATGTCCGGGTGTGAGTCACAGTCAATAAACAAATGCACTCAATGAAATCCTTCAATAAAACATTAAAAGCACATAAACTTCCACTTGAGTTAACCTACTCTCTTTAATAGGCTCAGTATATGAATCCTCATCAAAGGCCCAGCAGAAGAGATGGGTTTTCAACTGGTGCCAGAAAATGAGCAATGTTGGTACCAGCCATTCCTCAGGATGAAGAGCATTCCACATCTGGGGTGGAGCCAATGAACAGGCCCTATCCCATGCAAAAGTAGCCCCCTCACAGCTGCACCAGAGGGTGGGGAAGGGGAGGGGGACGCAGAAACTTCTAAGGAACTTCGCAATGAGGAATGAGCATACTCACAGACCATAGAATGTTGACTGTTAATTGGGGAAGGGAAGCAAAAAAGGGGAGTGTTAGCCCTTTCTCGGTACATATCAGTGACCACAGGATGGGAATGTGAGCTCCCCATTGTGGATGAAGGCCAATTGCTACTTTCACTTCTTTTTGCTGCTGCTCCTATATCAGATTTGATTTCAGTGTGCCTTCACCATTGCAGATCTCTCTTCCAGCTCTCATGTGCTTGTTGTGAATCATCTGGTTCAGGCTTGCACTTTTGTGTGTGTTTTCTTTGTGTGTTGTTTCTGGTCGAAGTTCTCTCGTCTCTTTTGTCCTGTCAGCTATTTTGTTTTTTCTCAGACTGTTGTACTCTGACCAAATTTGCTAGTCCTTCCAGGTATATTTCTGCCTGGTATGTTGTTTGTTTGTTTGGTCTCCTGGCTAGAGCCATGGGCAGAAATCCCCTAGGGTAGATAAAGACACATGGCTATACACACACACACACACACACACACACACACACACACACATATCTATACTGGTGTGTGTGTGTGTGTGTGTGTGTGTGTGTGTGTGTGTGTGTCAAGTCTCACTTGTAACAATATATTAAAGAGAAACCATTTTCTTATTTTGAATCTCTTCTATCCAAAAAGTGACATGTCTTACCATGCTTATGTTTCAGGTAAATTGCATCCCTTGTAACAAAATTCTGATTCTAAAACCACATGTTTTCTGAGCAAAGTCTTGCAACCAGCATAGCATACTCACCAATATTATGTGCCAGCATAAAAAAAAAATGTAGCTAAGTCATCTAATAACCTCTGCAATTTTTAGCATTTGAGATTAGTGTTGTTTGCTCAGAACAAGTCAAAGTTGCAGGTTTAGGAGAACTGCCTTTTCCCTAAAAGCCACCCAGTCAGCTAGCTTTACCCTCGTGGAATATTCTGTTGGTGTACCCTCTTAATGACTCCCCCCCCCACTCCTTTAGGCAACTCCTTTCACCTTAAGACTCACCAAAGCCTGAATTTAAAATGTTCTCAGAACCACTGAAATGCTTTTCCATTCTTGGCTAGCCCATGTTAGTCAGGGTTAAACTGTTAATGGGCATAAAAAAATAAATAAACATTTTATTCTTTTTTTATTATTCTGGATGATTTATTGTTCTTGGTCTTGAGATCTAGGGATAAAGCAGCCTAGAATGTGAATAAATGAAGACAGCCAGGTATCCTAATGGTTTCTGCACTTACCTCTTCCAAGTGGAGCAATTCATTCAAAAGATACGGAAGTGAAATGAAAATCCACCTTTAAAGCACAATTAATTAAATTAATATTGGACTTTGTGTCTTTCCTTTTAGGATAAAGTGGAAGTTGAGGTAATTCAGCTTGAAGCTGTTAGAATTCATGCACCCATTACAAGAATGAAAACTGGCACTCAGGTGAGTTGAATGTAGACAGTTCTCGATTTCATTTTCTTTCATTCGGTTATGGTCAAATAAAATAGGGCCTGTTTTGACATAATATAATTGGTGACTTGATGCAACTGATTATTGCTACATATATCAACTTATTCTGTGTTTGTGACCTTAGCTTTGGAAAAATGCACTGGGTGATTTCTTTGTTAAAATGTGTGCTTTTCTTCCAGATGCCAGTGTATGTGATGGGCATCACCAGCAACCAAGCTCCTTTTTCATTTGGCAATGCAGTGCCAGGGTTAACATTTCATTGGTCTGTCACAAAAAGGGATGTCCTGGATGTGAAAACAAGATTCAGTGAGGTAAACTTGTAATTTAAAATTTAAACACAGAGTGAGCTCCCCCCCCCCCCACTTGGTGTTTTTCACCCATGGGTGCATTTACTTTGATCTACATTTTCTAATTGCTTACCTTGAAGGCAGCTACAGAAAGTTAATTGTGTTTGTATATCTTCTTCCTTCAAGTCCCCCCACCCCAATATTTTTTCTCCTGGTGCCAGAAATAATGGTTGCTTGGAGTTACAGGCATCCTTTCCTGGGTTAACCAATTCTGCTACCTGATTTCAGTGCCATATCTGTTGCTTGGAATGCATCTGATGGGCACCTTCCACTTCATAACAGTCTCCCAGTATCAAATGATCACTAGGCATCATTCAACCTTAGAGCAATCTCATGGCAAGGTTTGCCTGATGGACAGTCATGGGCTAGGACAGGTTTTGTGTCAAAATGGTAGCTAGAGATCTAGCTAGAGGGTGTAGCACTGATCTTGATTTCACTGTGGTAGGTTGCCGCTTTCAGATGGCTCTTGAGTGTAAATAGCAAGAGGCTTTGTGACATATGAGCTGAAGGTTCTGCATGTGTGCAGTCATGCAGTATCATAAGATTTGTAGCTCCCATACTTTAATGAGTATTTAGGAACAGCACAGGATGAGCCTTCCTGCTACTTCTGCTGCCATCAGAACTCATTTGGCAAGGGTTAACTGTACAGTGTGGCTTAGTCCACATGCTACATACTGTAGCCTGAATAGGGACCTGTAGATACTGGCATGTCCTGATACCAGTCTTCTCTGGTGCACTCTGAACAGGCCCAGCCAACAGCAGATTCCCTTGGGGGGGGGGGGTCCTAGACCTACTGAGAATTACGTCCTACAATAATTCTGATTTTAAGTTCAGAGAAGAAATCTAGTAGCAACCAAAGTATACCTAAATTTACAGGATGGCTTCTAATGATAATTCTATTTAGCTCTGTTGTCAGAGGTGAGATCAAGAACCTAAAGAGTTTTGAAGTATATTAGAACCAATATATTAAATGAAATTCCTTCCTTACCTAGACTAATATTTTGTCTTTCAGGCTTCTCTTCAGCTTTCCCCCCAGTGCAACTTTGCAGTGGATGTTTATGGTAAAGGGAAAGGAAGAACAGGGTTGAAGCTTCTTGTCAAAGCCCTTGATCCTTCTGCTGGGCAATTTGGCCACATGGTAAAAGAATTGTCAGATGAAATCCAAATACAGGTATTATTATATTGCTATTCCTTACAGGGCCATTCTGTTGTGCTTGGTGAAAAACAAGTGTCAGGGCCAGTTCAGTACCGCAAGGCCTGTATGTGTGTTTCACAGTTTCACTTATGCACATGGTGGGGAAATTGACAATGGCTGCATAATTGGCTGTGACCATGAGAACCCGAGTCTTGCTTGTTTTTATGCTGTGTCTGTGAAGATGAACTCATAGGCAATATCTGGTAGAACCTCTGGAGCCAGAAGAATGGCTGAGGATTAGTAACTTAAGTATCTCACAGCATCCTGTCCCAGTCCTTAACCAGGAGAAGCACAACGCATTACTCAAAGCAAGTGAATATATGCAAATTTGTTGACATTTGCGTAAGCTTGTTGTTTCAGAATCCTGCTCTTCTAGTTACAGATTTTTTTATATAAATTGCTTTCATAGTATAGGGTACACACAATCCTGAAGTTAGTGCACTGTAGCATTGGATAAGTACATCAGAATTCTCAGGTCAGTTTAAATGTAGAATTTCAGCCATGCATCTCAAGGTCTTTACATTGGTAAGATGTGTAGTTATAGAGAAATAGGGCTATGAAAGAAGCACTGGTGTCAACAAGATCATGATGCATATCAAGATGAACTCAACTTCTACCAGTATTTCAGATCTCCACAGTATTTGGATTTGTTTGTTTTGAATCTGATGTGTTTCATGATACCTTTTCTGGGGTTTAGCATTTATTTTGATGCTCTCTGATAGTTCAGATAGTACAATTATGCTCAACAGCTGAGGCCTGTCACTTCACTCTGAACACAATTACAACAGTGTAGGTCCCATTGATTTCATTGGCTCCTAATTTGAATAAAGTGTGCTTAGGATCACAGCGGAATTAATGAAGCTGAAATGGCATTTTCATGGAGCTAAATAAATTGAATTAATTAAAGCTGGCTAAAAAGGCCAACATACATTTATTAGGGTTAGTTTTTTTAATTATGTACAGCAGTGGTGTTCAAATGAATCCAGCATGTTCATATTAAACTTCCAAACCACCATAAGTATATATAATTTGGAATATATTTTTTTTAAGCTGGTTCAGGCTCCTTTAAATGTATACACAGATAAAGCCCTAAGTGTAAGACATTTGAAGCTGACATTTTTCATCTATATGCTGGTCCTGATCCAGTTATTGCATACAAGGAAAAACCTCCATGACGACATCAAAACCTGCTCTCCTCTCCCCCGTGTTCTCCTCACACTGCCCCCAAATCTGTTCCCAGGGGATTGGGAAACCCTCAGAGCAGATTTGGGTGGCAAGCTGGAGTTGGAATTCGGTTGCACTCACAAAAGTTGTTCCTTGAGTACAACAATGGATATATTATAAGGTATCAATATCAATTGGCAGAGAGCATCGATACAGCTGTCTTCTGCTTTTATATATCTTTGCCTAACAGTTGCACCTGCTTTTCCCAGATACTTTATTTTGCACTGTGTCAGCCAATAAACCAGTCACAGAAGTAATAGGGGGCAAAACTATATATGGAATACAGACTTCACAAAAATATGCCTGGGCTGCCTCTCAATTTCAGAGAACCATAACACTTTGATGATTCAAAAAACAAAGTCTACAGACAAGTCCTTAACACTTACATTGAGTTCTTTTGTCGTAAATGCTTTGTTTAAGATTTGCTGCCCAAAATGCTGTGTGCCTGATTTCAATGATGTCAATTTGTGTTCTTCCTGATATAAATTTGGTTTCAGGATGCCATCATTAAGCCATAGATATTTAATAATCATCACTTTTAAAATGGCATTTTTAGGTCATCCTCATCCTGGTGCAGGAGAATAGTTAGTGCTCTCTTTCCGCTGGTTAATGGCACTACAGCTAGAAACTTCATGAGTCTGTAGAAGTCTAACAATATCCCTTGCTACTTAGTATTCTGTGCTAGCAGCACTCTGGATGAAAATACTTTGTTTCAGAGCCTACACATTGCAAAACAGTTGAATGGAATCTTAATTTTTAAAAAGTTACATTATTTAACAAATACGGAAATAGTAGCTATATGCATAGGGCTTTTAGCTAATCCCCCTGCTTCAAGTTTGCTGGATGGAAATAATCGTCAACAGAAATTGCTGTTTAAAGTGCAGCACGGAACATTTTATTCTTTTCAAATTCCTTTTGCTCTGGTGTGCTGCTCACTATAAGAAAGAAGTTGTAGGGAGCTAAGAATAAGATTTGATGATGTGAAATGCCTTCGTGTTTGCAGCTTCTGTTATCCTTTATGACGTATCACATGACTCTTGAGATACAATTGCAGCTGGAGAATGTGTTCCTTATGTGTGCTGGTAGAAATGTTTTTGACTCTACTGCACACTGAAGTACACTGGATATCAAATTACAGATTATGGCCTACAGGTGTTCATACAAATTTCTTATAGGAACAGAATATACCAGACTGCTGCTAACCTGCCAGTCCCCTTGTTTTTTCTCCAACTTTTAAGTAACATTAAATGTCTGTCTGTCTGTTTGTTTTAAAAGCAAATATATTTGCTATGGAGCAGTCATCTGCTCACAGTTTTGAAGTTGTGTCTTTGTTAGCAGATAGGAAACAGAGAGAATTCATGTCATACATTTAGAAAGATAAGAACAATAAATTGTTTGGTTCTTATGTACCATGATAGTTATACAACATCTGCGGTATTTATGGTTGCAGTAGCAATTGGGACTGGTTCCCATTCATTTTAGTAAAAGTACCCCACAAGTGGAATTCTTCTCTCTCAAATCTTATCACCCCACATCTTACATCTCTCTATTGTGAGAACTGTAAAAAATTAGTGAGATAGGACTTACCCTTGCAGAAATCATGCTGGTTCTGCTTCAGCAAGACTTGTTTTACTATATGCTTTGTAATTCTATCTTTAATAATGATTTCCACTGTTTTCCCACAGCAGATGTTAAGTCAATTAGTCTGTAATTTCCAGGATCCCCCTTGGATGTCTTTATAAAGATGGTGTTACATAAGGACAAGTTACATATTTTTGTTAGGAGATCAGCAGTTTCATATTTGACTAGTACATGTATCTGTTTGCTACTTTTGTAAAAGCCTGAAAAAAAAATTTCTTCATTTTGTAGGTATTTGAGAAACTAGTTATTCTGGGAGTAGAAGTAGGACAGATCCTAATGTCGCCAAACTCTTTTTTTAAAGTTCAGACAAACAGGTTAGTGGTTATGTTTTTCACATTTTGGTCTTATAAATGATTTGATATAATAATAGTTTTACTATGGAACCAAAAGCAAAATCATAGGGGGTGGAAAACCAGGAGGAAGCGGGGGGAAGTGTCTTGTGGCACTCTAAAGAATGTGTTTATTGTGGCATAAATTTTCATGGACTAGATCTCCCTTCATAAAGGCATCTGACAAAGTGAGCTCTAGACCATGAAAGCCTATTTGTTAGTCTTTAAATTGCCATCTCGTGGTGGTGGTAGTGTTGCAACCAACTAACATGGTGGCCCCTCTAAAATTTCATAGAATCATAGCACTGGAAAGGACCCTGGAGGTCTAGTCCAACCCACCCACCCCCCACAGTGCAGGAAACTCAGCTAAAGCATCATGACGGATGGCCATCCAACCTCTGCTTTAAAATATTCAAGGAAGGAGAATACTCCACTTCCTGAGGGAATCTGTTCCAACTACAGCGGTACCTCGGGTTACAAACTTAATTCAGAGGTCCATTCGTAACCTGAAACTGTTCTTAACCTGAGGTACCGCTTTAGCTAATGGGGACTCCTGTTGCTGCCACATGATTTCTGTTCTCATCCTGAAGCAAAGTTCTTAACCTGAGGTACTATTTCTGGGTTAGCAGAGTCTGTAACCTGAAGCGTCTGTAACCCGAGGTAGCACTGTAAGCATGTTTTCAAATGTTTCATTTTAGCTTTTTTCTAGAATTTGCTTTGTGTTTTTATATGTCACATGGAGCTAAGCTCTTTCATAGAAAGGCGACTAACAAATGTTAATAGCTAAAATAAATGAAAATGTGTTTTTGACAGATGACAATCTGTTGATAGTTCTTATTCTAGCTTCTGAAACAATGAACAAACTGGTTGTTTACTATGGGTAGTTAGTATTCAAGTACTCATCCTTACAAGTATTTTCAATTCAGCTATGTTTAGGAAAATGTAATTATTTTCAAATATAAAAGGAAAAGTTGATATCCACTTTGCAGTGCAATCCTGTACTCAGGAAAAAAAGACCCATTGAGCTGAATGGGGCTTTCTTCTAGGTAAGTGTGTATAGGACTGTAAGAAGAAGCACTTGAAATGATGAATTACAAATAATTATGATATGATTTCAAATTACACTTCCTTAGAGATTCACACATACAGACAACTTAGGATAAATGGTCTCCCAAAGAAGTTTTAGTGTCCAGAAATCAGTTATTTGATTGCATTGTGCATATATGCCTAAGGAATAGCTATTGAATTAAGCCATGCATGTTCAATCTAACTCAGTTGAAATTATTCCTTAAGGGTGCGCACATTAACGAATGCATATGCAGTAGTAGCAAAAACAAAGTCCTCCAGATATTGGGGAGGAACATCTCTAAGAACTTTTGGAGTGCTTTAATTTCAGTTTGTATGAAAAAAAGAAAATAATCAGTGAAAGAAAACCATTTCTTTCAGGACAGTAGCATCAATATAGATGAGTCAGTTTGGCATATTAGAACATGAAGGGGAAAGCTGCCATCGTTTCAAAGAAATGGCAAATGGCAGTTAGGCAATCTGTCCGGAGAAGCTGTTACAAGGGGGGTGGGGGTGGGACAGTGTAGTATGGAGTTTATGGAGACCACAGAGAGAGAGAGAGAGAGAGAGAGAGAGAGAGAGAGAGAGAGCGAGAGAGAGAGAGAGACATACTGTCTCTGTTTCAAAGGGCATAAAAGGCCCATCATCTCCATAGATTTGTGCTGCCTTTGAAAATGGACACTGAGTGAGTCTGGCTTCATAAACGAAACAAATCCTCCAACATGGCCTTATTGTGTCATCTTTGGCTGAATCATCTTTGTCGCTTTGACAAGATGAAGTTCAAGTTGATAGGGAAGATCTTCTAGATGCTGTGCATTTCTTTGGCTATGTTAAAAAACACACATAGTGATTTCTATTGAAATGGAAGTGCTTCTTAAAGCAGATGTCTACTGAGCAAAAAGCTCTCTTTTGTGTGATTAAATCCCAACAGCTTCACACTTTCTGTTTGGGGACCAGATTATGGTTGCTGGCAGATATTTTAAGATACGTACTGGTATTTTATTGTATTTGTTTATATAAAACACCTATATTTCCAGTTGAATAAAACAGCTTGTACTGTCATGTGCTGCATAGAATATGTGTAAGTCATATTACTAGCCTTTGCACTATTTTTTATTATTATTAATACAGCAATGCCATGGAGAGACTTTTTTAAAATCAATGTTGTATACAAACAATTTCCAGGAAGTCCTGCTTAGTCATGTTCCTGTTGTGTATTTTTAATACCAGCTCTGAACCTGGCAGACTAATCATACTCTGAAGCCTGTTTATAGGAAGGCAGGCAGCATCCTGGAGTCCTGTCCATTAGTATTCTGAATCAAGTTTACATCAGTGAATGATGACACTGCAGGGCAGCAAACAGCAAGTGGATTGTAATATATGCATAAGCACAGATAAGATGTCTTACAAGGATGCTTGAAATCAGAATCTGAACCCTTGAATCTTAGATAAAAATTCAACAGCAAATCAGTGGTGTGCTGGCATATGGCAACATGGTTTATATAAAACCATGTTGCAAACATTGAGGTTTGCATTTTAAGAGTCTTAAAGTGGTTCTATTTATTTTTCTCTTTGTTTTATCAAGGGACCGAGTTGCTGCTCTAATTTACCATGTCTTGGATGGTCAGGATAGAGTTCCTGTGGTGCAGATTGATGAGAGAGGCCTCCTTAATTCTGGATCCTTGATAGGACTGTCAACAGTACAAGTAATTTCACAAGAGCCATTTGGAATCAACCAGACCCTTACTGTCACTATCAAGGTAGTGTTTTTGTGTTCTTTTCCCCCCCTGTTCTCTTCAAGGAGATTAGAATGGCGACTGCTATTTGCCTCTGATTTAAAATTGTAATTTCCCATTATTCCAGCTGGAGACAGTAATTGTAACTTCAGCTTGGAAAGTGCAAAAGAGTAGCCATCAATTCTGTTTTAACAGAATGGCTAAGCACTTGTCCTGTTCTGCAATAAAACTTTTGACATTGCTTATTGGGAAAAGATTAAATGTAACAATGCTGACCAAAATTAAGAAAATATGGGTACACATGACTAATATATGAACCTGTTTTGCTGGACATAGATATACTAAAAAATAGTTTATATATTGAAAAATAGATTGTAAAAATAAATGTGAAGCTTAAGCAACATTTTGTATAAGCTGCAATAAGTAACTGTTCCCATGCCTGTAAAAGCATTTGTTCTTGAAAGTTGCATATTCCTTGTGGTTGTGGGAAGAGCATGTGTGGGGTACTCCCTGGTCCTGAATGGGGGTAACTAAGCCTCTAAAAGAAGATGAAGCTGAAATATTCCCACTAGAATTTAATTAATTAAAGGCTCATTGTGCCTCCATACACATCATTGCACTGGCCATAACTTATTCTGTTGTCATTCCATGGGCAAAGGGTAAGTCTGCTGTGTCCTTGCACACTGGCTCATTAAATGAGCTAGTTGCACCAATGGCAGAAATCCATTTAAAGAAATACAGACTTTTGAGACAAAAAGGCCTGCCAGGAAGTGGTTCACAGCTAAAAGAGCATAATATAGCTACTTAAAACATAAAAAGAGATATATATATTTAAAAATCATCAACAGATATAAATTGTTGTTATTATTTATTTCAAAGCAGACTGGATCATCCAGTCCCTGTTAAAAACAGTAAAGGATAGAACCAAGTTCACATCCTGTGGAAGGCAGTTCCATAGTGGTGGGGCCACTGCTTAAAAGGTGGGTCTAATTGGTGTGACCTGTGGGAGTTAATAATCCAGCAACATCTAGCAGGCGACAGGTTTCCACCCCTGCTTCAAAGAGCACAGGCAAACCTACCTCCCCACAGAAGAATCTACCTGTCCAAAGGGGAATCTACTGGCCACAGCTCAGATCAATAACCGGTGTGGAAGCAGCAGTTCACTTCTAGTTTTAATTCGGGAAATATGTCTCTCAGCATCAGAACTTTGGGAACTATTGGCATAGAACAATATTTAGAGGTAATAGAAAGTGAGAACAAAATACTACGTTGGAGGTGGGAAAGAGGAAGGACTAAATGGTAAAGTTCTTTCTTTTAGAAAAAAAATGTATACAGTGGTACTCGGGTTAAGAACTTAATTCGTTCTGGAGATCTGTTCTTAACCTGAAACTGTTCTTAACCTGAGGTACCACTTTAGCTAATGGGGCCTCCTGCGCCACTGCTGCACGATTTCTGTTCTCATCCTGAAGCAAAGTTCTTAACCCGACGTAATATTTCTGGGTTAGCGGAGTCTGTAACCTGAAGCGTATGTAACCTGAGGTACCACTGTAGTAGTTTCAGACTTGTCAAGAGAGTTAAATGTAAAATCAACTTGAATGCATGCTTGAAAGGGAATGGTTGGACTTGGCTTGAAGCTAGCAGCATTTTAGAGGCAGCAAGACATGGCTTAAAATATTGGTGTATACAGCTCTCTCTGCTATTATTGGATATTACAAACCAAACAACTATGATATATATCCTTTGCCCCAGATAGCTAGTAAAACACCATTTTAGAGTACGTGTACATTTTGTAGTAAAATGTAAAACTATCAGAGCCTCTTCAGGAAGAAAAAAGAGAAAGGCCTTTCTTTGCTACAAGGTAAACTAAGAGGAAGGGTTTCTCATAGGTGTGTGAGGGTGTTTCTTTGTTTCCTTCATTTATTTTCCAGAGCAGTATCAAAGAAAATCTTCTTTTTTCCCTTTCTCTCTTCTTGAAAGCTAACCTAAATAAGTCAGGCAGGTTTGCCTTCATTAATTAATAACAAAAATGCAGTCTCATAATAAATCCTTTGTAAATCCATTGACTTGACAGGTCCTTGCAAGTTAATACTGCTGCGTATCTATTTAGGCTGCAGTATTTGCACACTTCTGGGAGTGTGCCCTGTTAATCACACAGTGATGCTTGCTTCTGAATAAGCACACATAGGATTGTGCTTCTGAAGACCACATGGGGTGTATTATGGCCTACCAGGTTCCTTACTTTCCTTTCTTTCCACCTGTTTCTGCAATCCCACGCAAGCAGCAAAAGCAATGAATTAATGAGCCCATAGTGAGCCTTGTTCAGCTTGGTGACCACAAGTTGTACAGGCGTGTGAAAGAAGTTTGGTTGATACCATATTCACTATAGAATTTATTTACAAAAGGACCTGTTAATGATAGCAAGGTATATGAGTCCATGTACATTTAGTGGAACCTATCCTAATACATTTTTATTTTAAATCCTTTTTATTTTACAGCATATATATATATATGTCTAATGAGGCATATAAGCATTTTTCTTCTTACCCATGAGGTTTTGTGGATTGCTTAATTAGTTGGTACATCTACAGAGCCTAAGCTTTTTTAAAAAATAAATCATCATATTCTCAGGTTCTGTTGGAGCTTGGGGCTCTCAAGGGGAAAGTAATAGTGATTACCAGAACCTATTAGAATTAAGCCAGGCAGCTCCCAGGAAGCCTTGCTGGATGAGCGAAGGAAGATAATGTTTCAACAAAGGACCAGAGTCATCTGTCAGGGCCTTCTCTTTAAATGGCTCTGCCCCTTTGGGACAGCTTAGGCAATATTTAAGGTGCACACTGTTGATTCTGTGGTCACACACTCCTGAGTAACTGAGGAGCAGGACTGACCTGGGGAAGTCATCCCCAGGAGTCTGGGAATTATGGACAAGCTACATCAGATGATATAGAATGGTGTTGAAGCCCCCTCATGGAGTAGGGTAACTGGGTATCATCCAAATCAGGGTAAAACTGGGACCTTGGTGCACAGAAAATGAAACACGTGACCTTTAGGATCTTTACATAATGATCTGGATCCGAAATTGCTCCTCCATTCACATATGTAGCCTCCTATATACACACACCTTATCCCACACTAAATTTAGAAAGCTAAAACAGCTTCGGAACTCCGGTGGCATAATAATAATCCACCTTCCGTGCAGTGAGTAGGAGATACACACATGCACACACTCACTATTCCACAACCCTGAAGTGTTTATTAGGAGTGCAATAAGGGTTAAAGATAAAAACATTAAAGGATGATGACTTATAAGCAATTTGGCCAGTAGGAAAAACAATCTCATACTCTGTTTTCCCCTATTTCCCTAGGTGGCTCCTATTTCCTACTTGAGAATATCCATGAACCCAATTTTCCATACACAAAACCATGAAGCATTATTGGCATTACCACTGGGCATGACGTTGACCTTGACCATCTACTTCCATGACAGCTTTGGAGATACTTTCCATTCACAAAATTCTGTGCTTAGCTTTGCAGTCAACAGGTACTTGTCTATACAATTAGCTTAATTTTACAGGAGATATAAATAGCTGAGTATGTGAGATGATTCAAGGTACTGATACCTCAGCAACTGACGACCCCCTTGGGTTAGCTGTTTAAACATGTTCAGTGAACAGATAAAAGAACTGAAAAGTGTGATTTAAAGCTAGTATACTGGTGCATTGATATGATATGATCTGAACAAACCACCCGCCTGGAAAGTGATCAATGCACGTCTTCCATGGAATTACTCCAAGGCTTTGCATGTATAGGAAAAAGAAAGGAGACTGCCTAAAAGTTATTTAAATAAAAAAATTTAAATCTGCTCAGGCCAAATCAGTGCCTTGAAATCGTGTCCTTTCCTAGTTGGATTAAATAGTAATCCTAAACACATTTACTTGCCATAAATCCCACTTGTTCACAGAACTTTCAAGCCATTTTACTGAGCATCAAATACTAGTAATTTATAAAGTTTGCTGATCCTTTCAATTGCAGCCCAGTGTCTTTGCCTGGGGTCTTATTTTCCAGCTCCCCAACAGCTAGTGGGAGATATCACGTCCTCTCCCACTGGCCGTGGAGTTTGAATAAGGCCAGCCAGTGAATTTGGCCAATCACAGGTGGGCCTGACGTTCGGTCCTAGGTGGGTGCACCTGACCAAGGACTCCTATGGGAGTCTTCACTCAGGTCAGCCCCTTACACATACATTAAGACTGTCTATGGACCCAACAGCTCAGTCAGAACAGGATCTCCCACCCTGTCTACCCTTCTGCAGCATTAGAACTCCACCCAAAGGTGCATGAGTGTGTTGGGGGTATGACCTTGCTATGGAATTATTGGAAATAATCATGACCAGGCAGTAATTTCTCCTCCAGCTGAATTGGGCCTGCCTAGGTTTTTTGCTTACCTCATAGCAATCATCACAACATGTGGTGGATAAGTGATTAGGTTGAATCCCTAGTCAAGGGCAGAGCGGGGTGGGTAGGAAGCCTACCCCTCCGTAGAATCAGGGTATCCCACTAAAGGGGTCCTAGGGGAGGTTCTTTCTTCGGCCTGAACACCCAGACGGCCATAGCAGTCTCCAAAATGGTGCTGCTGATGGGTTGCACCTCTCTGCTGTATGTCATAGGGCAATCCTTACCCAGGATCAACTCCAGACAATAATCAACTAGCAGGTGGGCTAGATATTTCGGGACACACCCAATGCCTATGTCAAAGCCTACTTACATCAGTAATCAAGATGTGGCCTGTTTTGATCTCAAAATATAAAACTGTGGTTATAACTTCTGTCTACACACCCGGCCTCAGGGGCGGCAGACTCACTGTGTCTGGGCAAATGACTCTTATCAGTTGAAAATGATTATTTATAAGTGGCTGGTATCTGATACTATGTACATTTGCTTGGAAATACTGCAGAAGGAACTGTGTGTTGGAGTTCAATACCTTCCTAATGTTTAGCTTTTGGGAAATATAGATGTTAACACAACTTTCTGTAGCATGTGAGGGATATGGCTATTTTGATCTGCTGTCTTTTGACTTCTCTTGATTCTGGGATATAATAAAATGCTCTTATTTCCTTGGATACCACTTTTTAAATTATTCACCTCTTTTTGTCTATAGAGATGATTTTGTACAGGTAGGGAAAGGAGCCTCCAACAACACGTTAATAATCCGAACAATGAATGTCGGCCTAAGTTTGCTTAAAGTATGGGATGCAGAAAACAGCATTATTGCCGATTATGTGCCTCTTCCTGTGCAACATGCCATCTACCCTGAGCTCAGAGATATTGTCAAAGGTGATGTCCTGTGCTTAACTTCCTCACTGGTAAACCAAGAAGGTAAGGAATCAGAATAAAAATTGACACTAACTGAGAATTGTGACAATAAAATAGGGTGTATGGCAACATTAAATTGCCATGGAAACGTCATACAGTTGTAGATGCAGCACATTTTCAAAACAACCAAATACATTATTCATTATGTTGTTCCACTATCAAATGTCAGGCCCTATCCCTGCTAAAGGGATGAACCAATTTAATCAGCTCCTCTGCCTTTAACTATATCAAATCAATACATCATTTTGCTCTGACTGGTTGTCATTTCTATTGATCTTTAAAGGAGTAGTATTATTGAATTTTGCTATACATATATGGAAAAACTAGAGGGACCACTTTTTATGTGAAGTAGGTCATGAGGCAGGCAATAAGATTTGAAGGCACGCATGTCAGAGAGCCAAAGTGATGGCAGTCTGTTTTATATAATTTTGAAGAAGAAGAAAATCCATAGAGTGATATACAGATTTCAGAGGATGGGTTAAAACTAATATGGTGCTGGTTTTGGCATGAGCCTGCCAGGATGCTGATTAGGAGGACAGGCCACACAATGGATGGATGAGAATGTGGCCTTCTGAAATATGCTAAATAATTCCACTGTACTAGAAAAAAGGCACTTCAAAGAAAGCTAATACGCCATCCATAGGCAGTTTTTATGTAACCTAGGCTGGATAAAGTCGGCAGACTAGTTAAGAAGCCCTGTTAAGTTTTCTATCAGTGCCTTTTTCCTCTTGCTCTGCCTGTGTGTGTGTGTGGTTGGTGCAGTGGGAAGACCAGCTAGTTTACTCTAAACCTCTTACCTTGTTGCCTTTAGTCTTTGTTGCAAATGCTGCTGCTTCTGTTTTGTTTTGTTTTAAATCCTGTTTACTGTTAATCTTCTGCTGGTTGTATGTTACAACTTCTTTGTGAACAATTATAGTAGTCCCTTTGGGAGGGGGAATCCAATTACCCTAAATGAAATCAAATGAATATCGCTTGGGCCTATCATATCCCCACTTTTCAAAGCTGGTCCGGTTTGGAAGGCCCCTTTTTCTATCAGTGATGCTTTTGGCTTATAAATAGTGTTATGCTCTTAGAGGCAGCTATCACCTGGGAGTTATTTAAACTGCTCAACATGTAGGCTAGAGCTATGAGACAAGCCATTTGGGGCAGTTTTCTTCATTGGATCACAAACTGTGTTTTTCTCAGACGTTTGCACTTCCTTGGAAGAAAAACGAACACCCTCAGTACATGACTAGTGTTACACCAGTTGCAGCGCCCGCATGCCAGTGTTTCCCAGTTATCAGTGCTTATACTATGGGGTTTTTTTAGATTTGCCTTGAGAGCGTCTTTAAACCTCTTTTGTTGTCCACTGGTATTTTGCTTTCCATTCTTAAGTTGGGAATAGAGTAGTTGCTTTGGAAGACAATAAGAAGCACAAATGCAGGGCGACAAGGAGAAACGAGCTAAGAGGAAGGCACGTTTGGCATACCCTCACCATGATCAACTTCCACACGTAAACCTATGTCCCCACTGTGGAAGGACGTGTGGATCCAGAATTAGCTTCCACAGTCACTTATGGACTCACTGTTAAGACCATGTTCATGGAAGACAATCTTACTCAGCTACAAGTGATCGCCAAAGAAGAAGAAGTGTTACACCATGTCGGTGCAATGGAGCAATTTTGATCAGGACTCATGTTGCACCCATAATGAGTAGAGCAGCATTAAGCTTAACTCTGAAGGACTTCTTCACCATTCTCTTTGTGGCCAGATAATCCCCCTGTCTGCTTCCTGGCTATGTGGCAGCAGTGACTAGTGCTGTGGCTTTTGCTAAGGCAGTTGCTATGACTGAACCGGATGCTGAGCTTTAGGCAGGATGTAAGACAAAAGCAGAGAGTGAAGTCAAATGGGCCTTAGAAAGCATTGCTAATAACAAGGCCAGTGGAAGTGATGATATTCCAGCTGAACTATTTAAAATTTTAAAAGATGATGCTGTTAAGGTGCTACACTCAATATGCCAGCAAATTTGGAAAACTCAGCAGAGGCCAGAGGATTGGAGAAGATCAGTCTACATCCCAATCCCAAAGAAGGGCAGTGCCAAAGAATGCTCCAACTACCGCACAATTGCACTCATTTCACACGCTAGCAAGGTTATGCTTAAAATTCTACAAGGAAGGCTCAAGCAGTATGTGGACCGAGAACTCCCAGAAGTGCAAGCTGGATTTAGAAGAGGCAGAGGAACCAGAGACCAAATTGCAAACATGCGCTGGATTATGGAGAAAGCTTGAGAGTTCCAGAAAGACATCTACTTCTGCTTCATTGACTATGCAAAAGCCTTTGACTGTGTCGACCACAGCAAACTATGGCAAGTTCTTAAAGAAATGGGAGTGCCTGATCACCTCATCTGTCTCCTGAGAAATCTCTATGTGGGACAAGAAGCTACAGTTAGAACTGGATATGGAACAACTGATTGGTTCAAAATTGGGAAAGGAGTACGGCAAGGCTGTATATTGTCCCCCTGCTTATTTAACTTATATGCAGAATTCATCATGCGAAAGGCTGGGCTGGATGAATCCCAAGCCAGAATTAAGATCGCCGGAAGAAATATCAACAACCTCAGATATGCAGATGACACAACATTGATGGCAGAAAGTGAGGAGGAATTAAAGAACCTTTTAATGAGGGTGAAAGAGGAGAGCGCAAAATATGGTTTGAAGCTCAACATCAAAAAAAACGAAGATCATGGCCACTGGGCCCATCACCTCCTGGCAAATAGAAGGGGAAGAAATGGAGGCAGTGAGAGATTTTACTTTCCTGGACTCCATGATCACTGCAGATGGTGACAGCAGTCACGAAATTAAAAGACGCCTGCTCCTTGGGAGAAAGGCGATGGTAAACCTAGACAGCATCTTAAAAAGTAGAGACATCACCTTACCAACAAAGGTCCGTATAGTTAAAGCCATGGTTTTCCCAGTAGTGATGTATGGAAGTGAGAGCTGGACCATAAAGAAGGCTGATCGCCGAAGAATTGATGCTTTTGAATTATGGTGCTGGAGGAGACTCTTGAGAGTCCCATGGACTGCAAGAAGATCAAACGTATCCATTCTGAAGGAAATCAGCCCTGAGTGCTCACTGGAAGGACAGATCCAGAAGCTGAGGCTCCAATACTATCGCCACCTCATGAGAAGAGAAGACTCCTGGAAAAGACCCTGATGCTGGGAAAGATGGAGGGCACAAGGAGAAGGGGACGACAGAGGACGAGATGGTTGGACAGTGTTCTCGAAGCTACAAACTTGAGTCTGACCAAATTGCGGGAGGCAGTGGAAGACAGGAGTGCCTGGCGTACTCTGGTCCAGGGGGTCACAAAGAGTCGGACACGACTAAACGACTAAACAACAACAAAGACAAAAGCAGAAATCCTAGCAGGGTAGATGTAGCTCTTTTGCAGGCTGCTGCAAAAGATGAACAAATGCACCAGGCCAGACCTTCCCGTGTTTTTCCTTGAAAATTATTATTCCTCACTAGATGGGTGTCTGCCCCTGTTTTCAAAAAAAGGTGATTACACACTCTGTATGCATGCACACATTTTTCTTCAGTTTTTATCAGCCATGGCACATTTAAGATTTAATTTTCAGAATCAGCATCAAGCTCCATGTTACATGCAATAGGTGTTCTTCTTGAGTAAGACTAGTGAAATAACGTGATGTAGCAATAGTTAATCTGATTATATATTTTTCACAGGTTTGGCAGGAACATGGAGTTCTTCTTCAAATAGTATTCTTCAGATTGATCCAAAGACAGGAGTAGCAGTAGCGAGGAATTCTGGAACTGTTACAATATATTATGAGGTCCATGGATTGCTTAAGACCTACCGGGAGGTGAGACACTTCTGAATTTCATTTGTCATGTTGCTCTGGGTGGAGACTTCCTGTGACTACGTAAAAGGAAGCATCTGCAGCATCTGAGTGTCCTTTTCTCATCCGCTGTCTCCACATACCAAATTGCTTGGTAAACTTCTTCAAGTTTAAAAAGCGTCTTTGAGATTTGATCTGCAAACCGTTTAAAGGAAATGCCATGTTTTCAACAGTTCTGTGCACCAAGCTGCATTTTAAATTTTAGGAGAGTTGCTGAGAGGAAAACCTCTAATAAAATGCTTGTGGATATCCCATCTAGTCGTCATCCATGTCAAAAGCAGCCATGTCACCTAAGGATACGTTTGCATCCGTCTGTTATTCTTATATGACAAGTTTTGTCTGTGCCTGGCTAAAATGCTTCTAAATTCCAAATAGCTTTGACATATTAGTATTCTATACTTGACTAAGTGGTATGGGTGAATTAAACCACTGGTGAGATTAAGCTATACTGCAATTTTGCTCTGAAAATGCTCTGTCTTCCAAGTACTGTGGGCAGGATTCTCCCAACGAGCCCTGCCAGTGGAAGTTCTGCACAAGGACTTCTGCTTGTACAATGGGGCTTTCTTCCTGCCTCCCTCCACATGCTCCCCAAAATTGGCTTGGTGTGGGGTTCAGAGAATCCCGAGAACAGCACATGGGGGAGGAAAGGTGGAGTTGCTTGCACAGACAGAACGTTCGTCATTTAATTCAACTCTGCATAGCCGGATCTTTATGCACAGACGTAGGTTTTTTGTGGCTCAATGGGAATTGCATCCACATAAATAAGTGATAGTATGATCTCTTATTTTTCCTTCAAGGTGTCGATTAATGTACCTCAAAAGATTGTGGCAACACATGGAAGTGGAATGAAAACAAGTTTGCAGGGCACTTTAACTTCGAAAGTTGTGGTTAAAATTGGGCATGGAAGCAAAAATCTGAAAGGTACCATATTTATTAACTTTATGTTTGAGTGTGAAAACGTGGACCAAACAGACAAGCTTTTCTATGTAACATTAATTTTATGTATAAATACATAATACACCATTTATTATCTCTGTGTACAGCTTGTTGAGCTTCATTATGGGAAGGCATCTAAATAATTATTTTAGGGCATATGTAATTTTTCACTTAGCTGAATTAATGATGTTCAATATGTTTTAGTGGAGCACATACCTTTCATGGAAAAACAGCAAAGTTTCAGCCTCAACACAGACGTATATTTCATACATGCCCCATAATCCCCCTTAGGGTCCTTTAAATGAAGTAACCCATTTTGAAAGCTTTACTGGGAAGCAGAATATGACGTTAATAAATCAATAAACTGGGTGCTGCTGCACTTAAGCTAGTTTGGGTGGAAGCCCACCTTGCGTGATCCTTTCCTCTCGTTAAAGAACAGGAGAAGAAAATAAGAATCATGATTGTACACCCATGCTTACGTGCAGATATCCTGGCTCAATTATGCCTTTATATGATCAGCAGAGGGGAATACAATCATCTACTCCTTTCACCAAGAGTGACAATTTTTGAATGAGTGCATTTGACCAACCATCTGCCAAACTTGTGATCGTTCAAAACTTTGATCTTTATTCCTTTTGAAGAACTTAATTTAGAGTTTGGGAGGGTGTTCTGAGAACATATACCTCTAAAATTACTTAGAAGTATTTCAGATGGGTGCATGTTGAAAGCATAAATAGTAATTTCTGTGCCATTTAACACACGTTTAACAATGCAATGCTGAGTACTCAGTACTTTCTGATATATTGAATACATGTCCAAGGGAACTAGTGCTTCATTTCAATCCAATAATAAATGACACAATTTATCTTCTTGACAACCTCTGGAAAACACATTAGTGAGACTTCCATAGTATACCAGGCCTGCTGGTTACAAGGCCTTGATCCAAAGTTTAAATGAAGTGAAATTACCTGTGGCTTAATATGACCTATCACCTGACAACACTTTATACCTCATTCACTCTCAATAATTATTGTTGTAAAGCTGTCGGTGTTAAATGCTTTCATGTCGTAGGTGAGAGAAGGCAGCTGTATAAGTCTTCCTGCTCTAGTAAATGTCTCTTGCTGTATATGCTTAATGGTATAAAGAAGATTACAGATGAAGATTAAATTTCTTACTACCAGGTTCTGCTATTTCTTTTTAAAAATGTTTGTTTTTCTTCTATTTTAATTCTTTTACACAATTTTCCTTAGGAGAATGTTCACCCGCCCAGATTGAAGTAATTGAAGAAATGAGGCCCCAGTCTAGTATCAATTGCCAACTTCATTTCAACAATGATATATTTGATTTTCCAGCCTCTGAAATTTTTGCAGCAGAACCTGGGTTTGATGTAGATTCAGGTAAGACAAAAAGAAGCCCCAAATCATACCAACCACTCTCCAGTCCGTCGTGCATGCTATGGTACTATATTTATCCTGTTAAGATAATACTGAGTAATGAGTTGAGGGAGCAAAAATAATAATCCAGTACATAAGTAATAAAGTAATAATGAGCAACATGGGAATATAGAGATACAAATGTGCCAAACAAGTTTAATGATGATTGGCTAGAACTGCAGTGTTAAATGAAGACAACACAGCAGGTGATAGCAAGCTGCTTTTCAGTGTTTGCAGACACCCTTGTTTCTCAGTGCTTCAAAACAGTGCAAAACATTGGACCTGAAAAGCTCTTTGCTCATGTCAATTTCAGTTTGCAAGCACAGAACACTGTCTCTTATGTCAACTCAACATATGACGTTGACTGTGGTGTCTTCATGCTAAGGTTGCCCTATTGACATTGAGCCTCTGAATAAACATGCTTAGGACTGGAGTGCAAAACACTCAACAGTAACACAGTGTAGAAAACTACAGTGGTACCTCGAGTTACAGACGCTTCAGGTTACAGACTCCACTAATGTGGAAGTAGTACCCCGGGTTAAGAACTTTGCTTCAGGATGAGAACAGAAATTGCGTGGTGGCGCAGCAGCAGTGGGAGGCCCCATTAGCTAAAGTGGTACCTACCTCAGGTTAAGTACAGTTTCAGGTTAAGAACGGACCTCCAGAACAAATTAAGTTCTTAACCCAAGGTACCAGTGTACACTGAGGGGGAACAAGCTATTATTATTCAAATTGTTCTTGGTTCTTTAGGACATTATACTTGTTCCATCACAATGCACAGACTTGCGGACAAGCAGCTAAAACAACTGAGTATGAGCAAAACGGCTGTTGTTGTAACAGCTTCAGTCCAAAGCAGCCATTTCTCAGAGTGGATCAGTGCCGAAGTGCCATTTAATCCGGGATTTTATGCTAATCAGACTGAAATTGCCTTGAATAATCATTACACAAGTTCTGATGTGAAGATATTTGGAGCCACTGAAATTCTTGAAAATCTTGTGGTAAGTCATGACCAGTATTTTCAATTTGTTAATGTCGTGTTTCCATGAGCCAATGTGGATACCATGCACAGCAGTCCAATAAACAGCAACATTTGAGCTGCAATGAAAAATTCAAAGCAAATTGGATTTCAGGCAGTAACAGAAATTTGGGGTGTAAAGACAATATCCATCATATTGTCAATCTTTGTATGAAAAGTTAAAAATAAGTTTAAAACAGGTACTTTAAGATGTATTTTATTCACTGAAAGAGACCACTGAAAGGAAGTCAAAGGAGGCACAAACTTAGATCAGCTTGGGCTTTTTTCTGTGCACTACACTATTCTGCACATATATTTCACATAGTTACTGTTTTGATTTCCTGTAATTAGGTGGGTGTTATCTAGGCCACCCAGTGCAAATTCTCCTTTAATTAGTTACATTAGTAAGCTAATAAAATTAGAAGTCAAATTAATTGAAGTTCATCTTTATGTGAATATACCCAAGGGTGTGAAGTAGAATTTAAGCAGTCATTAAAGGAAACAAATACTCATATTGGTATTCAGCTTCATAAGTTGAGTGGGGGGGAATACCATTTGCATTTTAGCTACCCTATTTTTAATACAGAAAGGTAGAGTTGGCAAGGGACTTGAACAAATGAAGACCAAAAATGATTTATGATACCATAACACACCTTTGGGAATATCAGGAGAGAGAGAATAATGTTCTACATAGTACTCTGCTGCAGATGTTAAACTATAATCCACAGAGGCACCATTAGAAAGAGATACAAGAAATGCATAGCTGACGTGACTTGGAGAAAAGACTGTCCAGCTTGGTATGGCAGGTCGTCTTGGGCAGAGGGTGTCTATCAAGCAGCTAGAGAGCATCTGTGAGAGCTCACTCTTCCAGGGGAAGGGTTCTCTTTAACGGACAAGTGTTATCAGAAGAGGGAAAGAAAAGAACATTTTTAAAAAATCGAATAGCTCTGTCTTGGTTGTGCATCTGACACAGGACTCAAGTGGCTCAAAGACAAATTAAGAGAGGGGATACGATCCCGCAGTACAATTTTTCTCTATCTCTGAGTGTTGTCAATAAATAATACGTGTTTATCTTGCAGGTGAAATCTGGCTCGCCTCTGGTGGTGGCCTTTGAGAAGGAAAGGTCCTATGGCTTGCCTAGTTATGTAACATATACTGTCAGCTTATCAGATCCAAGACTTGCAAGCAAAGGGTCTCTGTCTACTACACTTACCATATCCAGCACAGGGACTGACCAATCTATCACAATCCCAGTGACAATGTTTTATGTATCTGACAGACCCTTAACAGTGAGACGTAAGTTTCTCATTCTATATCTACACCTTCCATTGTAGTAGTCCCTTTTAAAAAAATATTAAATGTGCTATTGTAAACGTCAGCGTTTTTAGTGCTGGATTGGCATAAGTTTTAGCTCCAAAGCTATATGTAGGCAAATGTGGTAGTGTTGCATTGCTAGAACATAGATTTTATTGCATAAAGATTTTTCCTAATTTGAAAAAGTTCAGAAAATCAGTGCCAGTTTGGTATTAAATGCCTCTGTGTTCACCAACATCCCAGAACCTTTCCTTTCTATGGCAGGTCTTCGTGCTTCCAAAAAGCTCATACAAAAGGGAAGGAATCCAGAGAGTGGCATCAGATCTATGGCTTTAGTTGAAAGAGCAACCTGGGAAAGCACCAGTTTGTGCATAATTATGTTTGGGTGCATGCATGGGAATTTTTGCTGTTTACTCACCATTGATCTCTCAGGAAGCACAGCATCATACTCTTAACTGATAATTCTTTAAAGCTATATTTTAAGGATAATGGTATAACATTTTCAGGGGCTCTGGAAAGCAATTAATATTGACATTTAAATATATTTTTGAACTATCACAGGCATGCACATTCCAAATGTTACTTTGAAATAATAAAATACTGTTATTTAAATAGATAGCATAATTGGATTCAAACCACTTTAGGGTTTTAGGTCTATTTATAACATGGATACCCATATATCTTCTTTTCAATATGATCCTCAGATGAACCAAGCTTATTCCAACACTTCCTTGATTCCTATCAAGCCATGTTTTTCACACTTTTTGCACTACTAGCAGGGATGGCTGTTACAGTAATAGGTAAGTGTCAGGGATTCTGAAGCATTCCTCCCCCCGCTTTAATTTTTTCAAAGTTTATGTGATTTCAAATTAATTTCTGCCAATTTGTTCTGCCATGTCTTTCAGTGCACTATGCTATTTTCTCACCAAAGGAACAGCTCACTCACCCAGCTTTTCTCCCAAGGACGAGTCCTGAGCATAGACAACGTAAGCAGATCTTAAACCATTTTAAATTGAAATAAACTTTTCTCGCTTAAACTACTGCATAAACATTGCAGCAAGGGAGAGTCTTCCCCTCAGAGTAGACTGCCTGAGCCAAGTGGCATAACTGTACTTTGCAGGATACTGAAACTTGCCAATTTTGACTCTTATCATCCCACACAGGATTTTTATTTAATTGTGGCTCCTCTGAGCCAATGGGAAGACTAATTTTAGTTCCATGCTTATGAAAGGAAACTACAAGAAGAGCTGCAATACTAAATCAAATCCTCTCTTCTTCTTAAAATGGCACAACTTTCAAAGAAAGTCAATCAACTCGTGATAAACCCCAAAGAGATGTTTTGCCCTTCTTTTTTTCTTATATAGCAGGATGGGGAACTTGTGGCTGTGGGTATTTTTGGATTCCAACTCCCATCAGCATAGCATTTGGTCAGGGATGATGGAAGTTGGAGCCCAACAGTGTCTGGAGGGTCAAAGGTTGCCCCTTCCTGTTGCAGTGGTTCTCATTCACAGAAGACAACATTTGGAAATGGGAAAAGAAAGTTTTCATTTTCACTAAATCCGTGGACTTTCTTCAGCTGCTATCTGTATAGTGAAAAGCAGCCCCAGAGGCTGCAGTTGGGAGCAGAATAGGATGGAGGAAAAGTGTTGTTGATCCCTTTCCCCACCCACCATTTGTAGGTCCCCAGCTGCTTTTCTGCCTATTGTCAGCTTAAGGCTAGTTCTCAATGACCTGATAAAATGTGGCTGAGCTTTCCTACTTCAGATTGTCTACACATGTTCTTCCATAGAAAACAACTTCCCTCACCATGGAAACCTGGGCAAGGACTCTAATCTAGCCTTTACCTGACGTGCTAATGTTCTGTATGGAGGAGTGTTGCTGGGGTTTTTTGTGGAGGAGTTTTCAGTCATGCGAGACCCCATCTGCAATCTGAAGTGTTATTTGTGAGAAATAGGTCTTAGCTGGTAGAACACCTATTCAGAATAGTTGGTTGACGTGGCATTTTGCCTGATTGGTTCTCAAGATTGTTATTTAATGTTCAGTCTTACAATGTTACATCCTGCCAGTAGTTCAAGGAAGATGTCCCTCAAGCTATCTCACATTATATTAAGGGAATTATTTTCAAAAGTCATAATGCAGTGGAACCTTGGTTCTTAAATGGCTTAGTTGACGAACAAATTGGCTCTCGAATGCCAAAAACCTGGAAGTAAGTGTTCCAGTTTTCGAACATTTTTTGAAAGCCAAACATCCGATGCAGTTGTTGGCTATTGTTTCCAGGGTGCCTGCACCAATTGGAAGCCGCTCCTTAGTTTTCGAATGTTTCAGAAGTTGAACTGACTCTGGAACGGATTATGTTTGAGAACCAAGGTACCACTGTATTTGAAACAAAATCTACACAGCAGTAAGACAATAACAGCAAATGCTGATAATCTTGCATTCCTCCTTTAGAGATGATTTTAAATGAATAATGGATACTTTTTAAAAAAGTAATACTCAATTTTTGTGTTTTGTGGCATTAAAACCATGCTGGCTACATATGACACTGAAGACCACAATGACCTCTGGCAATAACTTTCAAAATGCCCCCCACCTCCACTGTCTCCCAGTGTCCAATTTACTGAATTGAAAATTGCTTGATAAAAGTTTCATATATAAAGGGTAGGATTCAGCTAAGTTGTTGTGTGCACCTAATGAAGTTCATGTGTGCAATGGGATGTCTCCCACTTCTCCTTCCCCCGCAACACCACCCAAAAAAAATCTGCTCCGGGGGATTGTGGGAACTCTGAGAACAAGTTTAGGGGGCACGTGGTAGGCGGAGAAAAGGGGGGAAGTCTGTGTAAGCAGACCTCGTTCTGTGCAAGCATACCGCACTTAGCACTACATCAGCAGGTGTTCGTTCATAAAAGATTCATATCATAAGACCTGCAGAGATTATAGGGTTGGGATGCGGGTGGCACTGTGGGTTAAACCACTCTGGGAATTGTAGCTGTGGCGCTGTGGGTTAAACCACAGAGCCTAGGACTTGCCAGTCAGAAGGTCGGCGGTTCGAATCCCCGCGATGGGGTGAGCTCCTATTGCTCGGTCCCTGCTCCTGCCAACCTAGCAGTTCGAAAGCACATCAAAGTGCAAGTAGATAAATAGGTACCACTCCAGCAGGAAGGTAAATGGTGTTTCCGTGTGCTGCTCTGGTTCACCAGAAGCGGCTTAGTCATGCTGGTCACATGATCCGGAAGCTGTACACTGGCTCCCTCGGCCAATAAAGCGAGATGAGCGCCGCAACCCCAGAGTCGGCCACGACTGGACCTAATGGTCAGGGGTCCCTTTACCTTTACCAGCTCATCCGGCTGCTGAAGCTCTCTTCTGCTTGCTGAATATAACAAAGCTATTCAAATAGCATGTCTTGGATGGGGAGGAGTACGGGCTCTCCCACTGAGTTCTTTAGAGGCTTCCCCTCCAGTTGTACTGGTGAGCCCCAGCAGAAAGATAACATGTCCCTCTCTTTTAATATGCTGGAGGCTGAAATGTCCTCTCCTTATGAAGTCTCCACACTTCTAACCTATCACCTCCATGGCATGGATTGATACTGTTCCTCAAAGGTGTTTGCTAATGGATTGTAGGAGTAGTTTTTCTCTTCCGACATATTTATATTTTCATTTAACTGAGTCTGAACTAGTTCTGTGCTGAGAACTGTCCTCCAGTTTCTCAAGTTTTCTTCATCTGTGAAGGTTTCCACTCTCTCTCTCACACACACACCCATTCTCAGGACTCTTGGTAATTTTGTGTGAGTGTGAAGATTTGAACATTGAGGATTTATTGTCATGAGATGGCAAGGATGTTGGCATGTGTGCTTTTCTTTCTGGGAAGCATTTCCCCAGCACTCCGCAACCTGCTTGCCTACCTGTGCTTCCTCATTGTCCATGCTATGAGTTACTTCATGATGGGAGCTATTCAACATAGAGCTGTAGCAACCATTCCATTAGTGCAAGCTTTTTTTGCACTAATTTTTCTTCCCTTTGAAAATGCTTGAATGCAATTGCTTTTCTCATTAAATGATGGAGAATGGAAAAACAACAACAACACAGGAAATATTTTCAGAACAGCATTAGCTTGAATCATGTTTTTGTGACTCCATGAAGATCTTTAACACAAAACAATCCAGCAACATCCTTATCATATATATGAATAATAATTCTGCCTTTTGTTTATAAATGTAGGATTTCCTGCTCGATCTGCACCTTCCTTCAGTTCCACATCTTCAGGCAGCATTCACGGCTCTCCCACCAGGCTGTGGAGTCCTGGCTATGCTTCACAGTAGACAGAGCTTTTTCCCCCTCTCAAAAGACTCTTGTTTGTATTTTAAAGTACTAGTGCTTTTACTGGTAACTAATTGTCAAAGCTTAACTTTTTGCTCAGTTTATTGCGACTCTCTTTCTTTGACGAATGCAACAAAATTTCTGTATACCTTTTTAATTCCCCATGCCCATATTATTTAAGGGTAGTAGAATCTACTCTTCCACAATCTGTCATTATTAGCAGTACTATCTGGGTGTTGGGATAAGAATTTATGGGTAATGCCCAGTATCTGTGTTGATCTAGCTTGCCTTTTCTTTCTTTCAGTTAATACTAGTTGTACCTCCTAATTGTCCGTATCAATGCAGTGCATATGTTTGTTTAATTCCTGTGGAAATTGTATTTTTATAGTTTCATAAAGAGGCTTAATGCAAATAAGGAAGAGAGATACAAGGACATAAGCCAAAAACATGAAAGGGATATATGCTTCTAGAAGACTAAAGTTTTAGTTTGGTTACAGATTTTATTAATTTATTTTGAGACTCAGGAATGAAAGTGCACTATTACATTCTCACACCCTTTAGCCTTATAAATAATTTGAATTTTCCAGTTTAGAAAGTAGTTATGCTGTAATAACTATTAAATAGTTGTGCCTTTTTTGTGCAAGAATTGTAGTAGGGTCTCCTCTCACCTAAAAATAGTCAGCATACACTTCACCAGTTGCTGCAAGTACCATGACCCTCTGCTATTTACCTGTAAATGAAATTTTTATTTTAGTTATTATTTGACTATGCAGGGTGTTTTTTTAAAAAAAAACAGGAACAGTTTTATTTTAATGAAAAGTTTATTTTAAGCTGAGTCTTTTTAAAAGAAAATAATGTTGATATAAAGTGGCTGATTGTGTATTTTTTTAGTTCTTTGCAAAAGTTAAATACCTCAACAGAAACTGGCCACGTTTGGGCATCATGCTAAATCAGCACTGGTGAAGGTCTTTAGTTCCATGGGCCAGATCCTTATCCAAATATGTCTTGTGGGTCAAATTTGGACAGGTAAGTGACCTACCTGTCAATCTCTTGGTGTTACAAATGACATTTCTATCCTTTGAAGTGCCAAACGTCTGGAAGGCAAGGCACTCCTAAAAGCAAGCTTTCCCCTTGTTTGCAGTGAAACAGCTTCTGAAATTAAGGGAAAAACTTGCTTCTAGCAGCACCTTGCTGCCTGCTGCATACTTAGAAAATTAGCCTAATTGAGCAAGTAGGGGTGCACAACAGAGTTTCCTACAGGGAGCTCTCCTGCACACCCAGATCCAGCAAGGTTGCCCTTGCTGTGTTCCTGCTTTGTGCAGCGCTTCAGAGGCTCTCGACAATCAGTTTGTTATTAGATGCTTTGGAAGATGCACAAGGAGGCTTTGGCCAAGGGTGCCTTTTTGGCTGAGTCAAGCCCCACCTTTACCTGTATGATGCCGTGTGTAGGGAACACCCAGACCACCCTGGTGGGCCAAAATTGCCCATACAAAACAAGGAAGTGCAAAATTGGCTTGCAAGAGTAAGGTTCCTCACCTGAGTGCTAAAAAAATAGCTCCAAGGATGAGTCATCTGAATCCTAAACTGTAGCTAATGCTAATTAGAATATTCAGATTTATAACCTGTGGTTTTAAGTTGCCTTGTTTCAGTGAGCCAAAGCAACAAAAAATTCCAATATGTCGAGTCTGAAGAATATGGCAAGTTGTGGTGAATCTACACTAGAAATGAAAGCTTCCACATTCCTCCTGGGTACATGGGAGTGGGGCTCATGCAAGCCCAAAGCCCACTGTGGTTTATTGGCCAAGGCTCCAATGTGGCCAGTGAGTCTCAATGAGCATCTCTTTACCTGATACTGTGGCCGGGATTAGGGCCCTTATACTTGAAGTGCTGCACGAGTGTCATGGAAATGTGAATAAGGGAGGATACACAAAAGAGCAGCTCAGTCCTCACAAACTGACTTCCGCAACAGGAAATATTTTTATTGTGCTGTCTATACGATTGTGACCTTCCCACGTGAACCTGTGCATGCCCTAGCTCTACTGAGGTCAGTGCAGTTACTGTTCACTTCAAGCAGAACAAAATTTTCCCCAAGGATTTAGAAGTAACAGCATACCACCACATATAGTATAAATTTGGACTGGAAACGTCACATGGTTTCTTGTGGACTTTTCTTCCTTCCTTCTTTCATACAATGGCTGCTGGGAAGTTCAGTGTCTACAACAACCAGCAGTGTGGTTCTTTGATGCCATAGCAGTAAGGAACTCAAAGACTGACCTGGAGTAATTGTTTCTAAATTCCAATTCACTAGCTCAAAGCTTCTCAAATGCCTGGCTGTTCAGTATTTACTGGGCCCAGAAGTAGGTCGCTGTGCAAATGCAGTGTTGCCAATCTGCCAGGAAACAAGACTGCCAATAAAATACAAAGGTGAAATTTTTGCAGAGGTTCAACAAAAAAGAATGTGATGTTTACTAAGTGAATATTCTCTAGGTCTGGTCTTTGGACTGTGGGTGACATCCAGCTGCGGCAGCCCACTTGTGCAGCAGATTTCTGCTTAGGCAATAAGCTTTCCCTTTCTTTTCCTTCCTCCTACAATCCCCGACTGATCCAAAACTGCCATGAAGATTTGGAGAACCCTCTGGAATAGATCAGTGACATGGGGTGGGGGGCTACAAGAAGCAGGAGAGTGGTGGGGTCCCATCACATTACCTGATGTGACATTGGATATCACCCACTGCCTGGTGTTGGAATTGTATCATAAACACCTTCTTTTCAACCCTAAGTGTTAATAATTAACATTTAACAGGGAGCAGTTTAGAACAAGAAATCTTAGTGCCTAATTCTAACACTGTGAGTGTATGTGACTGTGAACAATCCTTACTGTGATGCTTAAAAAAATGTCAATGCAGGGAATATTTCATGGAAAATTTGAAAGTCGTACAAAGATACTGTGACAAAGTTGTATTTGTATATTGAAAACACAAAGTTTTTGTTTGGTTTCCTACAGTTTATTTGCTTTAGAAATAAAGATATGCTTTAACACATAAGCATTGCCTGAAAATGATTAAATATACACATTCAACCTTAGACATTTTTGTAATATAATCATGATGAGATGGATGTATAAATTGGTAACAAGGGAAGGGAAAACTTATAAATGCAATACAGAATAATAATAATAATTAATAAACAAAAGGCTCTGGAAGAAGAGCAGGGGGGCGTTGACGTTAACTTTCTTTTCACAATGTCCATGTTTTTGTTTTCTCACCCAGCTGTCAAAGGAATAGCCTTTGCATCCGGGGATAGCATTTCCTTCTAATTCAAAGACAACTACTGAGTTCATTGGGAGACGACTGGAGGCTCCCTGCTGCCATAGGAATGTCTTTCAAGTAAAGTAGGCAGTGGCATCGGAGTAAAACTCTGTTTTTACCCTAAATAAACTGTGGGGTTTTTTTGCTCTGTGAACCCTCCTCTTTCTGGGTACCAAAATAGAGTGATAGGGGAATAGGAAAGGGAGGGAAGATTTAAGACCTTTTTCTAACGATGATGGTTGCCCTGATTATTCCACCTAATATGTCTCTAGCTTTAAACACTTTAGTGCCTTGCAGGTGTTGCAGTTTTCTGTAAGAAACTGAAGCACCCCCAAATCTAGAGAGAGCTAAAAAGAACGTGTGTTTGGGTTGGTAGCAGTTGATTATAGTTTTGTGGGTTTATTGGCAATTCTTTTTAATTATTTGAGTGAGGGTCAACTCAAAGAGGTTGGTAAAAAACAACAACACACATTGCTTAAAATGTATATGCACATAACATTTTGAAGGTTTCTAATTTTGTGCTCTTTCCACTGAATTCAGTAGAGAATTGGATGTTAACTGCTCTTGAGCTGTGGTTGGCTGTAGTGCACATGTCCAAACACTGTTGTTAAGACAAGTGGCTCTGAAGAACCCTTGGGAAGTCTGAACCCTGAAGGCTCTCCAAGCTATTGGTTCCAGACAAAACACAGTCCAACCACAAGAGGAAGATACTGATGTGTCTAGACTGGCTGCCTTCCTTTTTAACATGGCCTGCCACAGAAAACAGCCTGTGAATGTTCTGTAATCTGTCACTGATTTATCCCTCTTGCCTGATTTTCCCACACTTAAACTTGTATTTCTATAGCATCATATTATTTCCATAACTGGCTTAAACTTAATGATGTGTGATTAGAATTTGTTTCTTTTCCATACTACTGGATCGGTCTTTTATTCTTCCCCTTCTGTGATACTTGGAAGAGAGTGTGCAATTCAGAAGAAAGAGAACATGGAACAGGGAAAGGCGCATGTAATGGTTGTGTCCAAGTGGCAGCCATGACACCTACCTACAACATTTCATAGATTCTTGTTATTACAAGCACAGTATCATTATATATTGTTGAAGGTGGAACCTGCTGTGTATGGTATTTATTTGCTTACAGTGACTACATGACAGTGGAGTCCCAGGGTTAAATGTAGATTTTTTTTATATTGGGACTGAGGAACTTGAGGTCCAGGAGCCAAATGCCAGAGGGTTCTCTATCTGAGCCTTAGATCTTTCCCCAGCCCACACCCTTCCCCGCTTCACACCACAACTGTTTGCCTGGTTGGAATATGTCTTGGAACCCTTAGTGCCACTTGCCTATCTTGATGGAGTGGGGTGTGTGAATGTATGTAGAAACTAGCCTACTGTACAAAGATAAAGTTTACATTTCTTGCTCTGCCCGCTTTTGCCTCTTGTCTTGCCCATCACTGGCAGGTGAGCCTCAGAAGGTTGCCCAGAAGGGAATGCAATGCTTGGGCTGACTGGGGTTCCCCGTTCCTGTTCTAGTTACTCAGATATTGCTTCATTGTTATGTATCTGGTCTGCAGAATCTGCAAGGTATGTGTTAAATTCAAATTAATCTGGAAAAGCATTGAGGGTACAGTGAATGCAGTTCCCTACTTAAGATTCATCTAGATTTTAGAGTGATTCTTCAACCTTTTTTCTTTAACAACACTGGCATAAATATTTAATCTTGATGTTCTTATGTCCACATGGGTCTTTTCAATGCATGGACAAATTTCCATTGTGGACAGTGTTCTTTGAAACCAAATTCATAAATTATTGGCTCTGACTTACCAAGTCCAGTGGAAGACTGAAGCTAAGGCCTTGTTCTTGTTGTCGTTTAGTTGTGTCCGACTCTTCATGACCCCATGGACCAGAGCACACTGGGCACTCCTGTCTTCAGGCCCTTTATTAATAGCTGCAAAAGTTTTTTCTGTATTTGGCCATAGTCATCCTGTCCCTTGTTGCAATGTCTCCAACAATGAGAAGTCATGCTGATCTTCCTAAATTGATCTAAATACATACCCTCTAAGTGTCTGAAATACACACTGAGTTTTAAATGTGTACGCACTCCTGTTGTTTGTGTAGGGTGTCCTCAAGTATCACAGGGCCTTTCCTACTCCCAGAATGGTAGGACTCCAGCTGGAAAGTACATTTGGCACAAACAAACTGTAGTGTATTACAGCTTTAATAAATAGGTTTCTTCCCCTACCAGGTAATGTATTCCAAACTCATCCCCATACACTACTTTTTTTCTTTTTCTTTTTTAGATGCTCAAGTATGAAAGTCACAGTGTGTATAAGAACAACCCTTCTGCGTTCAGGGTATTTGCTCAGTGCTTAGCATTAGTAAGGATTACAAAACAGACACTGGCATGGATCATCTTGAAATAAGTCTGCTAAAATCACAGTTAAATTGTGTCATCAGCTGTTGAATGAACTCATTCCTCCAAGGGATGGAAATGTCATGGTAATAAAGCTGAAGATATTTACTGAGTGGTAGCTGGCACAGAGTCAAGAACAGGGCTAGATCAGAAATAATGAATATTCCTCAAAAACAACACCAACACCAACACAGGTGATTACAGAAGAATTACCTAAGATAAATTAACATACTAGAGATCTTTCTCTACCTCTTCCCAATTTAAACTTGCATTAGGATTAGTAGATTTCCCGATTCCGATGTTGCCCAATTAAAGTTACCCTCAGGTTTTCTATGCTTTTCATGTGCAGACCATGCCAGAATCAGAGTATAGGATTTCATTCCAACCCGTTAGCAAAATGGCTCAGACCTGTCGCAAAGGATTTATAGCCTGAACTAAATGATGAGGCCACTTTCTTCAGGCAATGTGCAGTTGCTAAAATGCGCATTAAGCTGAGGAACTGCCGGGTGCGGTTTCTTTTCCTTTTAATAGTTAACGGCATTTCCCTGCACTGTCTCATGCCCAGAACTATAAATTGGACAGGAAATGTCCTGAAGTAGAATCAATGATATCTGGTCCCTAAAAACTAGATTAGATTTATGAAATGTGCCTTTCCTCCTGAGAACCATGCTGCCTGTGATGCCACAGTCCTGCTCTGACTGAAGATGAGCAGAGACATATGGTTCCATTCTGTAAAGTTTTGAAGAACTAGGAATACAGCCATTCACTTGCCTGAACTCTGGAATTAAATCTGGAAGCTGGAATGCACCAAAGGTTTAGTGTAGTAGTGGAAATAGGGAATGGGAGGGTAGCCATGTTCTCCAGTCACTGCTGCATACTAACTAGTCCCATTAGAACTGACAGTTTTGTTGTTCTTGTAGAAAGGAGTAGCCTGGCAGTGCCTTCATGGGTACTTGTCCCAAGCAGAATGAAACCAACCTTGAACTGACAGTTGGGAAAGTGAGGAGAGGTCAAGGGGAAGAAAAAGAGCCTTTGGATTCTGATGCAGCTGGAATGTCAATCTGGAAGAGGGGTTGGGCGAGGGTTTGTGGTCACTGCTAGTTCCACTCCCAGTTGGATACTTAATCTTTGCACAACTAGGGTGGCCATACACCCAGAATTTCCCAGACATATCCGGAATACCACATCCATCAACAGCATCCGGGCAGAAATTGGACAAATGTTTTGGAAAATCTGGATGTATGGCACACCATGTCAGCAGTGCTGATTTTGCCTTAAAATAGCTCAAAATGGCAAAAAAGCTCAACAACTTTTCTGTCTTTTCACTGTTTGAAATATGACAACCCTATTAACTAGTCACATGTATTCTATTTCTCCAGGGCTAAGTTGTTTAAAGCAGTTATGTGGGGAGCCCCAAATCTGTCTATCTGGCCCTCAGAAGTCTCCCCACTCTTCCAAGGTTGCACCCCTCACTGCTCTCATTCATATATGCATTCTACATACTATGAGCTTGCTGGAATGTGTCTTTCAAGTTTAATAGACGGTTTACACATGGAGGATAGAGAAGGGTGCAGGAATATCTGCAGAAACTAGTATAATGTACAAAGGTAAAATTTACACCAGTTTTGTAATTTATACCCATCTACCACTGCCATGCAGTCCTCAGAAAGTTGCCCAGAAGGGAATGTGGCCCATCTATGCAGTAAGTGAAGAGTGTCCTTCTTTCTCATTTGACTCCCAGCTTTTGTCTGTGAAACTAGAGGTTCGCTAACACAGGATAAGCAGGTTTGTTAGGCAACAGTAGATCTGCAGGTAATTATTGTAATTTTAAATTAGTCCTTTTACACCACCTGCCCTCTTGAAGGGTAGTTTATGATATATGTGCACAGCATATTTTGCAATGGAAAGAATTTCATTTAAATTTGTGACAGGCAGATAAATATTTAGTATCACATTATTGTATATTGAATGAGGCCCATTATTACTCTCTGCTACAAGTGTGTACCATCATTACTCAGCTCTGGAGTTTATGACTATGCTTTATAGGATGCATATTGAACATTCATCTTCACTTAGCCTCTGGCACTTATGAAAAATACCTTGTGCAGTAAGCTGACTCCCCCCACCCCACCCTCAAGAGCCTGCTTCTCTGAATGAAGTTTAGAGTTGACTTTATGGGTGCAGGGTTTGTTGTTGTCACTGCTTTTTATATAAATGGTCAGAAAACTAGCTCCTGTTACTCATGGCTGTAGGAGCAGGATTCTGGGTTAGAGGGATATTTGCATATTGGCTACACTGATTTGTGTATACAGTTGTATTTCATAGGCAGCAAACTAAAACCTAATTCTACTTCCTGCATTTTGTGAAAATTACGCATTGAAGGGTTAGTGCAGAGGTTAATATTAACAGCACAATCCTATGTCCACTTGCCTGGGAGTAAGCACCACTGAATACCAGGGAACATACTACTAAGTAAGCATGGGCTGTAATCCTGTAAAAAGACTATGTTCATCCTAGTAATTTTGGAGCGCTCTATTACCTCCTGCCTTGCCCGTCCCACCCCCATCATTCTTACCTCTCGAAGGGCTTTTCAATGTTTAGCAGGGGATGCACAGCTGTCTGGACTGGGGGCAGGGCTGTGGAGCAGATGGAGATGGCATTTTCAGTCTTGTCTGGAGTAGCAAAACATCCTGAATATTAACAGCAACCTAATCCAGAGGTGGGGGTCCTGTTGCTCTCCAGGTGTTACTATATTAACAGCTCCCATCATCCCTAACCACTGACCATACTGATCAGGGTTTATGGGAGTTGGGGTCCAACAATATCTGAAGGATGAGGTTCCAAAGTGTTACTTACCACAGACTGTAAAGCAGGGTGGTTATATGCCCCAGTGAGGAGACACTGCCACCAGTAGATACTGTTACATTATTGGTTCTGATAAGTTACACTGTTTTTTAAATCTTGTTTCTGCTGAACAATTCAGGTTCATTTATGGAAGAAAACGTGGACAACATGGGTTTGCGGACTTTAAGCTGGAAGTTTCCACCCATTCTTACAGAAGAGTGTCACATTATAAAAATGTAGCTACCCATTTCCTTCAAATTAAAGGAAGCACCTTCTTGTTAATCCTGTGAGCATATTCTGTGCAGCTAGGATCAGTTGTGTCTGTTAGAACTTGAGCAGAACAGTTCTCTTGCCTAACTGAACACTGAGGAGCTATATTAAATGAAGACAAAACATAACAAACAAATGTCAAGATACGGATTTATAATAACAGTTAAAAATAATAATCTTAAATGACAAAGTGAGGAATTGATAGTTCAAGTCTGGCTCATGTTCTGCAGCTATAAATATACATTCTCTACTCATCTTGCTTTAAATGGATTTTATTTTTATCCCATAATTTACCTAGGTTTGACATGGTTTTCGAGCAGAGTGTTTGTTCGCAGTATAATTAGCAATCAGGCCTAAAGATCTAGGCAAAGTGAACTTCACTGCACAAGAATCACTTTTTCCTTATGATAAAGTCGGACAAGATGGCCCAGCCATACAGTCTCTGTAGTTTACCTTCTCACAATCTTCACAGACAATTTCAAATACTAAGCCTGCCTTTTTTATTTTTGTAGGCACTCATTTGCTTACCTTCTGTTCCTGGCTCTACGAAAAGGAACAAAAACATAATTAACTATATATGTAAAATTATCATGAAATTAAACATTCCAATCACTGCAAAGATTTTAATGCCTGGATTAAGGTGTTTTGCGAGTGTTTGGGTTGCAGTGGGCGCTATTCACCTCCAGTGCAAAATTCTGGTTGTATTGTTTATGTTCTACACTTGTGGCTGGGGAAACCCAGGCAGATGGCTGGGGTATAAATAATAAATTATTATATTATTGTTGTTGTTTAAACTGCAGTAAGGCTACAATCCTAACACTTGTTAACTGGAAGTAAGCCCTATTGAATTCAATGAGATTTGCCTCTGAGTAGACACCATTAGGATTGCTTTCTAGGTGTCCCGTTATGCCAGAAGCTGTCTGTGAACAAACGCCAGCCTGAAAGCGAGATGAGCGCTGCAACCCCATAGTCGCCTTTGACTGGACTTAACTGCCCAGGGGTCCTTTACCTTTACCTTTTACCTGTCTAGTTATGTAGCTAAAACCAAGCACAACTGGACATATACATTAATCCTGGATATGAATGCCATTCTCTTCCTGTGATTGGCTGCTAGTATTGGCCAGACCTGATGTAAGTAATTGGAACCTGGACTTCTGATCTTGCCTGCTCAACAGCAGGTCAAGTCTCCACTTTCAGTAATGAAAGGAAACCTTCATAACAGTCTCTGTCTAGGTGTAACTACATGTGACCACAAGATAACAAACCTAACAATATTTGAGAATTATGGCTCTCTGTTTTTGATTAGGGAATGGAGATTGGAATGTTTGATAACCCAAATAAAAGTGATGAACACTGAAAGGGAGACTTATGGGGTGGACTGTCTTGGAAATATTAGGCCAGGTACTTGGATTGTTTAGACTGTGATCACTTTGGAAACAGAAATGTGTCGGGGGGGATGTGAGTATAAGAGATAGAGGAGGCTATATAGCCATGAAGTAAATGCATGAAGTACATCTCTAGGGATCTCACTGCCATCTTAGTCCCCCCTCAACTTCCTTGTACCCAGCATGGACTGTCTTTGAAAACATTTAGTCTCAAGCTGGTTAAGAATATTTCCATCCTCAAGGGAAGTGGCTTTGGTGTTTTGTTTTCTTCTTACCATCAAGAAATATTGACTACCTAACTCTTGTGGTTGCAACACAACCAGAAATGTGAGTTAGATTCTAAATTTGCTCCTTCCAACCCAAGTGTTTCTAAACTGCTGCCCATATTAGGTAGCCTACTTTGTTTACCAACACTATCCAAACCAATGGTTTATTTTTTTACCATTGGCTTATGGCTAGAACAAAAACTGATGCAGCACAATTTGATGTGTGTAGGACAGAACAGGAAGCTGGAGAATCAAACACTCCCACCACAGTGGGAGGCGGTGCTCATGGTTCAAGACAATGCCTCTTACAAGAGAAATTGCTATATAGGACATATGAGTCCCCATTGTGATTATGAAAAATATTCTCTCCTCCTCTAACTGCTGGTGCCTTGATACCGAAGGACACTTGGTAAATATTATCTGGTACTGTGCTGTTGCTACACAATTGTAAACAGATCTAAGATTTATGGACAAAAAAGCATTGATGGGATACCTCCCTAAAGTATTGTGTCCTTACCCCAAGACAGTGGGAATGGATCAGTTGCATGAACTAGCTGCATCCTATGCATTTTTTTTTCCATATCAGTACTTATTTACAGGATTCATTTGTTGACCATTTGTATTTTATGGTGTTTTAATGAATTTAGTCATATTTTTAAATGAGATGGTTTAAAAACTGTCTTATGAATAAGTAAATAGTGTATATTACAGAGATTAGATGCCTGCCAAACTATAGGGCAAATTCAGTGCTCGCTGCATACAAATATATTTTATGACAGCTCCATAAATAGAAAATGAGAAAAACATAAGAGTTTTGACCCAGCTCCTCTTCCCTTTCCTCCCTTCCTTCCTCCCTCAACCAGCATTCTGTTTTACTTTAGTTTTCTTTTTATTGTTATTGTTGTGTTTGTAGTGTTGATATAAACTGAAAACAAAATTCAGTGAAAATACTATTACTATACATAATAAAAAAGCAAGCATCACCCTTCATCGTTGACCAAAGCTGCTGCAGAGACCTCCATTCTGAGAGCTTCACTGGCTCATAGGTTTTCAGGCAAAGCTGAAGTTCTTCTATGATCCTTTCAATCGCAAAGTGCTCTGGCCCAACTCACAGTCTTGGAAGAATGCCTGCATTCACTTCAGTTTTCCCGCGTTAGGAAGCCATTCTTTCTCCTGGGTGGCATCTCATCTTTGTGAAAGACGAGGGAGGCTCACTAGGCTAGTTTCCTCGTTGCCTTTTATGAGTTAATCAAAGCATCCTTATTTTGAAAGGCTTTTGAAGAAGCTGGCTAATAAAATTTTATTGCTGCTGATTCTGCATTTTTATAGATTTTTAGCTTTCTGTTTGTTGTGGTTTCTTTTTTATATTTTTACTTCTTTGGGCTTTGAATTGTATTTGGAGTGATTTTTATGTGACCCTCCTGAGTGCAAAAGACTGTCTAGTTATATCACATACACTCTTATAACCTATTTAACTTAATTTCTCACAACTGATAAGTTCAAATTTCCTTCTTGTGAAAATGTTTTGGTTGAGATTATTTTGGGGTGCAGAGGGATAAATAAAAATAATGTGCAATGCAGGGATACACATAATTCATCTTTAAGAAGCAATAAGAGAAAATGTGCTGGTCAACGTTTTAAAGATTACAGATGAACAGAGAGGCCCTATGTCAAGGTGACATACTGTCATGAATTCATTGCACTGGCACAACGACAATGCATACCACTGGCATTACAGCATGTGAGGATAGGAGGCCTCAGTTCAAGAACAGCCCTGAAGCCACTGGAGCTGAGTGGAACCCACTGAGTTAAGAGGTTTCACTGAGGCCTGTTCAATCAGAGATTCAAAAAGGAAGGTTGAAGGTGAATGGTCACTTGCGGCCTTGTCCAGAGTGAAACCAAGTGAATCTGTCCATGTTTATGCAGTCTTTATCAACAGTCATTCAAAAATTTGTTTATTCTTAATGGAACAAAGCCTAAGCCTTTGTGGAGGACAGTCAACAAGAAATCGGGTACTGCAGGCTCCCTTTTCATGAGGGAGGTCTGCAGTTACACGTCCTCACAGTGCAATGGTAGAAAGCTCCACTGCTGCCACTGTTCTACTGGTGGTCCTCTGTATGTAAAGAAGCCACAAACAAGGCATTCTGGGGGCAGGTTGGGGAAGGCCATGGATTTGCAGGATCCAGGGCCTTAATATTCCTTGGACATGTCTCTCCCCTCCCCCTGCACACCATACGCCAGTCCAAAGCTGGTGTATGCATTTCGCTCCTACTGTGGTCAATGGAAGATAAAATGCAAAAGGAATACAAACGCAGTTCAAAAACTTGCCTCTCCCTATCCAACGCAATACAGCTAGGTTCTCCCTGCAGCAATGGCTGTGCCACAGCTCTCTCCTCATTCAGGAAGGTAGGATTACTCTGTAAATAAAGGTAAAATATTGGCAATGACCTTAAAAAAACACCCAAAATATATTAGAAAATGTAAGTTTAGGAATGGGGAGTGAGGTATCTGTGTGTGTGGTGTTGGAGTGGTTAGGAAATGCTGATCACATACCTTATTTCTATCAAGCTGGCAAACAAATATCTGGAATCCCACATGCTGCAACAAGTGAATCTTGCCAAGCTAATATCTAATTTCGTCACTACCTGAAGCATCCATTCCGGGTATATAATGCCAAATGGACATTTTATATACGTACCTTTACAGAAGGGACAGTGCTGTCCTGTTCACTTTTGATATGACTGCTGACAGCAATGCTTTTCCCTTTGCATTAGCTGACAATGTCAGTTTGCTTAATTATACAGAGCACCTGACTTTCGACCTTGAAAACTCTGATGCATTGCAACTTCCTGGCAAAAATCCAGCCTGAATCATCATCTCCAAATCCAGGCTTGGTGGCTTTGTCTCTGCAGTCATGGTCCATCTCTTCAAATCCCTCTGCTGTTTTGTTCATTCAGTCCATTGCCAAGGCAAGAAAACGGTCCAGCACATCCACTGCCATGCCTGCAGATATAAAGGAGAAATGGAGCTGTGTGTCACCAGCATACTGCTGACAACATATACCCAAAATCCAGATGGCCCCCACAGTTTCAGATAGATGTTAAACAGCATGGGAGATAAAATCAGACCCTGCAGAACCCCACATTGAAGACTCCACAGGGCCAAAGAACACTCCCCAAACATCACCCTCTGGAAACATCCATCCAAGTAGGACCAGAGCCACCACAAAGCGGTGCCACCCATTCCCAGCTCGTACAACCGCTCCAGAAGGCTACCATGACACTGAGAGGTCAAGGAGAATTAACAGGGAGAACTAATAACTAACGAACTAAATATAAAATAAAATAAAATAAAATACATTTGTTACTCCAGCTAATGAGATGTGAGTATACAAACAAGCTTCTGTACCTTTATCATTTCCTAGAATAGAAAATGTTACACATTTAGCAGCCTTTGCTGATAAAGTGGGCAGGGTCACTGGTCCAGCACAGGCACCTTATAAGCTCAAGTCCAGTAGTGTTTTCCTTTTAAGAATCCAAAAGTGGGATGGGGAGCACTTCATTATAAGCACATTTGTAACACATCATGACTTTCAGCTAGGAACCAATGAATGTTTTGTCTCACCTATAAAGTCACATTTTCAGCTTCTAAACTAAACTAAACTGATCTCATGAGATGCAAAACCAAAATGCTAATATTAAAAACAACAGCATGCTAATATAGGATAGAAATGCATTATTATGTATAACAACAGGAAGAAAGAAAAATATACAGTATGTTTCATTAAATCCCCAACAGTAATGGAAAAGAACTTCTACTCTTCTGAAATAATGCAAATTGTATTTTGCGCGTGACAAGAACCAGGAAGCATCATAAATTATCCAGCATTTGGATAGGTATTTATTATAGTGGTGGTTGTCGCCCACAGACCTTAAAAAGCACTGTCTTAACCATCACTGTTTCCCTTTTTGTTTTCTCAGTTGCGCCGTCCTTTCCAGGTGAATCTCATCTCTATTTTTTTTGAAGGAAGCAAGTGGTTGTGCTTTTGTTGAGACAGCACAAGTCATTTTGCTGCCTGAAGGTAAGGGCAAATTAGCACTCCTGTCCACCCACCCATCCCCACTGCTGTTGTTCCATGTACCAGAAGAGCAGTTGAAACTTCTTCCAACAGTGGCAATGAGACAACATCCTCCCCCACAGCTGAGGGCTACAGGCTATCTTAGTTGACTTGGGGAATTGTGGGGGTCTCCTGCCACCCTCAGCAGTTGCTGTCTGAGGGCACTGCTTCGCTCTGCCTAATTGTAGAGCAGTTCCAGTGTCTTTGTGTAAAACTGTCTAATGATATGGCAAGAAATTGGTGATTGTAGCCAAGGAGCACAAAGCCCACCACTCTCAGGGCCCTCACCCTCAAGCGGTGTTGCTGCCATCTCAAAAAAGTTGAATTCAAAACTCAACTTGAGAGGCACAGAACGAAAGGGCTGGAGGTCGCATTTGTCCCCCAGGCCTGAGGTTCCCTACACCTGAAGTAATGCAATTATTATTTCCATGACAGAATATAAGAGTGAGGTGTTTTAGTTAGTATTGTTAGATGGGGGTCAGAGGAATCACTCCTTATGAGACAAGCACCCCAAACCACAACTAATTTTCAGTCCAGTAGTCTGGCTAAGGCAAGGGTCAACAAACTAAGGCCCGGGAGCCGGATGTGGCCCACCGGGCTTGTAAATCCAGCCCACGGGCCCTGCTTCCCACTTGGTCAGTCCCCGCGCTTAACCGGCAAGGAGCGGAGTCCTTGCCGCGTGGGGACTGACTTCCGCGATTCTGGCACGGCTTCCTGCAGCCAATCCAAAGCCGTGGGCGCCTCTGGGCAGGCGGTGACACTGGTGCGGTTTCAGATTGGCTGCAGGAAGCTCCTGTAGCCAAGCTGAAGCTGCGGACGCCTCTGGACGATGCCCCTTCCTTCCCACTGAAGTGGCTGCGTTTGGCCAAGAGCCGAGCGGGAGGAAGCGGTGGCGAGGAGGCTGCCTCTGCCGCCCAGGGCAGCGGCTTGTGCTCTGCGCCCCCGCAGACCCCTGGCCAAGGCAGAGGACAACGACAATGCTGCCAAAGACGAGGTGGCATCGGTGGCTGTGGCGTGAGTGACGGCAGGGGGGTACTTTTGGGAGGGGGGGTCCTTTCAGGAGAGGTCTGAGGGACAGTCGAACAGACCCCTCTTGAAAAAAGTTTGCTGACCCCTGGGCTAAGGGTTAGTCTGGCAGAAGCAGGCCCATTCGTAAATTTACCAGATTCTGATTACTGCACAGCTTGCCAAGTGAACAAAAAACACAATGCAAGTATATACATGACTATTCTGGCATAATTCCTGTTGAGTTCAATGGGGCTTACTCCCAGGTAAGCAGATATAGAACTACAGCCTCTTGTGTCCTTGTCGGACCAAAGCCTTGCCAGTTCTCTCTTTGAAGCAACCAAATGGCTTCAGGCAGCCTTCAATGCATATTTAAACTTAAAGAGCTCTCTGTTTCAGAAAGTGGGGGTGGGGGAAAGCAATCTAGTCTCTGAAGAGTAATGAAGGTACAAAACAAATGCTCAAAAGCAAGGCTTTCTTCATATTTTATAGTCATGTCCAAAAATCAAATTATATTGGGATAAAATATTAATAGAAGAACTTGCAGGCTATGATCAACCAAGGGACCCTTTAATAATATTACTTGGCTATGCTAAAGAGGACTTTAGGAGGACCAAGAAATTATAATTCATCTGTTAACTGCCATTTGAATGACCATATGCCAGGAGCAGGGTGGGGGATGGACCAAAACATCCTGGATTAAAAAAAATTGGCTGAGTAAGGTCTAGGACTTAGCACAGATGATAAAAGTAACAAACATAATCAGGGTCAAGGACGGCAGGACCACAGATTTATCCGAAAACTACGTTTGTTCCTATCTTATTGGAACAAGAAAATGTAAAATACAATAAAGAAATGTTATGTTATTGGTGAGACATAGACATAAGAAAGTTGAAGGTATATTTTTAAATAGGATATTTGTTTGATTGCATTTTGGGGGATCAATGATCTTAAATTATATTTTATTGCAGTATCAAATATTATCTAAATCCTACCGTTTATTAATTCCTAATATTCACTAACAGACTCTGGCTGTAGCAATACATTCATATTCTGGGTTTTTCATTCCTCCCCATTCCTACCTCATTTGAAATTAAACTATCACACCTCCACTCCACTGGAGAGAGACAGTTCTCTTTTGGATGCGCCAAGGAACTGGAAGTGTGCACAAGGACATTTTCTGTTTGCCCCATTGAATTCTTGGAGTGAAATACCTTCTGTTCTGTTCTTTCATAGTATTTCAGTTTCACCTTTTAATCATTCCATGATTATTTTCCTCTGGAATGACATTTTATACGTGCACACACAAATTACATAAGAGAATTATTGGATGAAAGAGAGTTGGCCTCCAGAAAAACATTACCAGAGGCTCCTAGAGGGCCCAGGAATTCAAAACAAGCATTGGAAATTATGTAATGCAGTATCTTTGAACTCATCTGCTATGATTTTAAGAACGAATGTGGTGTGTGTGTGTGTGTGTGTGTGTGTGAGAGAGAGAGAGAGAGAGAGAGAGAGAGAGAGTCCTCCCTCCCCATTTGACTTAAAACTATTTAGACATCAGAACAAGGATGAATCAGTATAGCAATTTGACATAGTGACAGCACACTGGTTCACATCAGCTTGATATCAGTTGACTGTAGTGGCTGTAATATAAACTGTGCAATGGCATAAGTCTCAGATAAGAGACTTGTTTTGTTAATCATAAGTTCATAAATGAAACCAGTGCAGTTAGAGGCACTATTGGCAATTCTGGCAACCAAGTACAAAGGGGTAAATAAAGCAGCATCAATAATCAAAGCTGTAATTATACATTTGTTTTTGAACAGGGACCTCTGGAAATATTACATGAAATAGTGAAAACCTGTATTTTTTATTTTCATCTGAGCCGTTTTTTGAGCAGGACCCCTCTGCATCTCTCAGGCTGCCTTCGACTGCAGAAGGGGAAGCACTGCTTAATTTGCTGACATTTTCCAGCACCTGTGTGTGCACTTTTCACAATAGGACTCAACCTGTCCAACTGGGAATACACAAAATGAAATCTCAGTTTGGTAAGATATTACTTTATTAAATTTATATCCTAACCTTTCTCCCAAAGGCGCTTAGATATTACCATTCCCTAAATGTTCAAGGGAACATTACAATGAAGTACAGTGTTTAGTTTATGGTGAATTCTTTTTATAAACACTCTGGACCACTGGATTAAATTTTTTAAAAGAGAGTTCTCTTTGGATTATGCCCAACCCTTGCTCAGCAAGTGTAATCCTGCTGCTGCTATCCCTGGAGAAGGAGGTCCCATTCCTGTTCCTCCCATTTCTATATGAATGATACTACCCAGATCGGCAGGTGGAGATAATTGCCACATTTATTCCTCCTCCAAACCCCAGTCACGTGTCCTCAACATTGGTGAAAGTTAATAAGTTCCAAAGGATTTTGTACTATACCCTTTTGGAGGCCAAACATGCAGCAGATTTTAGTCTCAGCTTCCAGATCCCATCCAGAAAAGCAGAGAGAAGCATATCAGGAGGGACCACAGTAGTTTTTTTTACCTTGCAACATTTCAAAATGCTTTCTGAATCAAATTTTAAAGCTAAGAATCCCATCAGCAGAATACTGTGGAAATCCACTGCTAGGTTCCCAACAAAATAAGAGGTAAAAAAAAAACACAAAAAGCCTCCTGGTAGAAACTATCATTCATATTTAACCAGTGCTATGCTCTGGCAACTGTCTGATGTGGGAATTATGGGCCTTTTCAGCAGTGTTCCCCTTCTATGGAATGCTATCCCCAGGGAAGCTTACCTGGAGCCAACACTGACATATTTTTAGCGAAAGATTGTCTTTTCTTTCAGGCATTTGCGTGTTAGTCTTTTCTTTGCAGAAAAAAATGGGTTGCAGCTCTCTGTGACCATTAGACTTATGTGAAGGGTTGGAGCAATTGGTTTTATGGTTTGTTTACCTTGAATACTGCTTAACATTTAAATAATCTTGCTTTTTATATGTTGCATTGTGTATTTTCCTAGTACACATAAGTCACTTTGAGACAATTGTGTAAAGCAACTGAGCGTAATGATATTGTCTGTCCATTTTTATATATGTAGATACAGAGACACTTGGCCTGGAACAGCAAAAGCTGCAATCCATACCTGCGACTAAGCCCCACTGAATTCAGTAGTAGTAGTAGTAGTAGTAGTAGTAGTAGTAGTAGTAATAATAATAATAATAATCCTTTATTATTTATACCCCGCCCATCTGGCTGGGTTTCCCCAGCCACTCTGGGTGGCTTCCAACAAAACACTAAAATACAATAACCTATTATACATTAAAGCTTACCTCTGAGTAGACATGGTTAGGATTGTAGCCATTGCAGACTTTATCCTGCTTGGTCACAAGTAAACAATAACTGCAACCCTCTATACCATTTTAGAAGGATGTGGCATGAATTGGGACAAACAAAACAGCAGATCAGAAATTAGTGCAGTGGTTCTCAAAGGCTGTGGTGTGCATCTCTGTTGTGGCAGGAGAGGATGGCAAGTGTGGTGGGAAGATTCAAGGACAAAGCAAAATATCAACCTTTCAGTATGGTGTAGTATTATTTTTTAGAATCTGGATATTTTGGGAATGATTCATGTTCTTATGTAGCTGCACTGTTTTATACTTTCTGGATGATATTATCATAAAGGTAAAGGGACCCCTGACCATTAGGTCCAGTAGTGGCCGACTCTGGGGTTGCAGCGCTGCCCATGACATTATAAAGCAGTTATGTCCTATGTTATTATTCAAGCACTGCTAGGAGTTGTTTCTTTTTGTTTCCACTGTATTTCTTATATCAATTAAAAATTCAGTGTTGTGTGAGCAGATTTTTATTCTGAAATTGTGGCCCGGCGTGGGGCGGGGGCGGCGGGGGGAGAGAGAGAGAGAGAGAGAGAGCCATTGCTCTTGTGGCTGTTTCTGCACATTACTATACACACCCTGGCTTGTTTCCCCATCAACAGCAAACTGCAGACTCCTGAATCCTACTGCTCATGGGAAATAGTTAAAAACCAGCTAAGTTTTTAAGGTGAAATTAACATGCAGCTCAGTTTTAAGAATTCATGCACATTCTTTGCAAGGGTTACCTGTGAAATATGATGTCTAAAATTAGTCAAAGGGACTTGTATAGAGAGACAAAAGGGCAACGGCACATAGCAGAATTTCAGCTTTATTGCTACGTAATGCTACACATGATTAGAATTTTATTATACCACTTAGACTTCAGTGCGTCTCAGCTGGATGAAATTCAATATGGCTGTGAGGTGCAATAAGGCTGGGGATTTCAGGCTGTGTGGATAATTTAAATGACCAGAAGCTATAAATAAATCCAGCTGTCAAGAACACACTCTTTTCGTTTTGCTTTATTCTAACATGGTGTTTCTAATTCAGAAGTAGTAATTCCTCTGAACTCTATTAAAACAGGACTTTCCACAAAAACAAGAGGCTCGCTTCTTCTCTGAAGAATATGCCACTCCTGCCCTTTAGCAGGGGTGAATTTGCCATACTACCCCTTTCTTGGGAGAAGATGCAAGTTGGTCTCTCATATGAGGAGAGTGCCTTCGGCATCACATGGACAGGCGTGCCCAATAGGAGGGGAGCAATCAAGCTGTTATTGAAGTCATGGCCACTTTCAAGGTAGTGTGGCTGGCATTACCTTTACTCCCACGTCCGTCTTTGTGAAATAGCAGGAGGCTTCGGGCTGGAAAATACTGTAGGCCATCCTTAATTGAATTCTCCAATAGAACATGTAGAACTACTTGCTTCACGGAGTACATAAAAAACATAAGAGGAGCCTGAAAGATCAGGCCAGCCCATTCAGCCCAGCATCCTGTTTCACAGTAGCAACCAGATGCCCATGGCAGTGTGCAAGCACTCTAAGAGCCAGTGTGGTGTAGTGGTTAAGAGCGGTAGACTCGTAATCTGGGGAACCGGGTTCGCGTCTCCGCTCCTCCACATGCAGCTGCTGGGTGACCTTGGGCTAGTCACACTTCTCTGAAGTCTCTCAGCCCCACTCACCTCACAGAGTGTTTGTTGTGGGGGAAGAAGGCAAAGGAGAATGTTAGCTGCTTTGAGGCTCCTTCGGATAGTGATAAAGCGGGATATCAAATCCAAACTCTTCTTCTTCTTCTTCTCTCCCAACTTGTGATTCCTATGAACTGGCATTCAGAGGCACACTGCATCCAATGGTAGAGGTGGACCACTCACAGTAACCACTCATAGCTTTATATTTCATGACTTTGGTAGCTATTCCTATGTTTTTATGAAAGAAGTACATCCATCGTGCCTCCATTCATTGTGCCACCATTCAATGATCCTGGCAATTATGGTACAGATATACTACAGAGTGTTCTCTGTGGCAAGTAATTCTAACGATTAGGATAGTAGTGGATAGCCTGTCATGGAACACTGCTTTCGGTGACATCTCTATGGTGAACATAAGGTATGATGCAGCCCTTGAAAAGCAATGTTATGGGCATGCCAACACCAGAATTAGTGCAAATCCCAATAAGAACTCCCCAATTCTTAGAGAACATAATTATTTGCAGGGGAAGGAGTGAAGATACTGTTCAAAAGAGTTTTGAATTTATTTTTTTTAGACTAATCCTTCCTCAAGGATCTTGAGTTATAAAGACCAAGGACTAAATTATTGTCCCATAATAAAAATACTTAAGGTTGCTCTGACTTCTATTTGTTTGAATAAAACTTAGCCATGGATAACTTTAGTTAGATTGGGCTAGTGCAACCTTCACCAACTTACAGGTGTTTGGCATGGTAAATCCACATCAGTCTTGGACAAGACATCTGTCCAAAACATTTATAGGGCACCAGATTGTCAAAGGCTAGGCTAGTGTCTGTAACACAAAGAAGTAATATACTGTAGAGAGAACCATATGCAGAGCCAGAGATTTGCTTGTTATTTTCATCTTAGCAGATCCCACCACTTGAAAAGACAAGGGAAAGGCAGTTTGTTTTTCTGCTCTGGAAACTACAATTGGACAGGCTGAGTCCCAATAAAAGAATCAAAGTTTTGAAATACAACCTTATGAGAACAAATGTTAATTCAAAGTCTTATGGAGCAACATGACCAAAAAGGTCACCTAGATTATGCTGAAGCAGAACACACCAGCCAAAAGTATCTTTAAAAGGTTAACTATATAAAAGTACAGTCATTCATGATCAAACTAAATTGCAGAGCCCTACAATTACTTAGTAATGAAGTTCTTTATTTACTTTTCCCCTTGATCCATGTCATATGCTAAAGAGATTGACTTTGAATTTTTAATTTTATGATGAGAGAAAAAAACGTAAGTGACATTTTTCTTAATGGCAAAGCTTGAATGGCTTGTAGGAGACATGGGAACAGCACTAGGTGGAAATCATGCATGCTCTGTTCTTTCAGGTATGATAAACCAAGTTCTTGGCCCTGTATTAAGAAATGTCAGATACATTATTCAAATGCGCTAGCTCTTGTCTTCTTCTTTTTGGAACCTATCCTTTATAAAGCTAAGATATGCACAATAAATAAACGTTAGTAACAAAGCTGTGCGTGGCACCAACATTACAACGAACAACCACAGACCCATTTCCTCATTTTGAAAGACTAAACTAAAATAGATATTTTTAATCGGGAATGCAAAGTGAAGAAAAATCTGCTAAGGAAAGCCATTATTTAATCCTCACATATAAAAAGTTCCCCTCCTCCTCTTTCTTCACTTTCATATAAATTGATGGAGTCTTTTCCACAAAGCAATGAAACCAATTTATCTTGATAAATGACAGGAAATATATAACTTTCCCCCCTCAAACCCTTTTGGAAACACTTTGTTAGCATCAGAAACACTCTGGTGAAGCCAGCCATGTCAAATGCTGACAGAAGTTTGCATAAATAAGAAAAATTAAGCAGGAATGAATATTTTGGCCAAGAAAGGGAGTAGGCGCAAATGTTAATCTTCAACTCTGACTGTGAAACTGTTCAGATGTTTACAGATTGCCATTGTTACTCATGGGAACTGGGCATGTTTTGGTAGCGAGGCAGTGTAGTGTAATGGTTACAGTGCTGGACTAGGACCTTGGGAGACCAGAGTTCAAATCCCTTGGGCCAGTCATTGTCTCTGAGCTTAACCAACCTCCCAGGGTTATTGTGAGGTCAAAAGGGGAAGGAGAAAAACCATGTACACCATTATTGAGCTTCTTAGAGGAAAGGTGGGATATAAACTTAATAAATTTATCTATCTACTCATTAATATGGCAAAAGGGCCAGAATTAGCATGTTATTCTAAATGTGCTTATGTATAGTGTCATTATATATTTTAGTCACTAGGTGGCACTGGATTTAGTGGCATCTGGGTAGAATCAGAAGCTCCCTATAGCTTTTCTTTGAGACAGTAAGGTTATTGCCATACTTCTTCATGCGGGTGGTGGTGTCATAAAGCCTGCTGTGGCAATCCTTAATTAGATTTTAGTTTCTCTGGTTTACACACAGATGGTCTTAGGACAACATCCTTCAAATTCATTGTACCTTTTCTGTAGTCTTGTATAGAACCTGGACTCTGAAACTTTACCACATCAAAGAACTAGGAAGTTGATCCTGCTCATGCCTAGGACCATCAATCAATAAAACAGGCAGGGAGTTATTTAGTAGTCATGGTGCAGTAGAATACGAAATGGTCTTTATTTAGACAAAGTGCTCCATAATTTTTTAAATTAATTTTCAGTTTTTTATTTCAAAACTAAAATATTACATGGGGGCTAGCAGTTAAACATATGGAAGCATAATGCCCAAAGTACATAAATAGGTTGATGGAATAATAAACAAGCAAACTTCAAACAAAAATAATTTCTAACAACACCCCCCCCCAAAAAAAAAATAATGCTGAGGGCTTCCCTGTGCATTAATGCTGAGACTCTGGCCTGTGTACTGACCAACTGCTGATATTTCACTATGGTTTACTATTATTGTTTTAAGTATTTATTGATGCGGCACATCATGGGGTCTGGTGGCAGCTGGTAACATTTTGACTTGGTAGGGCTGCAATTTTATCCTTGCTGCCTTCATCACAGTGAGACCCGTACAGGAAATGTGTCATTATAAATGTGCTGAGTGCCATTATCTCCTCATTAAAAGACACCAATTATTCTTTGCACATCTGTGGACAGGATATTTTTTTTTATGTGCTTTGCCCCCAGTAGCTCTAGTGCAAGAGCCTCCACAGTCTGGGGTCTTCTGACAAATTTTAAAGTTCTGACAGTCATTGGGTTTTCCAAGCTATGTTCCAGTTCCAGTAAAAAAAGCATTACCATTTTCCTGCTATGATGTACCGCCTTAGAAGGCCCAGCCTTCTTTTTTATGGCAGTCCTTCCTTAAGAACTTATGCCAAGAAAATGGTCATTGTTCGTATCTTAAAGAGTCCAGCAAGTTGTCCATCAGACTCTCCAGACAACATCAGAGACAACAATGGCTAGGGCTTAGATGCCAACTCAGTGCCCCTAGTGGACAAATGGACACTTGTCCCTGAAAGTCTGGTTGAGATCAGCTTTCCCGGGCCTGTCATCTTCAAAGGGCTTATGCTTGTTTCACACTTAAACCAATAATTTATTTTAGATGAGAAATCCATGTGGAGAAAAGCTCTAAGAAACAAACAAACACACACACACACACACACACACACACACACACACTCTACAAGGCCCCTGCATTATGTTTTGTGGACACAAATTGGCTCAGCAAAGACTCCCCCCCCCACTACTCCTCAACCAGTTTTTACCAAAGCTTTATCTGTTCTGAGGCACAGTCCCACAAAGCACTTAAGAGTATGCTTAATTTTGCAACTATAATGGTTGCCCTGAGACTGCAGAAAACAATGGCATTTGGACACTTTGCCACATCAACACTTTGAGGAACAAAGCAGCATTAATCACCACCCATCTGTGACTTTCCCCCCTCAGGTTAAGTTAAAATTATCCTATACCTGTACCTTGCAGGAAGTACCAAACTGCTGGACGTCTTACAATAGAACTTCTCACATCAGCAAAGCTCACACATCTGGACTCTTTAGGGAACCCTTTAAGGATCTGTGGTGCTATCACTAACATGAGAAGGCTCATTCATTATTTTTTTCTAGACAGAGATAAGCTTGGCATAGTGAGAAAACACTACTTACACAAACACACACACACTTATCACAGGAATGATAATTGCACAAGTGTTTTGTTTACCATAGTTACACTTTTGGAAGCTGCAGGATGCAAAAACAAAACCTGACAATACTTAAACAGCTGCTATGTTGATTCAGCTCCTAATCATCTGACCACTATTGTCTCACTTCCGTTTGTCTGTCATTTTCACACAATATCTTTTGCATTTTGATAGCATTTTTTTCAAAAAATAATAATAATAATACATGAACTACCGTACTTTTCCATATAGAAGATGAGGGGTTTTTTACTCTAAAGTAATGTTCAAAATCAGGTGTCATCTTATACATGGATAGTGCAGATTGGTTGCAGCCGCAAGCAGGAGCTTGTCAGCAGCAATTGTGTAGGTGAATGGTGGCTGCGGCAAGGGTTGTTGTGGATTGGCTGCCACTGCAACAATTGTTCCTACGATTGTCGTCCATAGTTGTGAGCAGGCAGACGCTTGGCAGTTTTGGCTTCGTGTGCGATTGGCAGCCTTTGTCAGTCGGGTGAGGGTTGTTTTTTTTGCATCCCCCTCGCCCCGCCAAAAAGCTCAACAACTCTGGCAATCCCCTCCCTAAAAAGCTCAACAACTCTGAGCCATCTCCTCCCATTTTCTTAAATTGGACTCCCAAAAATAGGGGTTGTCTTATACATGGGTGCGTGTTATACACGGGAAAATACTCTGTGTGTGTGTGCGTGCGCGCGCGCGCGCGCAAACATTAAGAAGAAATAACAGAATAACTGTCTTCCCTTCCATCTGTTGTGCCAGCCTTTTTGGCAAATAGCAAACAAAAGAAAAAGTTATAAAACTAATTTTTGCTGCACCATAGTGCTGGAGTGGCAGGAAAAAGAGAGTTGCAGTTGACAGGATTTTTAAAGTGGCAGTATCAGACACCTCAGACTTGGCCCAAGATGCAGTGGCCAAGAGGTTTGGTCACCACTGGTCCACTTAATATTTCTGTTCCAAGTCATAAATTAGAAAGGATCTGTGTCCTTTCAGAATAATACAGCTGCTTATGGTACTACTTCGCATTGCTAAGTCTTAGCTCAATATATGATCATCGCCAGGAGGCGGCCAAAGCCAGTTTCCTGTACATAAGGTGATAATGGGTCAGTAGGATGAGGTGCCCTTGTTGCACCACACTTGTCTGTAAGCAAAGAGAATGTAGGGATTTTAACTTGCTGTAGCTGTAAGGTGTTTGCTGATTCATTCTGTATAATTTTGCTTATGGTTACTGAATATTACTAAATAGCAGCCTGATGATGGTAAGCAGACCAATAGTGGCTGGCTGAGTGGGGGAACTGTCAAAGCTCGAATTTTTGTTAGTTTGTGCAAAAGCAACATTTTTTTCTCTAAGTAGGAAGGAAGTTTAATTCAAGGGAGTTACTTTTGAGTAAAACATACCAAAGCCAGACAATTGTGTTTTATCACTTTTCCACTGTCTCCTGAAACAGATGGAGGTCAACCAACCAATGTAAAGACAGCACACTTTGAGAATAAATGAAATAATCTGGACACAAAGGAAAATGCTTAAGCAAACACACCCCAGTATCCTCCTCAATCCAGCATCAGGCTGGCAGCAAAGAGCCTCTCCTGGGTTTTTTTGCTGCTCCAGGATGGCTCCCTCCTGAGTCCCAGGTAGAAGTGGTCAACAGTTCTTCCCTGATCACCTAGCAGCAGTGATTAAGTCACTGAACATCCTTAGCAAGTGTGCTGCCTACCTCTGCTTATGGTGCTCTTTCTTCAGAAATGTCCTATGGACTTAATAAAAGAAAGAAAGAAAGAAAGAAAGAAAGAAAGAAAGAAAGAAAGAAAGAAAGCTAAGTCTGCTAGCCCAGTAAATGTATATCCCCTCTACCCACCCACCCCATTGGAGCCCTGCAAAGGGTTATAGATGTTTGTTGTCTATGTTGAGACTCGAGCTTGCATAAGGTAGCAACAAATGTGGTGTGGGGAAGGGGGTCAATCAGAGTAAATGGTTTTGAATTGATATTAGTATTAATATTAATATTAACATCTTTTATTTATACCCCGCCCATCTGGCTGGGTTTCTCCAGCCACTCTGGGCAGCTCCCAACAGAATATTAAAAACATGATAAAACATCAAACATTAAAAACTTCCCTAAACAGGATTTTCTTCAGGTGTCTTCTAAAAGTAAGATAGTTGTTTATTTCCTTGACATCTGATGGGAGAGTGACTAGTGGGGTGCCACAGGGTTCTGTCTTGGGCCCGGTCTTATTCAACATCTTTATCAACGACTTGGATGATGGACTCAAGGGCATCCTGATCAAATTTGCAGATGACACCAAACTGGGAGGGGTGGCTAACACCCCAGAGGACAGTATCACACTTCAAAACGACAGATTAGAGAACTGGGCCAAAACAAACAAGATGAATTTTAACAGGGAGAAATGTAAAGTATTGCACTTGGGCAAAAAAAATGAGAGGCACAAATACAAGATGGGTGACACCTGGCTTGAGAGCAGTACATGTGAAAAGGATCTAGGAGTCTTGGTTGACCACAAACTTGACATGAGCCAACAGTGTGACGCGGCAGCTAAAAAAGCCAATGCAATTCTGGGCTGCATCAATAGGAGTATAGCATCTAGATCAAGGGAAGTAATAGTGCCACTGTATTCTGCTCTGGTCAGACCTCACCTGGAGTACTGTGTCCACTTCTGGGCACCACAATTCAAGAAGGACACTGACAAACTAGAACGTGTCCAGAGGAGGGCAACCAAAATGGTCAAAGGCCTGGAAACGATGCCTTATGAGGAACGGCTAAGGGAGCTGGGCATGTTTAGCCTGGAGAAGAGGCGGTTAAGGGGTGATATGATAGCCATGTTCAAATATATGAAAGGATGTCACATAGAGGAGGGAGAAAGGTTGTTTTCTGCTGCTCCAGAGAAGCGGACACGGAGCAATGGATCCAAACTACAAGAAAGAAGATTCCACCTAAACATTAGGAAGAACTTCCTGACAGTAAGAGCTGTTCGACAGTGGAATTTGCTGCCAAGGAGTGTGGTGGAGTCTCCTTCTAAGCAGAGGCTTGACAACCATATGTCAGGAGTGCTCTGATGGTGTTTCCTGCTTGGCAGGGGGTTGGACTCGATGGCCCTTGTGGTCTCTTCCAACTCTATGATTCTATGATTCCACAGGGCAGGTGCCACTACTGAGAAGGCCCTCTGCCTGGTTCCCTGTAACCTCACTTCTTGCAGTGAGGGAACTGCCAGAAGGCCTCGGCGCTATACCTCAATGTCTGGGCTGAACGATGGGGCGTGGAGGCGCTCCTTCAGGTATACTCGGCCGAGGCATTTAGGACTCTAAAGGTCAGCACCAACACTTTGAATTGTGCTTGGAAATGTACTGGGAGCCAATGTTTCAGTACCAGTGTTATATGGTCTCAGCAGCCACTCCCAGTCACCAGTCTAGCTGCCGCATTCTGGATTAATTGTAGTTTCCGGGTCACCTTCAAAGGTAGCCCCACATAGAGTGCATTACAGTAGTCCATGGTGTTTCCAGATTTCTTTGTCTCAGCGGAATTGTACTAAAACAAATTAATATAGTGTTAGAATCATTAAAAGCAGGATTCTTTGCTCCATTCTGATGCCAGCTAATTATCTGGTTGTAGATTTAGAAGGCAGCCACTGAATGTTCCTGTTATGGTAGAAAGCATCATAAAACGCAATATGGGAAGGGAATCTATAGCAATATAATAGGGGTTTTCTTTCTTCAAACCACCACCGTCATAAGATTTTGTATAATTTGATGGCTTTAGCATGTCTTCTGCAGAATAACATTGCAGTGAAGAATAAGGCAGCTAGCAGCTAATGAGGAAACATGCCAGCTTTTCATACACACTGAGGGGGGAAATGTGCCTGGTCACATTATCCTCCTCCTCTAATGGCTTGAGACTATTGTTGGAGAACTGAAATTAGACCAGGGTTGGGTTTTAAAAAATTCTTTTGCATATTCCTTCTTGGAAAGTTATATGCTAATCCCATTTTAAATTTTCTCTTGTACTTCACACATAAACAGAATAAATAATTCTGCCTTTCTCTCTTCTCTCTTTTTAGGAAGATGCTCTCAGACTGCCAGTCTCCAAAATAATCAGATGCTATATTCGGCATTCAAAAGCACTTCATGATCTATGAGCCTCAAGTCCTAAGCTTTTGCTCAGCTGCTTAGCTTTTGCCAGTTGTTCACTTAATTTCAAAGTGTATCTCTTTTTTAAGGACAACTGCAATGATGAAAGCTTGAAATTTCAAATGGCTGCCGAAATGTGAGAAAAAGGGTACAACAGCTTCATCACAGTGCGCGTGCACGCGCACACACACACACACACGTTGGTAACATGTATACAGTATTCATCTTTGTTCAGCCAAAAAAGGCTCATTTACAGTGGAAGCTCCTCATACAGAACTAGGATAAATTCTCTAAATACAACTATCTGTTGGTCCCATTTTTTATACATTATACATGTCCACAGATAGCCCAGAATTAATCAATCACATAAATCATATCTACTCCTGTCCTTAACCCAATTACAAGACTTGCATAGCTGAGCACATATGGTAATGCAAGTTTCCTGAGCAGAACCTTTAAACAGCAATTGCAAGAACAGAAAAATCTAGAACGGAAAGAGGGCTCTGGAGATTTGATCCATTGCAGCCCATTATAATAATAGGCCCTTATTTACTTATAGTTATATATTCTGCCTTTTTTTGTGTCACGGAACCCAAGACACACATCCAGTGTGAACAGAGACAGGGTATTTGGAAGATTGCCAGGGTAACTGGGCATGATGTCACAGGAAGAATTTGGGGCCTTTGGCACCAGGCTTGGAATAGCTAAAAAAGAGAGAGAGAATAATTATGGCAGGCTGGGAAAAATGCCTTGGACTCCAGTGGGGAACAAGCTCCTGTTGAGATGACCATGCTGTAATATGCTACAGCTGGCAGAGATTGGGGGTGGTGTAAACTTTTGTAACACTACATTCATTTAGGGTGCATGTGCAGAAGTATTTCAGCTTGCCAGATGGAATGATCCCCTCTCTGCTTCCCCCATGTGTTGTTTTAGGGGTTCCAGCCCTGAGTGCTCACTGGAAGGACAGATCGTGAAGCTGAGGCTCCAATACTTTGGCCACCTCATGAGAAGAGAAGACTCCCTGGAAAAGACCCTGATGTTGGGAAAGATGGAGGGCACAAGGAGAAGGGGATGGCAGAGGACGAGATGGTTGGACAGTGTTCTTGAAGCTACCAGCATGAGTTTGACCAAACTGCGGGAGGCCTGGCGTGCTCTGGTCTATGGGGTCACGAAGAGTCGGACACAACTAAACGACTAAACAACAAACAACTTATGGGGGAGTAAGTGCTTAACCCCTCCCCCAATCACTAATTTTCCTTGCAAATACTTTTAACTTGGTCACTTTTAACTGTTTGATATCAGTCTGACTGAATTTTCAGTGGGGGGCTGGGGGACACAGAAAGAGATAAGCATACTCCAGCAAATGGTCCATCTTCTCTGCAACTGAAATATCTTTGCAAAGATGAGTTTGGGAACATGTCACTGCTGAGGTAAAGTATGATTCCATCCTTAGGGCCAAACTAGACACAACTCTAAAGTGATGGCTGTTACCATAAACAGCATTTTTATCTTCCCCCTCCTCCGAGTAAGTTTTGTGAGTCCTGACATGACAGCATCCCTGCCTCCACTTGTGGCAGCTAACACTGTGGAACAGGAAGTGGAAAAAATAAGGTTATTATGACACAACCATGTCAGGTAAGTGCCATTAGAGATTCAAGAGGGGGGAGCCAAACTTGTCCTTGTCACTTCTGAACAACTGGTGTAAGATCTTGAATGTTCCTGAAAGGAGCCATGCATGACAGATTATTTGTCATTGTTTCTGTATAAAGAGCAATATTCTTATGGGGTGGGGATTTCTTGCTCAAATGCAACCCACCTAAGGCAGAATTGTTTACTTTGCCATCAGCTTTTCAAGTCTCCCTTGTCATATTTGCTAGCTACTGAACGTATCTGTGTGGCACTTGTCACCTTTCATCCAACAATCATTTCTTTATAGGTAACGAAGCTCTGTAACAGTCAGCACCAGATGGTAAATGGGAGAAGGTGTGCTTTTCAGCAAAGAACGTTGCATACATTAATTAAGACACAAGCTGAAGATTTTTTAGATAGTGGTGAGGCTAATACTCAGACAGAGAGAAGAGAAGAGTGCTCAGCAAAAAGTTGGTGGCAAAAAAGGAAACAAACCTGCAAAGTTCCCCTTAGGAGAACTTGCTGACATCTCTAAGCTAAGCATCATTACAACTAAAGAGCTCAAGGGAGAGGGCTGTGTACTGCCCAACATCCTTCTCACCAAGAAGACCAGACACACTTGCTCCTGGAAAGCTGGTGGGTAGATTTGTAGACACATGGCCCCCTCCCTCATCAATGTTCAGAAGCTCTGAAAGCAGTTTTACAGTCTACTACTGAGATTTTATTTCCAGGACAAGAAAATGTAGAGCTATGCACAGCTGTGACTTCATTGCTCTGCAGCCTGGCTCCAGATAAGCATGGATTCCTAGAACTGTAGAGTTGGAAGGGTCCCTGAGGTCAAACAGCTCTTACAAGTCAGAAAGATCTTCCCAATATTCTTCCAGAGAAGGAGAAAACAAGCTTGCCCCATCTTCCCTGTGACAGCCCTTTAGATATTTGAATATAGCCATCATAGGCCTGAATGTGCCAGTTATGTCATTGCACTGTTATGTCCTAGCACTAACTTAATACTTAGTTCTAGTATTTTGAGCTACTATGTCCACAACAGCAGCTGATTGGATTTGGCCATAATTAAAGGTTAGCTTGTACCACTCCAAACATTCAGCATCTTTCTCTTTAAAAGGTAAGATTCCCATGACTGAAATTCTGTCTTTTGTTGACATCATTTTACTAGAGTCAGAAAAGGAGAAGAAAAACCAGAAAATAGAAAATTGTTGCCTGCAGATATTTCTGCTGCAGAAGGAATTAAGGGAGAGGGATATGAAAGACAACAATCCCAAATCCAATAAAAAGAAGAAGGCTGGTATAATTATAATAGGAATATGTGGTGATTGTTGTTTCCTTTAATATCTGTTTCCTCAAGACTTATTATATTAACAGCACTGCCTGAAGTATGTTAGGCCTATGAGTTGAAATAAAGTCCAGGAAACTATGTGCATAATGGAGGGATGGGGTCCTCTCCCAACAGCATGCAATGGGGTGGGGGGTGAGTGCTGTGATAAATCACCCGAAATTGGACAGAGGCAACTTCTGTGAGTGAACTCTCTTGTGCAAGATGACTCTGCTTGATTCTGGATGATTTTCTCCACTCCTTTCCAACAGTCCCCTCACACGCAACTATATAGGTGGGTCCCCACCCCCCCATTTCCTGGAGCTTTTTTTATAAAAAGTGAAACAGGTGTACAACTAAATGCAAGAAGGTGAAGAGGGGTGGAAAGTTGCCTTCAATTAGCCTCTTTCCATTCACAATTCTTACAAATCAAGACAGTATCTCAATGAATAAATGTATTACTAACGTAAGTTTAAATGTCTTTTTAAAAACAAATAACTGCAATACATTTTATTACTACCTTTATTATTTATTAAAGTGATTTACAGGCTTTATTTCTGTTACTTATTGTTCTGTACACATTTCCCTACACGAGCAGGTGCCAAAGTTTCTAACGCTACCCTAATTTCAAGTCCGTTCTGTTCCTTCTGTATAGGAAACAAACATACTTGACAAATAGCGATGTTGATGTTTGGGAAAACAGCAGAAAACAAATGTTTGAGTGACAGAAAAGTGTGTATGCACTGCCGATGCCGCCCCCAACAATGCTCTATTAGGTCCTTTTAGACAGAACTCATTACAAAATAACGACAGCGATGACAATTGAAATGTCCTCATAGTTGAATGCAATCTGTTCTTTTTCACCAAGAAGAAAATTGTAATTCTGTGTTGCTTTCCTTCCTTTTTGTGCTCAGAGGAGACAAAAGCAAGTAAAAACACGAGAATTGTGGCACACTCCACTACTATGCTGAGTAGTGTATTATATTACAATTATGATAATCTTTTTTTCTCACGTTAGAAATTTGCTTTGGGGGAGGGGAAACCATCTGTTTCTCGGGAATCTTTGGCTGCCTGGAGCAAATCAAACTTTTACTGAAAACAAATTATGGGAAACAGAATGAAAATATCATGGCTATATGCTTCAGAGCACTGCTAGAACAGCTCTGCTGAACTAAGAGGGACAGAAGCAACTAAGATCCAATAGATTAAAGTTCGCCTGTAATGTCATTTCAAAATGCGAATGGCCATTACAGAAATAATGATAATACTTGTAGCCTTAGAAAGTATGAAATGTCGAACCTTTCTGCAAACAATCATGACATACGTGGCTAAAATCGGCCCTGCAGACAGTGCTGGAATATTTACTAACCAAACCTAGAATAAAAATGTAATAAAAGCCCTGTTGGATCATGCCTAAATCCCATTCCCTGTGGCTGGTACAGAGATGCATACTACCACTGATAGTGGAGGTGGAACACAGCCATAGTAACTAGTAACCATTGATAGCTTTATCCTCCATCAATTCTCAAATCCTGTTCTAAGCCATGCACCTTTGTGGCCATCACTACATATTTTTGGAGCAGTACCTTCAAAACTAAGCACAAGTGAAGCCCCACACAGAGGATGTTGGAATGATCTAATTTTGAGGTTACAGACCCCTGAAGCACAGTGGCCAAGCTATTCCAGTCCATAGATTGGACTGCAGTTGCCTTACCAAAGTTTACAGAAAGTGCTCCTAGCCACTAGTAAAAAAGATGTGGTTCAGGAGCAGCCCCAGGCTGTAAACCAGAGGGAGTGGAGCCCCTTTCTGGAAATAGCAATTTGCCAATCTCCCGTCCATGGTGTTTTGCCAAATGCAGGAGCTCTTTTGGATTCAAAGGCAATCACAACACAATTCTTGTTCAATGCTTTTATTAAATTGCAGGCTTAAATACAGCACCAAAAAGCAGTGAAACTGTCTTTAAGCAAACTAACAGAAAATACTTTTCCATTCAATTATTGGGAGGTCCAAGGATTAATAACTGAAAGACTCCAGCTGACTAAGACGCAGCACCATCTCGGTCAGGGTCTACATCAAAGCTCCGGGGGACAGACCCTACCTAAAAGGTTTATATACTCTGAACCCTTAGCGGCTATGTGTTGGCTGGCCTAATACCTAAATTCATTTCCCCTGTTAAGCTAGGCCAGTATACAAGGGCCAGCATGGTTAAGCAACTCTGCAGCTGCTCTACTGCCTGCAGGAACTCATCCTACTGCTGACCCACCAGTGGATATTCCCACGTCCTGCTGCCACTTATCCCTGGAGCACAAACAGTAAATCTAAACAATAAAGCAAACCAAAAACCCTTGCAATTACCAAAGGTGCCAATAAGTAGGGAAGATTCGTACAATCCAATCAACCTATGTCCTTATAATACAAATGTATTCCACAGTAGGTTTCCCCTACACATGGTACTCATTCACTCACTCACTCACTCACTCACTCTCATTGTGCCTCCATAGGATTCAAGCTTAGTATATTGGCCCTCATCAATGCACTCAGGCACTGGTTAAGGGCTTGCACAGCCTCACTTGGTTCAATTGTAATAGAGAAGTAGAGCTGAGTGTCATATCAGAAATGCCCTAGGACAGAAAATACCTTAAATATCTTATGGTTTTGTTTGATATCATGTTTTATTGCAACTCTGCATTGCATCTTCCATCTGAAACCCTGGAGACCTCCTGCCAGTAACTATATAGACAATAACGATCTAGATAGATCAATTGTTTGCTTCAGTATTTTCAGTATATATAATTTTTCACCCTCCACAATGCCCTAGAAGACCTAACATAATTCCAGGACAACGAAACTGTCACCATTTCCTCCTCTATTGCTCTAGAATTATGCTAGGTCTTCTAGGGCAGTGTTTCCCAAGCTTTTTCTGACCATAGCCCCCTTCTGAACTTGTTTCCTTCCTGTGCCCCCCCCCCGTGGGTGTAGCCAAGGGGGGCAGGGGGTAGCTGACCCTCAATAAGTAAAAATCAATACAAATCTGAGGTTCTGCCCCCCCCCAACAAAAGCCTGCCCCCTAACAAAAATGTGGAGGATGGAAAATGGCAGCCAGGGAGCAAAAATAAAACTTAGGGTAGAAAGAAAAACAGTACTACTGGAACTGTTAATGGTAAGCCAAATCCCCAAGAAACGTGGATAATTTTGAAGGTATTGAAAGCACAACTATTTAGATCATTGGTAGGCAAACTAAGGCCCAGGGGCTGGATCCGGCCCAGTCGCCTTCTCAATCCAGCCCGTGGACGATCCAGGAATCAGCATGTTTTTACATGAGTAGAATGTGTCCCTTTATTTAAAATGCATCTCTGGGTTATTTGTGGGGCCTGTCTGGTGTTTTTACATGAGTAGAATGTGTGCTTTTATTTAAAATGCATCTCTGGGTTACTTGTGAGGCATAGAAATTCGTTCATCCCCCCCCCCAAAAAAAATAGTCTGGCCCCTCACAAGTTCTGAGGGACAATGGACCAGCCCCCTGCTGAAAAAGTTTGCTAACCCCTGATTTAGACAAATATTCCTGACCTCTTGACTGAACCTCCAGCTTTGTTTTAACTGCTGGTATAACTGGTATGCTATTTAAATCACTTTGTTTATTGTAGGTCTTAATTATGAATGTTTGAAGGTTGGATGAAATTATTTCATTGTATTTTTTCATTATGCATGGCCATGTTTTTATAACTGGTTTTATACATGTAAACTGCCTAGAATTCAATTTGGCAACCAAGTGGTGTATAAATTAATAAATGCAGTATTATTATTATTATTATTATTATTATTATTATTCCACCCACCCCCCACAACTTCTCTGCCACAAATAGGGTTGGAATTTTGAGAAGGCATGTATACAGCTCTAATTGCTTTTAGTTAAGAGATTCGCAGGGGAAATCCTAGTAGGAAATAAACAACCATGTTTATGCCTGACCTTTTTGTGTACTAGTCTTTGAGTCAGAGAAACTGTGATGTAGACTTAATTGTGCTACTTATTACCATGTCTTTGATCCACCACCTGGAAGATTAAAGTTTATGTAACTCCTAAATTATCTACCTGGCTGCCTTCAGTTTGTCATATCTGGGTCAACTGAACATACATTTTGGGTCATTGGTCTCTACAGCTTGTGTAACCTAACTACACTTCTTCAGCAGGTGTCAAACTTAAAATTTGCTCTCCAAGGCTACAAGAGTCATTGTATCTAGAGAAAGTAATTTAGTCCAGAGTTTGGACCATGTTTCTTTTCTTTATTCATGTTACTTTTTATAAAAAACAAACAAACCTGATTTTGCCTTCTCATATTAAGTAAGTTTTGCACAGTCTTTCCCTGCTTGGTAGTCGGGGAAGCAACAAAATTTCTAAGCACTAGATCCCTTGTCAGGAAAGTATGCCAGTACCTATTCCTTCCTTAGATCTGGATTCCAATGAGCTTTTATTCTGTTCTGCACCTGACATATGGAGGCACCTTGCTATCTCAGAGGTCCTTTGTTTTGCCTAGCCTGGCACTCCAGTGTTGGGGAAATGGGTTATGATCCAATTTAAAAAAAGAAAGGAAAGAAAAGAAAAGCACCTGCTGTTGCATCTGGTGTAGTTGGAGCATATGCAAACTTGCGACAGCCAGGCCATTAATTTCTGCGCCAAGGATTTTATGAAAAGGGACACTGCTAAAATGTGAAATTACATAAAATAAACACGGGTAAGAATTACCACATTCTACATGGCTACATCCTGTCATAACACTTATTCCAGTTCCCAATCCTGAACAAGCAACATAGAAAACATTTGAAGTCAAAGTCTGGGAAACATCATTTCCCAGATGTCATCCATTTAACAGTAATGGGCACTGGGTCCACAATTAATATACCTGGACAAAACTGGAGGTTTAATTTATTTTAATCTGGTAATATAATTATTTTCATCCTATGTGTTAGCATTTAGAACTCTTAAAGCAGCAATCAATATAATTGTTGAGAAGCCTTGCATATTAAAAACAACCCTTTGTTCCATTTGTAGTCAAGACACAGGCAGTATGGGGCAGATTTTCTTTCAAAATAACCTAGAGAGAAGTTGCAATCCACTGCTTCCCTTTGTTTTAGTAATTTTTGTCACATGTGCTGTGCTTTAACAGAAATTTAGCTTTCTACTATAGTGCTGACAATAAAGCTGAGATTCTATTTACACTTTGGGATTAAGTCCCCCTGAACTCTGTGGGACTTACTTCCAAGTAAGCATGGATAAGATTGGTCTGCACATTTCCCATAGTGATGCGGTTGAAAAATAGATAACATTATTTCATTTTCTCATGTCGTGACTCTGACACATGGAATAATGAAGATGTGTCACCAACAAAAAGGAATAACACAGATGTGTTTTGCAGATTCCACAAGTTTCATGCGTCACCCCTGTTCTGTGACAAATAATAATTGCCAGAATGGCCTTTAGCTTTTCAACTCCCTTTATCAATATGAAACTTGACTTAAATACACATGCAGGTAAAAAGTAAACATCTATATTTTAAGCTGCTTATACATGGTGCTGTTAATTTTCATAGTATACAGATGATAACCAGTAAAAGGGAAATGTGTGCTTTAACATTCTGGCAAAACAATTTTAACAACCCCACTGTGACGGAGTAGATGTGCATTATCTTCATTAGAAGACTGACATGAATTTCCAGAATGTTTGTGGTATGTAATTGCAGAACCTTCCTATTTCCACTCTCAACTTCCTCCAATTGTTACCAAAGAAAGGTCATTTAACTGCTGGTTACAGTCAGATCACTGGAGAAGCCTGAGACCAATTTAGAAATATGAACAGGTGGAAGTAAACTGATGGTAGCAGATGTTCAACACTGCTAATTACACTGGGTCAAACCATTTGACAAGATTAACTTATACCTCAAACTAAGCCCTACTCATTAATTCTAACTAATTTCCAGCAATGCTGCATTATAAACACCCCTCTCCAGAAAAGTTGGAAAACAAATTGTGCTCTACTCACAAACTGTTTAATTCATCTGTTCATTGTCTTATTTTTGCCTGTTGATTGGCTAACAAAGTTTGAAAACAGGCACAACAAAGGAGGGATAAATTCTCCCTCTGGGTATTCTTTTTTTTCTGTATTTTTGGAAAGAAAACACACGTATCTTTATCAGTTTGGTTGCTATGGAGATGATTATGTTGACCCAGATGATTGCAGTTTCAGAGGATGAATAAGCAGTGAAGGAGATGGTATACTTTAAAGAAATAAACATTTCAGTCTCGCTTTTCTATATATGGATAATTGTATGAGAAATAACAAGATAAACCTGAAATGCCCTGAAGAGGGAAGGAGTTATGTTAGTTTTAGATAAAATGATTTATTGGCTTTGGGTGGAAAAGGGGTTCTTGCAAATCCCATTGACTGAATTTTGTCCTTTAAGTGGAAAAGCACACAGTTTACAGAGTATTTGTACCAGTAATGAAAGTAACAATAATGTGTCATCGCTCCTCTTATTTCAATGTTTAGGAGTGAGTGCTGGTGTTTCAGTATCTAAAGTTATACCATCTACACACAAGAGCAAAGTACCAAGAGGCTCAAGAAAGCAAAAAGGATTTGAAGAAGTACCAAAAACAGTTAGGAAAAAAGAAGCAAAGGACTAAGTGCACTGACTGTTTTGGGGGTGGACATTAAGGTTAGGAATGGGTAGGAAATGTAATGGGAGTATCTTGGAATGCTGAACAGCAGCATGGTTTGCAGGTCCCACTTGTTAAACTGAAGACACTTTCTTAGCCTAATGTACCGTATTTTTCCGTGTATAACACGTCCCTGTGTATAAGACGACCGGTATTTTTTGGGACCCCAAATTAAGGAAATAGGGGGAGATTGCCCAGAGTTGTTGAGCTTTGGGGGGGGGGGATGGCCCAGAGTTTTTGATTGCTGACAAATGCTCAACCACCTGACTGCCACTGCCAATCGCCCACCCAATTGCTGCAGCAGCAATCGCCAGCACGCCTTGATGCAACCACCAATCACACGCCCAATCGCTGCTGACAATCTCCTGCTCACGGATGCCAACAATTGGCCATCCACAATTTGCACTATCCATGTATAAGACAACCCCCAATTTTGAATATATATTTTTTTAATAATAAAGGGAACAATCATGCACAGTCCTAAGCTCGGAGCTCCTTGAAAGAAGGGTGGGGTAACAATGTAGAAATAAAACAATTATAACTTCCAGGCTGGTTCTCTACTGTCGAAAATTTGCTGAATTAGCTAAACAAACTCACACCTGACTACACTGTCATCCTACAGCATCCTACTCAAATGTGTGATTCCTGGACATGTGTCATAGAAGAAACACTCCTTTTCAAAGAGAGAGACAGAGACAGAGAGGAGTGTTTGGATGAAGAATTATGCTTTGGGGTGCTCAATCAAGTGGAGGAGCTGGAGCTTAATATAATGTGAAAAACTCTTGTGTAGTTTCCTAAGGGTGCTGGGAATTGTAGCTCTGTGAGGTGGAACTAAAGTTTCCAAGATTCTTCGGGGGAAGTCATGTGCTTTAAATGTGCATTGAATGTACGTACTTTAAATTTATGGTGTGGATATGCATGTCAGTGATGTGGGACCATGAGAGGAGGAAAGGGTAAAATTCTCCCTCCCCATCATATCTGATAGTTCTCATGCTGCTCAGGCTCCCTTGCAGCTCTGTATTAACTAAATGTGCACTTTAATTACACTCATGCAGTTAAAGGCATTTATAGTCTGGCGCTTAGATGGGCAAAGCTGTGTAACTTATCAGGTGAGTAGGAAGTGTTTCAGGACAAAAGGAGGCAATAGGTCTGAGGAACCCTTTCACACTCACACTATTTCTCGAAAGACACTAGTGAACATGCGAGCTTAATTTGACGGTGTATCTTAAAAGGTGAGGGTGGTGGCCATCACAGATGGTAAGAGCAGGAATTTAGGTCAAGTTAGAAGAGACTATAGGCGTCATTAAGTATTCGTGAACTAGGGAAGGAAGTTTACATTGGCAGCAACCTATCCTGAGGTGAAGGACAAAGAAGTCAGTTTGCAGTGCAGTAGGACAAAAAAAAATACATAATCAGTAGAGGTGGCTTTGCTCAAAGGAAGGTTAAGTGCAACAGAAATATTCCTGCTGCAGCTTTTCCTGTGGAAGTAACTAAGTTAAGAAAACATACTACAACAAAAGATAACAAGAGCTGGAAAAATATCAGCAGCTCTAGCATAATAATGTGTGATAAATTAAATCTGAATAAAGAGTCAGAGTCATTGAAGTTATTATGCTTTGGCAAAATATGTATTAAATCCAGTGGCAATAACCTTTGGAAATATTGTCCACAGCCAGTTGTTTTTTGCCATATCATCAGCTATATGTAAACTCTGAAAAATGTGTAATGGGTACAGGTAATTAAATCTGCCTGCTGCACTAGGTTTATCAAGTGCTCATATAGAATAAGCTGTAGAAGGGCTCAGCCTGATACAGTGGTACCTCAGGTTACAGATGCTTCAGGTTACATACGCTTCAGGTTACAGACTCCGCTAACCCAGAAATAGTACCTCGGGTTAAGTACTTTGCTTCAGGATGAGAACAGAAATTGTGCTCCGGCGGCGCGGCAGCAGCAGGAGGCCCCATTAGATAAGTGGTGCTTCAGGTTAAGCACAGTTTCAGCTTAAGAACGGACCTCCGGAACGAATTAAGTACTTAACCCGAGGCACCACTGTACTTGAATTGTGATCAGACCATTTACCCCTGAAAGTCACAGATTAATCTGCCTTACAGCATTCCCATTTGGCAACTGCTTTCCAAATATTTTATTAAGGCATTCTTCTGTTTCCACTGATTTTGCCTGAAAAGTTAATAAAAATACTTCCGGACATTCAAGTCACATTCTTTTTGCACGCTGTTGACATGATGGGGTGGTGGTGGTATGATATTAGGTAGCAACCGAGCACCTGGCAACTTTACTGTCAGTGGTGAGATTGGCACTCTGCTGGTACAGGACTGGTGCCACACAGGCATGGTCACAGGTCAAAGGAGAGGGCTGCCTGCCATCCGGCTGTGCACTTATGAAATACTGACTTCACTGCCTTAGTCTCCAGTGTAACTTTCTCTGGGGTGTGGGTATGAAGCAACTGTAGCATTGTGAAAAGAAATTTAAACGTAATAACGTTGTCCTACGATAATTCAAGTGCCCAGGCAGAGAACTATCAAATGCGTCAATCTGCAGAGCATGCACTTTTTAAAGGGCCATGTAATATTCGTACTGCATCTGCAAAGACTTGATTTTTTTAGTGTGGCAGCACTCATGTCCTGGACTTCCTGCCTCAGGCAGCAGCCTTCACTATAGATGCCTGCTAAAAAAAGGTTTTACTTCAGCAAGCCTATCCAAGCATGTAATTTTATTATGTATACTTGCATTTCAGTACTGCTGATTTTATCTATATTTTTTAATAATTATTTTTCACCGTCAAATGAGTAAGAGGTTGTTTGTTTTTTTACTAAGTGGCCTTTAAAAACTCTTAAAATAAGCAAGCAAACAAAGAGAAATTTGCTTCCTGATATTTATATGGTGGTCACTGAAGCACACAAATATTTTACAACCAATCTGTAACCTATTAACTGATAAGTTCACCTTAAGTTCTTATAGGCTTCAATGGGCATAAATCTTCACCTAATGATGGCTCTTGAAACCTGTAAGAATAAACTGATCTAAGCCCAAGTACTTTGACATAATTGGTTATGGATCAGGCCGCTAAGGTGCCATTTTCATCCATCAAAATAAATGGTAAACTTTGTGATTGTCACTGGGATAAGAGGCATATGGAGCTAGCCTTGCTAGGTGTTTATTCTAGAGCTGACCCAGCAAAGAATTTAAGTAAGAGTCTTAAATGCAATCTAGGGATGAAGCTTAATGTATTCTTATAGCTCTCTGCATGATAGCTCAGGGCTAGGCAGCTAGCCACTCAACCTTCACAATTTAAGTCCAAGCTTAAAAAGCACTCCAAAAGCATGTAACCATTCCAGTTATTCCAATCATACGTGCATGTATGTTTTGATACAACCAAAATATGTTATTGCCCTCTAACAACATGGAAAGATTTGCTCATAATAATGCAGGTCTGCACAACTCTAATCATGCTGACTGTGGTAACATATCAGGGGCTTGATAAACTTCTACGTTTTGCTGCTTGTCCAAAGCTGCAAGAGCAAGTGATTTGTCAAGCACCTGGAAGGGGACAATATATGACTGTTGGACTATATTTAGCTTACATTGTGCTGATCTGTAAGAGTAATTTTTGCTCTGCATTATGTTTCATCACCAAGGGACGCGGGTGGCGCTGTGGGTTAAACCACAGAGCCTAGGACTTGCCAATCAGAAGGTCAGCGGTTCGAATCCCCGTGACGGGGTGAGCTCCCGTTGCTCGGTCCCTGCTCCTGCCAACCTAGCAGTTCGAAAGCACGTCAAAGTGCAAGTAGATAAATAGGTACCGCTCCGGCGGGAAGGTAAACAGCATTTCCGTTCGCTGCTCTGGTTTGCCAGAAGCGGCTTAGTCATGCTGGCCACATGACCCGGCTCCCTCGGCCAATAAAGCGAGATGAGCGCCGCAACCCCAGAGTCGGTCACTACTGGACCTAATGGTCAGGGGTCCCTTTACCCTTTCCCTTTATGTTTCATCTGACAACCAAATGAAAAGGTAAGAAGACTGAGTTTATTGCTCTATCTTCTAAGAAGTTGCCTAAAGCTTCAATACAAAATTACATTTTTTTAGAGACCAGCCTTACAAACAACCAGTGGGATATAATATGCAACATCTTTCCTATAAAGAGAGGTTGAATTCACATTTGAAAAATCATATCTATATTATGATTACTCAAGATTATCTATTAATGTCCCAAAGATTGACATGAAAAAGGATGTCATTGTTAGAACATTTTTTCTTCATCAATATTAACATTTTTTGGCACACAAAACCTGTAATAGTTGCACTACCACAAGGCCCTCAGACACCTTATTTCATGCCTGCCAAGTCTCTCTGCCCCTCCCATTTCTTTTTTAAAAAGTTAAACAGGCATTTTGTGGTTCTCACACCAAATTTAGATTTCCAAACATGCCTCCAAGCCCCAAAATTGTTCAGAAATTAAGACCTAGTTTTAAAAAGTCCTTTAAAGTCTTTGAAAACTGTTTTAAGGGGGAACAACTGGACATTATTATATAAAATTGAACAATACAGCAAGCTCTTCTGCTGTCACTGCACATTTTATTCAGGTGCAGAACTGAAATGGATCCAATTACATTCATAGAAAGAGCATTTTAATGAATTGCAAAATGCTGCATTTTTTTTTAGTTTGCATAAAGCACTTGAACTGCATTTTCCCTCTTCTGAGTCCTTTAGTGTTTACTGCAGGTGGAAGAGTTGTGGTGCAGTAAACAAAAGTATATCACAACTGTAGGCTTATAAATAATTTAGAATACTGAGCAGAATTAATTAGAAATAAAGTCATTGTGCACCATAAATCAATAAAAGCAGGGAATTTGGGGGAAGCAAGGAGGTTGCAGTAATGTTGTTTTTTTAAGCATTATAGAGGAATGAGCTTGTTCCTTAATAAACTGATACCCTTTTTCTTATTAATATTCTGAAATAGGAGTGATGCATGAAACAGTCAGAAATAATGGCAAACCTGTAGCTACTCAAGTTAGTAAAACTTTCTGCCATTGCACTAAGAATAAACCTATCCATTCTTAAGGAAATCAGCCCTGAGTGCTCACTGGAAGGACAGATCGTGAAGCTGAGACTCCAATACTTTGGCCACCTCATGAGAAGAGAAGGCTCCCTGGAAAAGACCCTGATGTTGGGAAAGATGGAGGGCACAAGGAGAAGGGACGACAGAGGATGAGATGGTTGGATAGTGTTCTCAAAGCTACCAGCATGAGTTTGACCAAACTGCGGGAGGCAGTGGAAGACAGATGTGCCTGGCGTGCTCTGGTCCATGGGGTCACGAAGAGTCGGACACGACTAAACGACTAAACAACAACAACTGATTGAGGAGGCACACACAAACAGCTATGTTTTAACAAAATAGGAAGTTGCCTTACACCAAGTTGGACAATTGGTCAAACAAGCATAGTATTGTCTACCTTGCCTGACAGGCATCTCCAGGGTTGCAGACAGGGGCCTTTCCCAGACCTACATGGTGATGCTAGAGACTGAACCTGAAGTTTATGAATGCAAAGCAGATGCTCTATGACTGAGCTACAGCACATATGTCACAAATGAACATGAGCGGTTGTCTCTTCACAGCAGCAGTGACAGACACATCTTTTCCCAGCCCAACCCTATCCAAGTTTAACTCAAACTTCCCACTGAATTCAATTCACACATAATGTTGCAGCCTAAATCTCAGACGGCCCAAAATGAGAGATGCCTCAAGAATCATTGTGGGTGGTGAAACAGTTATAGCTGTTAATGATATTAGATTTTTTTGTATCATTATTTTAGATGTTATGATTAATTATTATTGTTATTATTTTCTTATTTGTATCCTGCCCATCTTGCTGGGCGGCTCCCAAAAGAACACTAAAAACAGAATAAAACTTCAGACATTAAAAACTTCCCTAAACAGGGAAAGTTATGTGGAAATTGTTTTGATTTGATTTTTTTTATTGTTTATGACTACTTTAGTTATTTTTGTAATAATACATTGTAAGCTGCCTTGAGCATGTTTTGAACTGCGTTAAGGTGGCATACAAATAAAAATCTGTATGTATTCATTTACACAATACAAAAACAAATAGGCTTTAAATGACAGACACTGCTCTACATATCTGTAATCTTGAAAATGTTTTCCTTCTGCAGCCAAGCAGTCTTGAGACTCCAGATTCAGAACAGGAATATTCTACGTCATCCACATTATAAGAGTTCAGCAGGCCTTCAAACACGTTTCCTCATTCTATCCATTTAATCAGCTGAACAGCAAATTTCCACCTGTGTTTATGCTGGCCCATCCCTCTCCTCCTAATCCTTTTTCCTTTGGCAGAACTGTTCAAAATACCAGGAAATCAACGTAAGGAGAGGCTTGCTGGATCAGTCCAAAGCCCTATCTAGTCCAACATTCTGTTTCCCACAGTATCCTACCAGGACATGAAAGTGATAGCCCTATTTCCCTGTTGTTCCCTAACAACGTGTATTCATGAGGCACAGGCAGCCTCCCTGAATCTATGTAATCCTGCTTTAAAGTTAAGCTGGTGGCCATGGTGCTGTGTGAAGAACTTCCTTTCCTTACTTCTGAATCTCCCACAATTTGCTGAACCTAGCAGTTCAAAAGCACGTCAAAGTGCAAGTAGATAAATAGGTACTGCTCCGGCGGGAAGGTAAACGGCGTTTCCGTGCGCTGCTCTGGTTCGCCAGAAGCGGCTTAGTCATGCTGGCCACATGACCCGGAAGCTGTACGCCGGCTCCCTCGGCCAATAAAGCGAGATGAGCGCCGCAACCCCAGAGTCATCTGCAACTGGACCTAACAGTCAGGGGTCCCTTTACCTTTACTATAAACCTGAGTTCATAGTACTGTGAAAGAAGAAAAACTCTATCTCCTTTTTCCACATCATACTTGACTTCGTAAATGTTTGTCATGTCTCCCCCCACCCCGCTTACTCTACTATTTCCAAGCTTAAAAGCTCCAAATACTGTAACATTTCCTCATAAGGGAGTTGCTAGAGCCCCCTGGTAATTTGCTTTTCAAACTGAACAGTCTACAGTATCATTTTGAGAGGTAGCAACCAGAGGTCTGGACAGCGTTGTGAGTGTAGTTGCAATAATGATTTGAATAAAGGCCAATGGTGCAGCTAGGTAATTTTAGACACTGTTTTAATTTCTCCACCACCTGCTTTGGACAGCCATGTGTATTACTTTAGGAAAAAAATAACATTCCCCCACTTTCTACCACACTCCATTCCATGCTTTGCAACTGCTTTTAAATTCTTAAAGTTGGAGCAAAAAAAAATATATCAAAAGTTTGCTAATCCCGATTTTTAAAAAAACCATACCGTGAGCATGTGCAGATTTTAAACTCACATAACTTACAGCATAAACAAAACTACAGGAGTAAAATAGGATTTGCTACTACTGTCCAGATGCTAAGCACATTTACTTGAAAGAAGCAGTCTTTTATTGTAGAAAAGGATAATATCTTGTGTTGAGTCCGAGGTTGTGCTATATGATGGGGGGGGGGACACCTGCCTGTGAATTTATAACTGTAAAATGGGATTCCTGCAGAAAAGGTGCTATAAAACAGTCAGACTTGCTTCTTTGTTAGGTAAATAGCCTGTGAGGTAAATAGGTCTGTTAAGTATCTGGTTTGTTATGTAAGCTTGGGGCAAAAGATGTTTCCATGGAAACCAAGTAGCTGAAAATCTTTCTGTAAAGGGACATGTTATCCTTCCTCTTCCCTTTGCTGGCTGGAGGTGATGTAATCAAGGCTGTGTATAAGAAAAGGACTAAAAGAAACAGGCAAACTTGGTACTACAAAGAATGAAAGAAAAACAGAGACCTGACTTGCTATTTGTGCTGAATCCAAAGTTACTGTTTTAGTTCCCTTCTTCCTAAACCCAACAGGGGAGCAGGATGCATTGGAGTGTTAATGCGTACTGTGAGCTTACCATCTTATGCCTGGTGCTGAAGTGACTTCAAAGCAATCTATTACAATCTACTGCAGCCTAACAGGATGGTCCCTCTGGAATTTGTCTCTCTCACACACACACACACTTGTAAATCTGTCTGTTTGGCTACCCAGAGCTGAAATACATGACCTTTCACCCAGCCTTTCAAACACATACATTTGGAGAGGAGGATCCCTAAAGAGAGAGAGAGAGAGAGAGAGAGAGAGAGAGAAGACATGAAATACAGGACAAAACAGTATAAACACAGGACATAGCATTTTACATTGAAATACGGGACAATACAGGACAGGTGGCAACACTAAGTGCTTTGAGCCCAAGTTTGCTGAAGAGGGGCAAGGATAAACACTTTTGGGGTACCCCTCCATTGAAGACTGCAAGTGTAAATACGCTTAAAATAAACTGTATTTCTCAAAGTCACTAGTCTCTATTGTGCCTCAATTGTCCCAACAAGAACACAATCCCGGGCAAGCACCTGGAACCCCCTGGAATCTTGTTACTGCTCAGCAGAGACTGGGATGGCACCTTTGTAAGAATATTTTCTCTTTTAAACACATGCCTTTCTCTCTCTTTTTGGTGGCAACAGGCTTGAATTCAGACATTAAGGCACGACTGCCCTGGAAAAGTGTCGCACTAACACTAGATAGCACCTAACACCATGGACAACTTCAGCATAATTCTAACAATTTCAACGTATTTTGGCACATATCTGTACACGTAGAATTACAACCAATTTCCATTTTATTTCGCAATCCCACTTGTCTGCCAAACTGTTATTAAATACTGCTTCTGATGCAGGATAGCGCCCACACCATTGCAACAGTGCACCCTTCCAAGCCCATCTTTTCTCCACTTGGGTCACCTGTCTCCCAACTGCATATGGTCATGCTTCACCATGCTCATTTGTGCAGAAGGAAGGGCAGCCAGGTGAAATAGATCTTCACCTAGTCTTCCTCATCTTGCAGATATAACCTATTCCATAGGGCTGTGCTTTTCAAAACATCTTGCACTAGAGCTGTCCTTGAAAGCTTACCATCCGTTAAGCAAATGCTATGTCTGAGAGTCTCCACGTGCTCTTCTTGCTGCATGTGGTAAGGACATAAAAAGAGCCCTGTTGCATCTGAACAAAAGGCCGTATAGTCCAGCACCCTACTTGTAACAGCAGCCACTAGATCAGCCAGATAAATGGATCTAACTGAACATACCTGCCTTAATTTTTTTTGTATTTCATTTTTGGAATGCCATTTGTATTCCATCTTTCTCTCCAGAGAGCTCATGAGGCTGGTCTGTGTGGGGATTTGGATGCAGGTCTTCCCAGTTCTAGGATTCTTTGGAGGAATCCATGAACTTCAAATGTATGGTGTGGATGTGACCCTAAACCGAAAACCCAATGTACCTTACCACACTGACTCTCTACTGTCACCATCCTTTCCCCCTGGCATAGCAATCTACAACATGAAGACATAAGCAGGAACTTGTAATGTTCTGCAGCATAAGGAAACCAAATTAAAGAAACAAGTTTTATGACTGCACACTGGCACCATGAATATTGCTTTTTAGAATGCATGTATTTGCCTGCCTCTGTGCCTTCCAACTAGTTGAACCATTTAACTAACTCAGAAGTGCCAAATCAAAATGGATTTAAATGAGCCATGTGCCTAGCAATGCCAACACACTTCTCTAAAAACCTCCTCCGTGGCAACACTGTCACATTGATGCCATGTGTCCTTTTTGCTTGACAATACGTGCTGACACAATTGCAGCATGAATGAATCACAGGAGAAAAGTATTCTCCTGCCTTGACTTTATCACTATGCACCCCAACTGTGTGTATTCTGCATATGGAGATTGTGGTGGGCGTACAATAGGGTGATTCACAGATTTGTATAAAAGGCAATTGTTGGGCTCTATTGAAGAGTATGGCATGATCTCATGCCTCGGTGGTACTGGCACAGTAGACGGTGATTTCATCTAGCATGGCCTTCTCATAGCCAGAGCTTAGTAAATCACTTTTATGTTTAATACCGATACATGCCACCCCAATCTCCACGAGCAGTGTGAGATTCCAGGGTTCCCATACACTAACTCAGGGTGTGTGTTTCCTTTTGGGAATAAGGCACAGCAAAGACTGTGGTGTCTTTATGATATATGGTTTTATTTACACATGTATACAACCTGCACCAAGAGGGTGGGGGGACTGGACTGCAGAGCATTCACATCCTGTGTGGGTCTGCCTTCCCTCATAAGGGAAGCACTGGATTCCAAGGAAAGCAAAAAGCCACCCTCTGTGTCTCTTTGTTCAACCTGCCACCCCCAGCTCACTTGGAGTTCTGCCACCCTTCTCCTTTTCATTGCTAACCAGCTCCAAGGATTCTGCCCCCCCCCCCAAAGCCTATGTCATTCAAAGTTGAAACACTAAACCTGGCCTTTGTCTCTGCCCACTAGCACCCAGCAAAGAAGGGCTCCCACTCCTCTTTGTCAGGTAGTCTTGCCCTCTTGACGGTTTCCTTGATGGGTTATCACTAGCTTTTGTTCCCTGCTTATGGCCCATCCAGGTAGCTCTGCCCAGCTGGCTTGGCTCCTTAGCATTACCAAATCCAGAAAGTTTCTGTGTTTGGCAAAGTTTAACCAAACTTTGATTATTTCTAACTTTTACTAAATTGTAACAAATTCAGGGGGCTCCCCCCCACCAGGCACAAGCTCATAACAATACAATATCAATCTTCAGAATGAAAACCACAGCACAACCTTCTGATGAGTTGCATTTAGCTTACAATCTCCTGTATTAGCTTTCTAAGGTGGTACAGATACGGAATCATAGTTTTATCCTATGGAAGTAAGTATGGAATATACATGATGCCAACAGGAGCAATTGCTCCAGGTCTATTTCCTTGTGGTTGGAATCCTAAGCTTTTCAGTCCCATAGTCTATACAGCTTTGAGAAAAGAAAGTGTTAAATCTTACTCACTGAATCCTCCTCACTTACTCCTGCCAACAGTGATCAAGGATGGAGAGCAGCTTCAACAATGGCTGCCTCTCACTTTCATTCCTTCTTTAAACTACTACTGTAAACTACTGAGGTACACTTCACTTTTCTTATGGTAGAACAGGAAAACCTGTGGGGAACTTGTGGAAAAACTGCATCTGGAAAACTAGCAAGTCTTATGAGCTACTGCCCATCATTTTGGAAAAAGGGAGCTATGTTGTTGCTCCTGGCTCTCCAATCATCTTGTTGCTCCTGGCTCTCCAATCAGGTGGTGCCTAACACAAATGGTCACAGGTTAACCAATGCAACATGATGGTTTCCATGGGCTGTATTATTCTGAGATACACCTTGGGCATTCACTTCAGATAGCAGAGTTTTACTTCCCCACCCCCTTTCCCAAGGCTGCCTTATACATACTGTATATCGAAAGAAGAATTCACCAAATTAACATCACAGGAACCTTTTGACCATCTTTTTAGAAAGTCAGTAAAATATTAATCACTGGGCATTAATTTCAGATGCAGTTAAGGAAAAATTGAATCAAGACACAAGCTGTACTGTTACAGTAGTTAATCAGCAGAAAATTACATTGGAAAAATCCACACGGGGCCTTGTGACTCTCCCTTATGCAGCACAATAGCTATGAGTAAATAAATCTGTGAGAGGAGGGGGAACTACGACAGCACTTTTTACTCAACATCTGAACTGCAGATGGTCAGAGAATGTCAATGGGAACAGATCTGTGGATTCAGGGCAATAGTTATCAAAATGGTAGAGAATAGAAATGCATTTGCACACGCAAGCTGAAGAAATATGGCACACAATTCTTTAACAATGATGATATGATTTAAAACCTACTTTAGGAACATCTGTTTAATTTGTGGTTCTTTATAGTCCAATCTACTGTCAGGGCTAACTTTGAGTATCTGCTAAGACCCCTTGAAAGTGCCCTCTAGCGCCACACTTTCAGGAGATAGAGCAGATAGTCACACCAGCTGTGACGTAAAATAATGACTGGTAAAATTTCCCAGGAGTTCCAGGTTTGAGGCGGTCCAGGCAGAGCCTGAAAATTTCTAAACAGCTTCTCCAACTACTTCAAATACTAAAGGGCACAATTCAAAACACCAGGAAGTACTTGTTGGGCCAAACCAAGGCCCACATAATTCAGTATTGCTATCCCAAGACTAGCCAGTCAGACATCTTTGGACAATCAGGGCATGAAGGTGATTGGCCATCCACCTAATTTCGTATTCAGAGGAACACTGCTTTGTACATGGAAGTTTCTACTTGTGTCTGCCAAGCATCCCACACTGACGGAGCAATACGAGGCATACTGAAAGGAAGAAGTAGAAATACGCAGAGGGAATAAGGGTTGCAGAAGCTGTGTCAGCTTTGGACAGGCAAATTCATGTATACATGCACTTTCCTGGAATAGGAGATAAACCCGTGAGCAGCATGTGTGTTGGTGGGGAAGGAGGATTTTCTAAGGAGTTCAGAGAGCAGTTCAGTTACAGTCCGAACTTATTGCAGTGCCTGATAGTAGGATATTTCCTGATGCATCATGGAGTATTAGTATGCTGGACAACTTAGCAGCAGGCACTGAGCCATAGCTCGGCATGTTATAACTGACACCGTAAGAACTGAACAGGGCATTCTTGACACATTTCCCATAACACTACTTTGATTGTAGCTCTTTTCACAACAATTCAGACAATAAAACTAGTAGAAGTGTGAATTAGGCTCACAATCATATTTACCATACAATTCACTTTAGCATGCTCAATGATAAGGAACCTCTGTGTTTACATGTGCAAGCATGAGAGAATACAAACTCTGGCTTTGAGAGAATTATCCTATGTTATGTTAGAATACCCTTACCTCCAAGGAATTCTCATCTGAACAAGCTTATTTTGGTGAGGCTAGGTAATGAACTCCAGCGGGACCAATTATGTAGCCTAAAAAAACAGGAAGTGAAGCATATTTCCTCTTGCTTCGTAGTGGTGAGACTGAGCACCGTAATGGTTTCAGTAAATGGATCAAATGTATTTTGTTCCCATTTGCCCTTGAATAATGACCATTTAAATGGAAAGGACATTTAAACCTAGTTCATGAGCAGTCATCTAACCAATTCTTCACCAGCACACCAACTTGTGTTATGCTTTTTAACTGAAAAGAACTGAGTTCTTCAGAAAGTGAGCTGAATAAAATGCTGAGTTGTTTGGGGCTTGTGGTTACAAAACTAGAATCAGAGGAATAAATTTTCCATGCGTTATTGGAAAGGTTTAGCTATAGCAGCACTATTACTCTTAATAGAGTCACATGGTTAAATCCCTGTGCATTATGCTAGAAGCCTACTGCATCACATTACTTTAATACACATTCTTTGGTGATTTAATTTACTTCTGCCACCAGGAGGGGGCATTTTCATTGGATTTATTACATTCAAAAATATCTTCTCCTCACTCCTCTAAGGCAATAGATTAAATTTGATTAAGGAGTAGTACACTGTTTACATACATGGTTTTCATATAAAGAGCCATGGCTCTCCCTTTTCCTCTTTGGCTTAAGTTCTTACCAAATGCACTTTTAGAAATAAACCTGTCTGAGAAGCAGTATTTTTAATCTATCTGTCTATCATCCATCCATCCATCCCTCTATGATTAAACATGTAGATTATATTTTTTCATTGTTGGCTATCCTGCAGTTAAGAGCCCGAGTGCAACTGTTATCTCATCGCTACTCTGCAACCCTTTATGACTTAATCTGAACAAAAAAGTTGTGGTATTTATTTACAGTATTTTCAAAGGAACTATGTCAACATACAGAATTTAAAGTGCTCAGTAAAAACAACAACCACCCATGAAACAATTTACTGTTCCACAATCAATAGAAATTAGCTGCATAAATATAACAAGAACAATTTACTCACTTTTACCCCTAAAGACACAACCAAATTTATACTAGTTATCACCACCAAAACTTTTTATGCCCCAAATCTTTCAATTATATTTAATGATTAACAAGGAGCAATTTTAAGTCTCACTTTATGCCAAAGCAGCTTGTTTGGACTTAATGCTAGGCCGTCTTCCCAGATCCACCACCCTGAACAAGGTAGATGAAAAAGCAAGTTGCTGCTTGAAGCATGACTCTCCATCGACTTTTTTTCCAATGTTGCTGCTTTCAGAACTATCTCCTCACAAAGAAGCAGAAGTCAGCTCTACCTCCAAAGGCAGTCATGAACATTTACCCTCCATTTGTACACAACACAAGAACACAAAAGAACCGAAGTTAATATGTATTACTGCCTCTGAAAAGGTATGAATTTATTTGGGATTAGGTATGACCAAGTGTTGCAAAACCCCTTCTGTTTCTTAAAAGTATTAATGAATATTAATTCTCACTACACAATACTTCTGTAAATGGAGCTGATGCATTATCATAAGCCATAGCATAGATAGGGCTTCTCAGATTGCCACTGTAATTCACCATAACCGTAGAAGGAAACTGTCGTGAATTCATTCCAACACTATGCACAGATTAATTCCTTTCCTCTTAAACTGTAACAACACAAGGAAACAAAGAAAAAGGAATTTCAGAATACCTATGCAGACCAACGCACGCTTTCAGTGGGAAAACATATTGTACTGCAAATCAAATATAAGAGCATGAAGCCCAACATTGCAAATGATGGCAGAGTTTCTTGAAGTAAAAAATGAAAGTGTATGTGTGTGTGTGTGTGGAGTAGCTACAGTGGGATCTCGGGTTAAGTACTTAATTTGTTCTGGAGGATTGTTCTTAACCTGAAACTTTTCTTAACCTGAAGCACCACTTTAGCTAATGGGGCCTCCCGCTGCCGCCCCACTGCCAGAGCACAATTTCTGTTCTCATCCTGAAGCAAAGTTCTTAACCCGAGGTACTATTTCTGGGTTAGCGGAGTCTGTAACCTGAAGCGTATGTAACCTGAAGTGTATGTAACCCGAGGTACCACTGTATTTGACAAACCACAGATTAACTGGCAGAAAAGAAACACCCAGAGTACTACAGACCATATAATACTGTAGTAATGTTTATTGACAGAACCACACATTAGTAAAGAAGGAGCAGCACATTTCCTCAAAATGCCTATATTTAATTATGTGGCAGACAATTACGCCTTAAGATGAAAACTGTTGTGTGTGAAGAAAATGGAGGGGACCCAAAATATATCTTGCTTTCAAGCTGGGGACTTGCTTTCTACCTCTTCCAATTCTTAATAAATAGAGGCACTCACAAATTGAAAACCAGTTTTTCCCTTTAACCTCTAGCCGTGCCTTATAAACTGGACAGAAGAGAGTCATTTGAGATATAAGAAGACACTGAATTCAATTTCAGCTGCACAATATCGGTTTCCTTTGACATGGGTTCAAGTACCATTAACTGGAATTGCAATTTAGCCCCTCCATTCTACAGCTTCTTGAACGAAATTCTAGTCATGGCTTTCAGAGATTATGACTAGAAGGCAGATTGGCCAGAAAGGAAGGAGTCAATCCTGATGGTACAAGGCAGCTCATCACACAGCAACGGCTAACTATTTGGATACTTCAAAGAGCGGCAGCAAAATGGTTTTCCATGCTATGTGTTGCTACTGATATTACTTCTAGAAAATAATGCTTATTGAGGTCTTTTTATGCCTTCTTTCTGTCTTGTAATAGGACAACCCTACCCCAAACAAATAGAAAGGAGAAACAAGGGGTGAATCTACCAAAATTAATAAAAGTGTGTTAGTTTGTTGACATATGAACATTAACTTATTTTATACAACAAAGGAAATTATAATAGTGCAACGTATCTTCTGTCTTGTAAACCCAATCATCATCATCATTTTATTATTTCTATGCTGCCCAACTGACTGGGTTGCTCCAGCAACTCTTGAGCAGCTCCTAACAAAATATTAAAAACACAATAAAACATCAAACATTAAAAACTTCTCTATGCAGGGCTATCTTCAGAAATTTTATACAAGTCAAATAGTTGTTTATTTCTTTGACTTCTGATGGGAGGGCGTTCCACTGGGCAGGTTTCAATAATATGCATATCTACTCAGAAGTAAATTCCCTTAAATTCAGAAAGACTCACTTCCAAGTTAGAGCATATAAGATTGCAGCACAACTGTATGGAAAATATGGCATCTCTGAAGATGCGGACCTACTGGTGACAGTGAAAAAGGCAACTCTCAGTAGATTTTCACCACATTGTCCTTGGCCCCATCTGGTTCTGCCACAGTTGGATTTATAAAACAACAACCCACAGGCACTCTTGACCATCCTGTTAACTCACAGAATGGACCCAAGTAGCCAGACTCATTTCACAATTAAATTTTGTCCTTCCAAGGAAGGGAGCTTGTTATACCACATGTTGAGACTCTCCTTTCTTGAGACCTACCTGGAGACCTTTACCCACTTTGGATTATCTGACTTTCTTTATCTGTGCTGTGCTTTCTCTAATTTAGAGGTGGGCAGCCTCTGGCTCTCCGGATGATTATTGCACTACAGCTACCATCATCCCTGACCACTGAGCATGCTGGCTGGAGCTAATGGGAGTTGGGCTTCAACCAGCAGTGTGCTGTCAGTGGACTAGGGAGTGAGTTAAAGTGCCTTTCCTACAAAGAAATAACAAAGCAGCTAGAAATGTTTAGCTTATGGGAGAAAGAAGATGAATATAAAACACTCAGGACAAATGGGGCATGGCCAACAGCTTTCCAAGGCATCAGGTTGGCTGCTGATGGAAACAGAATAATGAATCTTTGAGAAAATAATCATTGCCTGGCTAGATCAGATCAAAATGCACATGGTTCCTTCCCAAGGAAAAGTGGTCAATCATTAAATAAGAACAAGAGATTTTCCGACTTTTCCCTCAGCCCACCTGTTCCATCAAATGAATTGTTAAGGGCTTTGCGCCTTTTTGTGTATTGCACGGTAAAGCCTCCATTCCTTAAAAGCTTTAACTAACTACTAATACATGGGACACGGGTGGCGCTGTGGGTTAAACCACAGAGCCTAGGGCTTGCCGAACAGAAGTTCGGCAGTTCAAATCCCCACGACGGGGTGAGCTCCCATTGCTCGGTCCCTGCTCCTGCCAACCTAGTATTTCAAAAGCACGTCAAAGTGCAAGTAGATAAATAAGTACCGCTCCAGTGGGATGGTAAATGGTATTTCCATGCACTGTTCTGGTTTGCCAGAAGCGGCTTAGTCATGCTGGCCACATGACCTGGAAGCTGTACACTGGCTCCCTCGGCCAATAAAGCGAGATGAGCACTGCAACCCCAGAGTTGGCCACGACTGGACCTAATGGTCAGCGGTCTCTTTACCTTTACCTAATACATGGGAATAGCCAGGGGGTGCAGCCGCACCACCCAAATCAAGTAAATAAATAAAAATACTTAACTAACTGACCATTGTGTTGCAGATAACTTGGTTCTGCCCCCGCAACATAATGCCTGCCCTCCCCCTAAAATAAATCCTCGCCACACCCATGCTACTAAAGTAGTGTTAAGGATAAGAATTCTAAAGATTACTAAAAAAAAACTGCCCAAAGTTATCGGGGGGGGGGGGGGAAATACAACATATTCTAAGTAATCCAAAGGACCTAGATTTCTGAGAACTGCCTTATGTAAGGATGAATCTCTTCTGCTCATTGTCAGGGAATTGACAAGGCTACAGCCATAAGTATGCCTTACTGCAAGTAATCAAAAACAACATTTTAAGATTTCTTATTTAATCAGGTTTGATTTGAAATTTCCTGTTTGTCTAACTGGCCAGAGTCAATTCCCTGCATCTTCATTCACAGGCAGCTTGCAATTGGCTTTTGTGCAAACAGAACTTGAATGCGATACTGATGCTATAAATATGCTCTTTCTCCCTCCTAGTTGGCAAGCTTTCTTAATTCATCTGGTGCAATGAAGTGAATAGGCTGTTTAAAGCTCCTGGGAAGAATTGTGATTTCTCTCTAAACACTGCAGGCAGGAACCCAGCAGCATCCAGCAAACCAGAGGCTGTTCTTAGAGAACCTCTAAGCCAGTTTACACAATGCTTTATTTTTCCTGTTTCTTAAGAGAGGCGTTTTGAGGTGATTCTGTCCAGCCAAGGGAAAGTAGCTATCCTTGACTGACAAGTTAACCTAATTAACCTGTTAATGAACTCTGCTCTGTAGATGCTATTCCTGATATCCCCAGAGAGTAGAAAGTGGGGGAAGTTCTTAACAGGCAGATGGAAAATATCTAAGAGAGATGTTTATTATGGTCTGTGTTGGATGCTCCTAAAAGAAAACAAATAACATGACTTTGAAAAGTAAAGGGGTTTGGTTTGAATATTCAAATAAGGACCCAGTTCCTGGGAAAAGAAAATGTTTCTTGTGATTAAGCAAGATAGTTAAAGGCACAGAATACTTACCAAAAAGAGAGAGAGAGAGGCAGCAACTCTAAAAGACATTGCCCCATCAATATTGATTTCCTATCTTTATAGGAAACCTTTTAACCACAAGACCTTCCAAGCCAGTTTATAATAAAAACAAACTAAAACAATTCAAGTCAAAAAGGAAATCTAAAAAAATCCCAATAGACTTAACTCAAATATTCTCCTTATGCTGGTAAGCATCACATGACCAAAGCAGGCAGAACAGCTGCAAAAATAACTTGGTTATTTTTCCCCTCTAAAGAAAGGAACTGTGCCTGCTGAACCCCTATTGGGGAAGCATTCCAAAGAACAATAGGGTGGTATCCAATATTTACCATAGTACACCCATTGAAATCAGTGAATTTAAGTCTTTTTATTCCAACTGATCTATTAAAATACTGTCATTAAAGAAAAAAAATATTCTAATTTATATAGCACCATCAATGACTATTTCACATTAGAGTAACCTAAGTACAAAATTGTAGGAGCATATAAACTAAGGGTAGTATTCAACAAAGTCATCCCATTAGTGCAAGGACTTCTGCACACTAGCTACAATGGCTATATCCTCTATTGTCAGAGGCAGCATGCCTCTTTATGACAGATGCTGGGATGACAAGTAAGGAAAGTGCTGTTGCACTCAGGTTCTGCTATTGGGCTTTCCATGGGCATCTGGCTGGTTCCTATGAGAACAGGATGATGGACTAGATGAGCTACTAGCCTGATCCAGCAACCTCTTCTTATGTCTGTCTTCAAAATGAGCCTTCCTCTCCCTGCATGCCCCTACATCTACTCTGAGGGTTACTTCTACACTCCAGAGCAGATTGGAGGGGCCCCAAGGGCATGCAGAGACAGGAAGTCTCATCACACAGGCAAAGCTCCTTGTGCTAATGGAATGACCTTGCTGGATACAAACATGTAAAACTCACTCCATGGAGTCTGCAAAAAGAAAATTTAAAATATCCCAGCGGTGATAAAGGGGGGGGGAGGAGAACAAGAAGTCTTGTGGTACTTTAACACATAAATGGATTATGGTACAAGCTTTTTCGATGCATGAAGTGTTTTCCAGAAAGGTCAGGACACGAATTGTAGAAAAATATAAACATTATCATCAGTGGGGTTATTCACAAAAAACAGTTGTTGTTAACACAGATATTCTGGCATATCATTTACTTCTGACCTCAGTTTTGACAATTTCCTTTCCTCACTCTGCAACCAGAAACTCAGGATAAAATTTCATGTATTTGATGCAGACCATTGGTCTTCATCTTGTAGGTTGGGACCCAGTACCTGGTAAGATTCTGATCTAAGGTGGGTTGAAACAGCAGCACTGCCACCATACAATTATATGCTAAAAAAGAGAGGATCTTAACATGTTTGGTTAAAGGAGGGTCTCAGATCAGAAAAAGTGAAAGATTTTGATGCAGTTATGAGGCATGTTCAGAATATGAAGCCTCATTCTAATGAAAACTTGTCAACAGGAGTAAGCCCCACTGAACTCATGCCCAGATTCACACTGTAAGTGTTGGAAGGATACTTGCCCAGCTAGAATACAAGGTCAGTAATTATTTCAGATAAGTCAAACCCAATTATGCACACCTGATAAGGCTATTTCAACAAAACCTAAGGACTGAAGAAGCAAAACTTTCATCCTTTATTTATTGCAAATGTCCACTGAAGAGCACAGGAAATGAAATATGTTGGGATTTGATATTTTCTATCAAAATCTTGACATCACCAAGTGAATAATTTTAGGCAGCATATTTATCCTTTTGGCTTGCACCCTGTTAAGTTGGAGGCTACATATATCCCCTAGGAGGTCAGATACAGCAGATATCATAGTTCTGTTTACAACATCCTTTGGTTAAGAAACCCATGTTCATGTTAAAACGTGTTGATAACCTTTGGAAGTTAAAAGTATGATTACAGAAAAATTCTATAGCTCAATACTGTTGTTGTTGTTTTTTAGCTTAGTTTCCTTTTATACAACAGTGAAGTGAAAAAGGCAATTTGAAATGCTAGATATACTTTCATGAGACATTCACAGATTATATATTTTTCTAAAGATAATTTTGAAGGCAGCTATTTACAGCCCATTTGCTCCAGAGCAACCACATGAAAGTCAATGGGCCTGCGGTGGAAGGAGTGTTCTGGAGGTGTGTGAATGTTGTGGGGATGGGGAGGGGGAAGGAAGTCCTTACCTCCTCGCTCTGCTATCAGCTGCCCTCAGGTCACCTCCGGTGCTGAATCACTCTCTTCAGTCAAGCTGCCTATTCTGTCAAGTGTTAGCAAGAATTGCAGCCCAGGTTCCAGAGGAGCTGACTTTGCAGAAGAGGGGGCAGTGAAATTAGCGAAGCGGCAAAAGCTACTGCGGCATTTGAGTATCAGTAAAAATTAAGAAACTTAGGGGAAGTGATTGTGAAGAAGAGAAGGGTGAGGGGGGGGAAGAGGTGATTAGGAAGAGGAAAGGAACAAAGAAAACAATCAAGGGGTCGCACTTCCTGCCTGTCAGCTCCCTTCGGCTAACATACTTCCTCACTCTTTTTTTCAACTCCCAAGCCAGCTTGTTTTCGATAACCTCTTCAGTCAGAGCGCTGGGCCGCTGCCAAAAGATTCCCCACATGAGCTCCTCTCTCTCTCTCCCTCCAACCTGATGCAGCCTCGGCTGAGGATGCAGCGTTCCCACTACGAGGGTGCAAGTGTTGGTGCTTGTGCGTGGAGGGGAGTATTCCCACTCCGAGGCGAGGCCGGTTGCTGCTTTGCTAGCCAGCATTTGCCCACCAGAGGAAGCGTCACTCCAGGCATATGGCTAGAGAGCCGCCGCCTGGAGCGCCGGGTGGCGATGTTTTCAAAACAGCCTCGGCTCTTGGCAGCAGCAGCCTTCTGTCAGCCCATCGCTCTCCATAACATCCCCGCTTCTCTCTCTCTCTCCTCCCGGGGGAAGGAGGGGAGCGGGGCGGGCGGAGAAGAGCGCGCGCCCGCCCGCCCGCCCGCTGAGGCATTAGCAATCGGCTTCTCCCTCATGCCATCGCACCCCTCCCTCCTTTCCTCAGAAATTCAATATTCTCTTATGAAATCCAGGAGCAGCAGCAGGGCAAGTTCAGCGCTACCAGAGAGGAGAAATTGAGAGAGAGAAACAGGAGCATGGTGGTCGGCAAGCTGCCTGCAGACGTGGTTGATTTGGCGGGCGGGAGAGCACAAAAACCAAACTCCGGTCGCCGCTGGGATTTGTGGTCGGCCAGCTCGGTGGGGGCTCCGAGCAAGACGGGGACTAAAACATTTTTTTAAGGAAGGGAAAGAACTCGCCCCTCGTATCCCAAACACACTTCGCTTTCTGCACGCGCGCGCGCAGTAACCTCCCGCCACCCCGCTTACCTGAGGGGCTTCTGCCTGGCTGGGCTGCCCGTCAGTTTCGCAGAGATGCCGCCCAGTTCGGAGCGGGGTGCGAGGTGGGGGAGGAGCGGGGCGCTGCCCTCTCTCCAGCCCACCTGCCCGCCCGCGAAGGTGCCGCTCCACGGGGCTCCTCCCGCGTTCCCGCCAAAACAGGAGCAGCTCTGAGGCGACCCGCCGCTGGCTCGCTCGCTTCCCCCCGAGGGCGCCGCTCCCCCGGGGGCTATCTCCACCCCTCCCAGGCGCACAGGCCCCCGCTGTCGCAGCCCGTCCTGCAGCTATCACCAGCCGTCCCTCCCCCTGCTCCTCTGGAGCCTGCTTCTCAGCCGTTCCGGGGCGTGTATGTGTTTGTGTGTGGGAGAGAGAAGGGGAAAGAGAGAGGGAGAGAAGCGCTCTGACTGACTCGCCTGCCCGGCGGCCCGGGGAGGAGGACGCCGCGGCGGTAGCGGCTCAATCAGCTAGTCAGCAGGAGGCAGCGGGGCGCTGCGAGGAGCTGCTCGCCAAGACCAGCTCCTCCCCAGAGTCCGCGAAGCCGCGCGACGCCCAGTCAGGGAGCGGCGGCACTTTGCAAACTCCACGCAGGACCCCGCGCACTGGCGCGCGTAGGGAAGCGGCTGTTGCTGCTTAAGAAGAGCAGCGACGGGAGAAGCGGAGAAAGCGCCTGCGTGAGCGGAAGACCGGGAGGGGGTGGCAAGCAAGAGGGGAGAGAGAGACCGACCGACCAGGAGGAGTTAACGAGGGAAGCGGCGGAGGTGAGGGAAACTAGCCTCAAGCGAACCACGGGGTTGTCCGCGGAGACTTTTCCTGGGGTTTTGTTGGCGAGGAGGAGCAGGAAGCGAGCCGGCGGCGGTTGCCTTAAGTGGAGAAGCGGAAGCCCCGCGCGCCACAGCCGCGCAATAGCCGGACCCTCTGGGTGTAGGTGCAGCAAGAGCAGCGAGCCCGGCCGGGAGCCGTAGGAGGGCCCGTGGGCAATGGCGGCTCGAAGTACGAGCAGCTGCGTCGGCGCTCCCTAGCCGAGAAGCGGACTTGCGACTGGGCGGGAAAAGGTGTAGCCGGACTGGTGCCTTGGCTTGGCTTGTTCGCGCAGCCGAGCTGAGCGTCCGGGCGCCGCCGCCGCCGCCGCCGGCCCTCTCGGCGCTTTGGCCGGCCCCCGGGGCCCCCCGACGTGCGTGGCGGGCAGCCGGGCTGGCCGGGGCCATGGAGACCCCGGCGGAGAACCCGAGCAAGGCGGCGGAGTACCTCAAGGAGCTCAACAAGATCATCGAGACGCAGCAGGAGCTGCTGGAGAAGCAGAAGCTCCGGATAGACGAGCTCGAGCAGCAAGTGGCCAAGCTGTATCACGAGAACGCCCGCCTGCAGGACGAGCACCAGCGGCACCTGGCCACATGCAGGCTGCTGCTCCTGCAACAGCAGCACGCGGCCCTGCCCGCCTTGCCGCCGCCGGGGGACCTCCAGGAGAACGCCAAGGATGAGAAGTAAGGAAGCGGGGGCTTGCAAGGGACGCGGGGTGGTGGCAGCAGAGTGTACAAACCCGTCCGTTGGCCGGCTTTGCCAAACGTACAAGCGCATCTTGGAGTAACTGTGGTGCGGTATAGCCAGGAAATGTTTGCAGGGGTGAGAGGTTGGAGGTCCGAGGTAGGTACCCAAGGGAGTTTGGTTACCTACGGCGCTACTGGAGGGTACTTGGCCTCCGGTCTCTCTGCCCCGAGGGTCGTGGGACAAACGCAAGGAGTGAGGCAGGTTGTGCGGCTACGACTTCTGCGGAATCGACACCCCCCCCCCCCGACACACACACACCCGGTTCCTTTTGTGCTTAGGTATCTGCTTTTACTTGGTTGGTCCTTGTTCTTGACTTCTGATAGATGCGAGCAGAACTAGGAGGAGGCAAAGCAGCGCGCAGTTCTCTGGCATCCGCCCAGTCTTATTTCGCTTCAGCTGCAAGACTGGCGGAAAGCTGCAGCCTCCGACTAAATTCAGATTTGTTGCCCACCAGGGCCGACGGGATTACTCTGGAGTTAGAGCCTCGAGTCTTGCAGAGCTTGCCTGCAGGGGAAAACAAAACTGCCCTAGCGCTGGTCATATGTTCCTGGATCTAGGGGGCTTCCGAGAGGAAGAGATGTTTGGGAAAGGGATGTGCAGAATCCCGCCGGTGCTTCCTAGTTCAGGAGAAGGGGTTGTGCCTCTAGTCCAGAACGAGGCAGTGTGCTTAGTGGCGTTTGGTTGGTGACTCGGGAGGTGGAGTGAGGAAGAGCTGCTGATCCTGAAACTGACAGAATGACGGTCAGTAAACATTGGCAGGTGGCCACCCCCTTCCAAACTGTGACTAGTTCAAATCTAAACTTGTTGATCTTTGGAAACCTGTTTGCTCTCAATCCTGAGTCTATTTACAGAGTGCTTTAATCTTTAATTAATCATGTACTGCTCACTGTGCATGGGGACCTGCTTAAATGCATTACTGCTTAAAGTAAGGCCAATTCAGTAGTAGTTAAAGAACTACACATGCCGGACTCTCTCTCTTTACCTGCTTAAAATAGAATTTAAGTAGGAATGGAAAAGCCCATTTCTTACTTACCTTCACAGATTGAAATGTTTAAGACATTGGTTATCTGGCTCTTGGTATCAGGCTTGGCTTTTATGGTTCATGATAAACTTTTGGAAGCTCTTAAAAAAAACACCTTCCTCATCAAACTTTTATAGCTAGCTGCTTGGTTAGTTGCAGTATAGTAAGGAAGAAAGTAGATTTGGAGAAGAATATTTCTGCTTTCTGGGTCTGCATTGGTTCATTGATTTACCCCAGAATGAGGACCTGGGAACACATGTCTTCCAGGTTGTGGTTGGCTTCCAGCTTTCATCAACGCTGGCCATTGGCTGGTTGCTGCAGCTGATGGAAGTTTTTTTTTGGGGGGGGAGGGAGTCCAACAACATCTGGAGGGACACAGTTTCCCCATTCCTGAGGTAAATTGAATTAAAACCTTGTGATTGATAAATGGTGTCTTCACAATTGATTTTAGATCATATATCTAATTAACTATTTGTGTTAAAGTATTTATTGTAATGGTGGTTACCAATGTTAGATGGCACCTTAAAAAGAGGCATCCCCTTCTGAGTGAGAAGGCAGAAGGTGCCTTCTGATATGGCACCTGTTGTGTGACACACATGCGCATAATTTAAAAAACTAATCACTGTATGTTATCCTTTAGAATGTATGCTCAATGCCACAATTGTTTTTAACTTGGGTAGAATTAATTACACGATAAATTGATGTAAACTAATAATTGACTACGAGGGCTCTTTGGTATGCAGTTAGAACCTTGCAAAGGAAAGTGAAGGCTTTATTGTACTAAGGTTTATATACACGGAGTGTGATGTTCCAGATGTCCTGTAGAGACAGCAGTACGCATTTATCAAGGACAGATCATCAAGTAGTTATTTACATTCCTGCAGCATACAAAAGCTTTTGGTTAAACTACTTGGTTGCATGGATATATTACTAAAATTATACATTACTTACAAAGGTCATAATCTTTGTGTTTGATACTGTGTGTACAGATACCATTTTAAAAGAATGAACTCAAAGGGATAGTGTCAATTGCTTATGTGCAGAGCTGATTTCAACCAGGGAGTTAGGTTGTAGTGGATTATCTAAAACGACACTCTGCTCTTGTTACCATGTGTTATTTGGTCCCCACAGCTCAACTCTGTTTGGCAGGCTGTGTGTTTAAACTGCACAGTGTAGAAATGTGTTTAAGAGACTTCTTGTTCATATTTTGAATCTTGTCAATGCTCGTATCCAATTCCCCCCATGATAATGACCCCCCCCCATTAGATAGGGTGACATGCTTTCTTTATGCAGGGCAGTGCTATTCATTTTAGAAAACACAACTTCGAAGAAAGTGTGTTACCAGTAGCTTTAAAACGAATGGACCAGAAATGATAAAATGGTTTGAAACATACATAATAATAATAATAATAATAATGGAATATGCCAATGTGTGTGTCAGGGCAGCTCCTTCATCAGTTGAAAGGGCATGTGCCTGCTGGCAGGGAAGAAAATCTCTTGCTTTCATAACAAGGGGACTGTTTTCAAAACTAAATTTAAATGAAATCCTTCTAATCTAGCAGCTGAGAGTTCCTTGTATAAAAAGACTGGGCTGGAGACCTTGAGATGGGCTCAGATAGCCCCCCTCCACACCCCAGGTTCCGTCTTGCCAAGTGACATGCTAGAAATCATTTACTACGATTTGATAAGGTATTTCTCTTGACTTGCTAAGGGAGCAGCCTCTGAGCTATGGCCTTGACGACTCGGTCTTTTTAAGTCTCTTAAGTGGATTTGATGTTGGGATCAGAATTAATCTGGGATATTTATGGAATAGTTATAATCGTTCTGAGGTATAGTCTGAAGAGCTCAATGGGAAAGTCCAGATTGCCAGGCTTCTGCAGTCCTGTCCAACACGTAGAAACTCGGGGGGGGGGGGGGACGGATAGTGATGCCTGATACAGTGCGAAGGCATCATGGTAAGATTGCAAAGTTTTGGGAAGGAAAAACTGGTTCTCTTCTGGGTCTCAACAAGCCATCATCTGCCTTGTTGAGCAATCTTAAACTTCTAGGAGCTTCCCACTTTCAGTGAGGGAAACAGAAACCAACACTTTCAGTGTCAGCTGTTAGAAGCTCACCTAAAATGAGAATGCCCCACCATCTGATGCGTTCTGCATATTCCATCTAGGGCAGGAATGGGAACTCCTCACTGCATTCAGCTGGCTCTCTGGATCCCCTCCTTCCCCTCTTCTCTGTGGGGAGGAGCTAAATGGGAAATGATTTTGATGTTGTGCAAACTGTATAACTGGAAGAAGATCAAAGCAAAGGGAATGCTTATATTAGAAAAGAAGTAGACTTGTGTTTCTTGCAAATATGCTGCAATCTCTATATGCTTTTTGCATTTTGAAGTTTGATGCTTTCAATAACTATGATTCAGGACTTGCAGGTCACCTGTTCATTAATGTTAATTTGCAAGCTTTTAATGAGCTTTCAGACAGAAAAGGTGCTGGAGATCTTTGGTGAAAATTTTGAAAAATTGTGTGGTGAAAATGGACAGTGGAACTTAAGTGGAGTTGTTAAAGAATTAAATATATGGGGAGTATCTTTGTGTGTGTGTGTTGACCTGCCTACTTTTGGGTTCAGCCCTATCCACTACTGGAATGTGGTCTTCAACGCTGGAGAAATTTGGTCTGTGGTCCCTTAAAAAAGCTGCTTATCCCAGATACAGGGTATAAGGATGGGAGCAACCATAGCCCCAACAATTT